TGGGCACTCAAAGGGTCGGGGCAGGCGCGGAGACTTGCGCGATGATGTGCGCACTTGCAAGCGCGGCACCGGGCGCATTTGCCAGCGCTGAGTCGTACGCATTTGCCAGCGCGGTGGGCTGAGACAGCAAGCCACACTTGCCAGCGCGGAGGGCAAACACGCGTCACGGCCAGGTCACGTGACGCATAGGTTTGCGTTGAATCTCTAAGTCCGCGTTGGCCACTGTGTCTCATATAGTCCATAAGCTCCTTGACACTTAGCAACCTTGTACATAATTTATTCATGCATATATCTGACAACGTATAGGCTATCATTACAGTTCAAGACCTGAGACTGACTTAGATCATGGAAGGTGTAAGTTGGGAGCCTGTCACGTGTCGATCCAGACCGACCTACGCCGATCCGCTCCGCCGATCGTCACCGATCTACACCAATCTTCTCCGATCCGATCTCTGACCCTTCACCAACTTCTTCGCCAACGCCGATCCCGCCTTTCCCGTTTCGGTCGAGGGCGGGATACGCCTATCACATGCACCGGGCCACTGGCGGCTCAACGCCCCGGTGGTTCCAGATCTTGAACGGATTCAACTCCGACTTTCCTGATTCCTGTTCCCTTTGTCTGACATCATAGCTTCCTTTTGTAGACTTTAGTTTTCCGTCGCTTGCAACGGATCTTTCGGTCCGATCTTTCCGTCTCTTCCGTAGATATGTTCCCTTTGTGTTCCATGCGTTATCTCTTGTCTCCGTATGTTCCCTTTGTGCGCCGAACGGCGCCTCCGATCTCCGACTCTCCGACTTCGCCATTGTTCTTTTTCATGTATATAAACCGTCGAACTGTACCGTAGATAGTCAGTTCAAATATCGACTAAGCTTTGCTCTCTTCCTCCTGTGGACTCAGAGTGCGTAGCAGCCTAGCGCACGAGCTTAGGCTTGGTCCGCATCCGATCTTGACTACACCATCGCTTCCGACTTATCGACTTCACGCCGACGCGTCTCCAACGCATCTCCGACTCCGCTCCGACTTCACCCCTTGAGTTTTCTCTTCCTATTTCATTCTATTCTTCGTATATATGTTTCGGACTTCAGTCCTCCGACACCATTACCCTTTGCTTGTATCCGATCTTGACAACTTAGGTCCACTCATCCCAGACCTGTTCAGCTTCGGTATCGTTCATCTCCGCTTTTTCCCACGCATTGGGCCTCCGCATTTCCGATATTTTTGCCCCACAGTTTCATCCCTGACAAGCACCCACAATACAGGAGTGGTCACAAACTACAAGGACTGAGGGCACACTCATTCATGCGGATGATGACTATTATTTCCTTAACTTGCATGCCCTTCATAATGCTGCAAGAATCAGAGAGATATTACCCCGTCATCTAACAGCACCAGCCTATGCATTCCCAAATCGTCAGCAACACCACCTTAAAGCTTCAAATGCACTTCAGAAGGCAGGTCCAGCTAAGTGTGCTGAGGCACAAGCTAAAGCAAAGCAAACTAAGGAACGGAAAAAGAGTCACGGAGAGGCCCAAAGTGACAAAGGGAAGAACAAAGCTGTAACCCCAGAAGATACTGATACTGAGTTGGAGGAAGACCAGGGTATGATAGTTGACCCATGATTACTAGATATTGATTTATCACTGTTTACTGCTCATCCCCAAGACTTGAGTGAGATCAGCTTGCTCACACTGGGTTCCCTCACATATCTCCCATGTATTCACATCACAATGCCCAAATAACATGTATCAAAGCTCTCAATATCATGCATATGCTATCAAGACAGATATGTAAGTGTTATCCCTCTTAACCTCATTCACAGATCACAGTAAACAACTTATTGCTATCACCCACACCCTCTGAAGTATATCACGGCCGATACCATCACGACAAATCAGCGAGCTCATTATGACATCAGTTCTACGATGTCAAGATGATATGGTAGCGGGAACACATGCGCGTTGCGGCGGGCCTCACCAACGTGCCACCATGTCACATCATGCTGAGGTTAGGGTCAGTTGGGGGTGTAAAGTACGGCATGCTCTCCTCCGACGAGCACGGAACAGGCGGCACAGCCCCGAGGCTTTCCGAGTGGCGGTGTTAGGGCTGGCTCGCGACTTTCCCTCGACACGGGAACAGCAAAATCCCCAATTGTTCGACTGTGCTTGCAGACGTATGTCAATCTCTTACGCAGCAGGATAAGCAAAATAGACTCTTCCTTAACAATACGTAGGATTTTGTACATTGGTACTGGGCCCACGAGGGACTCATACTTTTTATCATTGGACACGGTTGTTTGCCCGAACTGGACATTCTAGGTCAATCCGGTCTGCACAGCCCGTTCTCCTTCTCGCCGCATCCAGCCAGCCCCCAGGTCGCTCCGTTCTTGTCGTACGACCGAATCGACGCACACGAGCTCTTGCCCTGGATCATGCGCCCCCGAAAGCCGGTCATATCTCCCCATCCAGTGTCAGCCGGGCCACGGCGATAACGCTCATGCTCTCAGACGGTGTATGACCTGCCGTATTTTCGGAGGCTGCAGGAGCTTTGCCCCTCTCTTGCTTCCGGATCCTGCAACTTCGATCCGCGCGGATGCAAGGCCACGACGTATAAAAGCGCATTTCCTCGTCGGTGCTGACCATCACATTTCCTGATAACGAACTCGAACACGCTTATGAAGACGTCCTTCACGAGCCTTACTCTACACGCCCTCGCATTAGCTGCCTCAGCTGCGAGCTCCTCCCTCACTTCCCCACGATACGCCTCCTGGGGCGACGCTGTCGATGCCGTCCGATCGATGCCGCAAACATGGACAAATTTCACTAGGTACGTTTACCCGCTTGACTTCGCACCGATTATCTCCCTGATCTGTATTCCTGCAGTCGTATCAACGAGCGCAGCAACTGGCAATTCGACATCGGATGCACAGGCGCTGGCTCGATCCAGTCCCCAGAGTACACCGACCTCTGGACCGCCTCGCACAAGTGGTTCTCCGGGTCGAACACCGGCCCGACCTGCACGCAGAACCTCGCCTACGACCTGAACTGTTCCCCCGCCGACGCCATCTCGCAGACCGGCTGCGAGTATATCGGCCAGTACGACGTGTGGAACAACGGCATCATGGACTGCTACGCGTACGTCCTCCTCGAGAAGGCCGTCGTCGAGTCGTGCGTCGACCACGGGTACGGCGACTGTGGTTGCGGTGTCTATTACGACTACGGCAGCGGCAAGTGCCTCGTCGCCACATACACGTACCACGCTGCAGGTATGTGCTACACTGTTTGCATTTTGGATTCGATCCCTTCTGACGCTGTTGTCACAGGCCCCGCAGTGTTCAACTCCGTTCATAGTGGCCCCGCTGAACCCATTAACGAGACGATGAAGGTGATTCATCGCGACTCCGAGGGGCCGAGCTACACGGACATCGCTGTATGCGGCGAGAACGGCAATCAAGACATATCGACATGGTGCGAAGGTTCCGCCACTCATGTCTGCTAATCACCACGCGCAAATGCCGCGATCCGGAATGACGATTCACGCCGCTCAATGATCTTGTAATGCACATGGACTCAAAAGCCTCCAGGACTTTTATCTGTACAACGAACTTTGACGAGGACTACCGCAACATACATACTTCATAATAATGTTTCACGGATAGTCACTACCAGACGCTAATATAGTTGTCACCGAATGTACATCACTTCGTAGTTGTTCAAACACCTTTTTCTGCAGCTTCGCGGTCATGTGATGGTCACCATTATAAGCGTGTCACTGTCTCCCCCGTCCGCTTTCTCCCTCGTCCGCCTAGCATCACTCCAACACACATCTCATCAATCGTTGCGATACAGTATGCCAATTCAGGCCAACTCGCTATACGCGTAGACGAATATAAGCGATACATGCAAAGCTCAACTTTGACTTCATCGCTTCATCCGCGGACATGTGCGAACGGCGAGTTGCTCAGACGCGTCGCGCCACTTCAACCCTTTCCAACGTCCTCAGCCACGCGCCCGTGCACGGCACAAAGCACTCACCGGCCACGTAGACCGATACCCCAAGCAGATGCAGGGACGCGTCTTCCTTGCGGGGAACATACCTCGGGCTTATGCCGGATGAATGCACAGCCTTCGCAGAAACCACCCTTTTGGTACAAGACCACGCATATATGTACCTTTGAGTGAGTTGATACGGCACTGAATTGACTCGAACGCGAATCTCGCTGACCGTCGCCTTCGTCGACGCCAACACCTTTCCCAAGGCACCTCGAGAAAGGCTATTCATAGATTAGGTATCATGCCACCTACCACGGTTGAGGACACGTTCGAGAGACCCTGACAGCCGGTGAAGCAAGAATCTGCGGCAAGTCTGTCTGACGCTATCTGCAGTGGTTGGGTGCTTCCCACAACGTCTACCTCGCGACAGCCCTTGAACGCATAACGAAGCCGGGGAAAGCCTTCTAAATCACGATCAGCGCTGCTTGGCATGTCAGATGGGTCATGGTTGGTCAACAACGGGCACATCTGTCCAATGATCAGGCTTTGCATCATCCTCGTTGCTGCATCGCGTCGAAGAACTTGCCGAGGAATGGGGCCCCTGTCCAGAGGCGCAAGTCAGCCCTCGCTTCCGTCCTCAGGTCGCGACTGCATCCGCAGGGTCAAGGGCCGACGGTGACCCTGCTATCACCTGCGAATGCGACTTCGCTCTGCGGTTGCGCGGCGGCCCGCTTGTGCCGCAACTGAAGTCGTGGCCGGTGTATCGCTTGCTCACGGTCATTAGCCGTTATAGACGAACGGCGCGGTTGATACGGTTCTTCTGGCAGCCTGCTACGGCGTCATGGGTGACTCATTAGCCTCGGCGGGGTTGCGCTCGTCATAGGAGAAGACGAAGTCGGCCACGGCACTAACGCGTTTCTCGCCGCTGAAACGCAAAGGATTCACCCGTGACGACGACCTGGCCGTCGAACGTGCTGGGGAGGAGTGAATGCGCGTCGTCAGCGATAAGCGGGGATCGGCGCGCACCTTTTACGCCCCGACTCTCCAGCTTTCGACCACAGCCCGAACGAATATAGATAATAGGATATTTCGAAGATCCGAGATTCTGTCGATCTCGCCGTATCTGGGCTGCGGGTCTGTATTGCGCGGTGCCCTCTACGTTTGGACCAAGAACTCGGCCCAGCGCGGACACGCAATCGTGTCAGATCTGTCACCGTCCCTGCACGTCCCCCTCCTGGACCAGCGATCTTGGGCTGGCGGGAGACCGTGTCGCTGGGAATCTGCCTCCTATCGGTGCTTCCTTTCGGCGTCTCCCTACCGCATTCTGAGCCCAGACGGCGGAATGTGTCAAGGATGAACTTTACCTCTGCTTCCGAACATGTATCGCCATTATGCCGCCACCGCCGCGCAGGACACGTTGCTACCAGCAGGAGCGCCACTGGGAATGTTTTCTCTAATGCTTCAGTCTTGGCTCGACGTGGTGCTCTATTGGACGGTCAATATTCAGCATCCGACGTTATCTGAGAGGCAACAGTACCCATACCTGGTATTCTGTTCGGTACTGGCGCAGGAGCCGGCCGCGATACTACGCCTGCCGTTGCGACTTGCTCTGATGGAATGATCTTCGGTGGTTCCCTGGTGTATAAGACTATCAGCCAGCCATCCTACAATCGCCCTCGCACGTGATTGCACTGGACGAGACCTCCTTGTTATGGACGAATGTCCTATCGATAAGGAGGAAGCTCTTGCCCGTTAATGGCCAAAATGAAGCGGGGTTCGCCGTACTCTACACGTCTGGGGAAGCCAGGAACGCGACGGCTCTGGCCTGCCTTTGATGGCTAGCACCGTCCTTATGTCATTCGAGGTTCAGCGTCAGCCATAGCGTCGCTCTCCTCGTGTAACAAGGTCCGTCCCGCGCAAGTTGTCAGCAGGGCGGTTCGTCGGCTTACGGGTTCCCTGGGTCCTCACACCCAGAATGCTAAAGTCTGAGAAGACCCCTCAGCGGAGTTATCGCCCACCCAGTGCACGGTGCACCGGATCGTCACGCGCCCCTGCGAAGAGAAGGAAGAACCCGCGAATGAGCAGCCTTCGTTATCGTAAGTTCTGGCGCTGAGGTCATAGCTCGACGGTTTCTGATGCCTGGTTGGCGACCGAAGGGCATTTCTCGGGCAGCCGGCGCAGGCACACGTTCATATCGTGCTGTATGAGCGGGACGCGCGGGAGGCGGCAGCAAATAGCGTCTGGAGGCTGGGGGTGTCGCAGGGTGCCCATTGTTCGCCGGTGGCGAGCGATTTGGCGCACATAACACCCCAAGGTGCCTCGAGGCTCGGCGCCGCTCCGCCCGTGACTGGGTAGAAGATTCCGACCGCCTTCGAGCATCGCACTTTACCCAAGGTAAGACAGCTCCAACATGCCCCATCAGGGGCGAAGCTGGGCGAAGGGTAAAAAGAAGAAGAAAGGAGACGTGTGCTACAAGGCTTTGCCACGGACCGCGGTTGGCCGTGCGATCGGGCCCTACCTTGGGGGCGATTATTGGAAGGGGAACTCGTGAACGCACACCGAAAATCATCTGCAGGGCCGGAAGCTTCCCAGCGTGCGGGTCAGAGACGCGTCTTGTAGGTAAGTCGGAACCACTTCGCGCCACCATAACTGAGATGAACGCGAGTAAGGTTGGGGACGAGTGGGTGAACATCGGCGGAACTATCGGAGGGTCGATGAGCACAAGGAATGGTGCAACACGTGTGGATGCGCGAGGAGAGGGGTGCGGAAGACCGGCTCGGTGTACAGGGTATTCCAAATTGGACTGGGCGGTCCCTAGAGCGGAACTGATGGGGCTTGTAACGCGTAAGAAGGGCGAATAGATTGGGAATAGAGCCGGACTTTGAAAACAACTGCAATTCCCGGCAGAAAGGAACGTGCGCCGAAGATGACCAGACCATTCTTTTCACAACCCTTTTGCCCTATAACCATCACGACCGATCCCCTACGCCGCCTTCCGTCCCTCCTCTTCACGCCCAGCAACGCCCGACGTTAGATGCCCTCCATTCTCAACCTCAAGTTCAAAGTGCGTCGTCGTCGCTCGCCGCAGCGACATCGGTGAAGGCTCACCAGCGCTTGTTCACAGGGTAACAAGTCCTTTGTCGCCTTCAGCAACCTCGGCGACTCCGACTCGCTCACGAAGACATGGAAGGTAAGCACCCGTTTCTTTCTCGCTCGCAGTTGCGTCGCTCATCGCTCGTCGCGGTGTCTCAGGTCTGCACTAAGGTCGCTAGCTTCCTGGAGCAGGGGCAGCGGCTCGAGAACCTCAGCTGGCGGCTCTGGCACCTCCAGAACCTCATCGTCGACACCGACAATGCCAAGTCCAAGCGCGAGTTCCGCAAGCTCTCCAAGGTCATGGGCGACAAGCTGGACAAGGAGAAGGGCAGGTAAGATCCCCTTGCGAGGGGGTCCGTTGCGCCACACCACCGACTCATACGTGCTCGTCCGACCACACAGAAGCATCGAGGAGCTCCAAGCTCCGGGCTTCAGACGCAACCCATCCACCGACATGATCAAGCTGCGCGCCGAGGAGAAGGAGCGCAACCGCGAGGCCAGCCAGAACGCGCAGCCAGGCACGATCAAGCGCATGCAGTTCACCTTCAGCGTCGACCAGCCCAACAACACCTCGGGTACCCCGATCCCCGTCGCCAAACCCGACCTCAAGCCCTCGGCCGAGTTCAAGGACAACAACGCCAAGCGCAACAGGGCCGCCATGCGTGCCCCTCCCGTCCCCGAATCTGCTATCCAGTCCGAGGCGGCGCAGGACGCCGCCCAATCTTCCGCTATGGACTTGGACCAGCCTCTCACGCAGCGCGGACGCAAGTCCTCCGTTTCCACCCAGGTTTCCGAGATGTCCGAGTACACTCGCGAGTCGGCCTCGCTTCGCTTCCCCTCCCTCTTCACGAGCGACTTCGGCCCCTCCGCTCTCCTGAATCCCACTCCGACCACCCGCCAGCCGATGACCTACGGCGAGGGCCTCAGCTTCGGTCGCGCGTCGGTGAACGAGTTCGGAATAATGCGGCCGACACTGGAGATTCCCCTCGACGAGCTCCTCGGTGACCTCGGCAACCCGTCTCAGTGGTCGGGAAGCGGTGGCAGCCAAACATCGGGCTCCCCCGACATCATGATGCGCTCCTTCTCCGACGGCTCCAACTCCGAGGTCAAGGAGGACAGCAGCCTCGCGACGACTCCTTCACTCGGTAGCTCCCTTTCCCTCCCTCAGCTCAGCGCCAAGGAGAAGGCCCCCCAGACAGTCGCCCCCTCGAAACTCGGCACCCATCAGGGCAATCATACCCCCGTCGGCCGCGAGCGTCCCTCGCTGAGCGTCAAGACCGGGTCCAGCCGCTCTGTGCCTGGTGCCACCGCCACGAGCGTGACCGGCTCCAGCACGAAGACCCACAACTCTGCGCCTGGTGGCGTCAAAGCGGAATGCTCGAACTGTGGCGCCACTCATACCCCGCTTTGGCGACGCGGGCTCAACGATGAGCTGAACTGTAACGCGTGTGGGCTGTACTGCAAGCTGGTGAGTACAGGTGCACTGCCTTCTGCGTTTACGTTCTCAAAAATTTGTGCAGCATAAGCGCCCTCGCCCGAAGACCATGCGCAACAGCCATGGAGAGGGTCGTACCCAAGTCGCCCCTCGTCAGGACACGGTCGACGTCATGACCGCCCAATGCTACAATTGTCATACTACTACCACCCCGTTGTGGCGGAAGGACGACGAGGGGAAGACTGTTTGCAACGCCTGTGGTCTTTAGTGAGTTTCCATCCCCGCCTCAATTGTCGCTGGTAGCTCATTAGTGCATATAGCTACAAGCTCCATGGCGCCGCTCGCCCGATTTCCATGAAGTCCGATGTCATCCGCAAGCGATCTCGTCACGATGCCCGCCGTGTTGGCACCGGGGTTGGCGAGACTCCGTCTGCTAGCCCGGGCGCCAGTCGCCGCGCCTCGCCCTCCGCCGAACCGACCTTGACCCCTACTCTCGCTCCCGATTCCACGACCCAGATGTCCTACGGGGAATACGACTACCATCCGTCTCAGTCTGAGCTCATGAACGCGCTCGGCGGGGCGGACGCTGGCAGCAACAACTTCGCCGCGCCGAACACGTTCGCGAGCGCCCTCGCCTACAGCGGATACCCTGGCCCGTACCATCCCGATTTCCTTGCCAAGAACTATGTTCCGACCGACGCCCTGCCTTTCGCTGCCACCTCTGACGCCTCGGACAACGAGGAAAACAACAACAACAACAACGGCGAGACCCGCACCACCAAGCGCCGGCGAATGAGCACCGTCAGCACGACCTCGTCTTCCGCTACCGACCCTCCCCTCTCCGCGACGTCCTACAGCTCCTACGACAGCTATCCCAGCTCGCAGGCTGTGTCGAACTCGCACTCGCGCCGCTCCTCCATGGACTTCCCGTACAACACGTATTCCTCTTACGGCTTGATGCGCAACTCGGGGTCCAGCAACGCGTTTTGGCACGGTTCGCTCGCGCAGACGAACTCGCCGCAGTTCATCCACCCGCCGATGCTTCCGCCGGATGAGAGTCCGATGGACTATCTTCACCCGCCGATGCTTCCTCAGGAAGACATCGCGGAGGCGATGTTCCAGACGTATCTGCACCCGCCGATGCTTCCCCCGGAGGAGCAGTCGGGACATGGGAACAACCACAACCACAACGGAAACGGCAACAACAAGTCGCCGAACATGGGCTCTCAACAGCCGCATCCGCCTATGTTCCCCAACGACTGGAATCACGACTACTATGCTCAAGGCAACAACGAGAACACGGCGATGCAGACGAGCTACTGAGCGGTCTTGGAAGCCCATCGCCGCTGCTGCCTTCGTCCATCAAGCATTCCTGATTCATCTCTTCCGGGTCTTACGTCGCATACAGATTTCTCAACGGACTGCAGGTGCACCGACTGCGTCGCGAGCATCTATCACATCGTTAGATCTTTTCATTCCGCGCGTTTCTCTACCATCCATCACGATTGGGTCCCGAGCATTTCTCCCTCATGCTGCATGAACGAATCACCACGCTCTCTCCGTCTCCGTCTCCCATTCTCTTCCTCCTTTCCCTATGACATCGGTTATCCCTTATCTCCCTCCCATTCTTGCCGGCCTTCTAAGTATTCTTGCTTCCCCACCTTGTATCTATCACCCCGATTGCGAAGGGCTTCGCACGTTTTCAAGCCCCACAACAATACTCAAATGTATATCCGATGGTTTCCACATCCTGCGTTCATAGATTTCTTATTCGTCGCATCCACGCAATCGCGCCCCATTAGATGCAGTGTATCAAGTACAGCCAGTGTGTAGATCCGAGCGCCAAGTAACATCTCGATCATTTCGAATCGCGTTGGGTGGGAACGAGACGTTCCGGACATGTGCAGCGAGATCCTTCTTGCAGAATTCGACGGCCGGCGACAAATGGGAACACCAGCGGTACCCACTTCTGTTCACCGATTAGGCGCCTGGGGTTATGGCGCGAGGGCCTCGTGATGATAGGCACGACAACTCCAGCTCAGGAACTCTGGCCTCGGTCAGCGAACGCACCCCCGGGATCCCCGCCGTAGCTCCACCTCCACTCATGGGCTCTGCTCCGAAATTTTCTTGCATGGGCCAAACTTGTTCGCCGGAATGCTTTACTCTATGAGCGGCGAGCGAACGCGTTCGGTCTGGACTTCGAGCATGTTAACCCACAGGAGCTTCGAATGCGCCTGCCGGCTGATGGTGGCGCCCGAATTGGCTGCTAGCTTGCGCAGTACGGTCCCTTTGCGGTGAACTCGGCGAATAAAGCTGAGTGCCATATCTCCAAAACGGAGCCCTTCAACGACACAGGCGGCGCCTGATGGGAATAGTCGCACAGGATTCGCTGGGCATTAACTGTCTTTAGTCAAGGCGCGAGGATTCTGGCTCGAAATAGGGTTACAGCGAGGTCCAAGCCAGTCGCCGTTAACGCCGCATGGACACAGAGTAAGTATTATTGCTGGTCAGAGGAACCACCTCGATTCCGAGTATGGGAACTGACACCGTCGATATAGCCCGCGGGAGGGAATGGGTACTATTTAACGCCAGACGGGCTTCTCAGTGCATGTCTATAGAGGTCGCGATCAACACGGAAGTAAAACTTACATGGCACGTTAAGCCTGCCTTTAGCCCATCCAGACACTTGCAGTCGAGCCTTGTTATTGGCGTTAGGTCATTCTCTAGGCAATATGAGTCTCTGTGAAGAGATCAGGGTATTCCACCCGCTTCGAATTTGTTTCGCCGCAGGCCACCTCGAGTGATAGGCCATGGTGGTGCTTGCGCGACGATTGCGCGATGGACTGCGGTCAGTGCCGTCGTCGAAACGAGGCGCTCGTCAAGCGCAAATAGGCTGCTTTCACACTCACAGTAGCTGTTAGATCGTTCTCTAAGCTCGCGTATGGACAACGAGGACACGGTTCGTCGAATCACTGTTTCCCATCTCGAAGGCCTATACATTCGCGTTCCGACAAGTATATGTATATTGATTGGGTTGCGAAGAAAGCGGCCGCGATTGACCCTCCGATTCCAGGGAGCGTCTCGGCGATAATTAGCGACAGGCCCGCACATAATGCCCGGTTCCTGTGTCGCATAACAGGAAGCGGGTGTTTCAAATCTCGTCGGGTGTACATCTGACCATACTTCCACAGTACTGCTCGAGTCTCGGCCTGAGCAGCGGAAACACGAGGAGCGGCGCGATATCATGGACGACAAACCCTCCCAGACTTCATGAAATAGAAGAATAGACCATCTCGTACCCAAGCTCCAATGTTACGTGGGGCAGCAGGTCGCCTGACAGCCTACAGGGAATATGAAGGGAGCCCGCGTGCTGAACCTTGTACTGTAAAGACGACACTAAAAGCCGCGACAGCCTCAGGTGACGTACCGTGGCAAGCAGATACGTTCGCGGCGATTCCATGAGATATTGAATTACAGTCCCTCCAGAATCCCTTTGGAGGTCTATAGAGGTTTTGGGTCAGTCTGATAGGACGTCGGAGGACGTTGTTCTCTTTCTGGCAGGCGCCGATCATGGTCGCGTTGCAACGATTTGCAGGATCACGAAACGTTCTATTGCACCCGGGGCGCGACGAGCGAGTCCCGGCCTTTATGTTTGTCGGCAGAAGGACCCGCAATTCCGTTGCACCGTGCGAGATACAGTTACGTTAAGGTTGGCTTCCCCTTCTCCACACCGCAGATGAATTGTTACGAGAAAATTGAAGACACAAACATAATTCGTGACGTAAGAACGCCGAGAAGGATTGCCTTTACGGCATGGAAGAGCGATTTTAAGAAGTGGGATCGCTGATCAGAAACAGCTTTTGGTTTCTACTCGCATAGAACTCATGATGAAACGCCATGGGAGAGCTCTAAAGACCGGAGTAGTGGGCAGAGTTGACTGCGGAGACGATAGATGCTCCTATGACCCATTCTGCGCATTTATAACGTTCTTGTGCAGCCATCGGGTTTCAATTGTATTGTCAAATCGGCGGAGGCATGCGAAGGGTATCGCAAAACGAAGAAAACAGGGCGCGAACGACAGGGTTGGACCGGTTTACTCGATACGTCCGTCATCCCCTTCTTCCGTGGTGTCGGTGCCTAGTCTGTTTTAAGCGCAAGGACTGACGCCTTCGTACTTGATTGAACAGGGTGCAGAAGTTCATCATGGCCAAATTTACAGGAGGTAAGACAGTGTTGTTTTCGTAACCCCTTCGTCGGCATGAACTTTGCAGCTTTCTTGAACGTGCCGGACACATAGGACAGTTTTTCGACAGTTACGAGTAGTATCTGAGACGCAGTTGCTCTCAACGGAGCCAAGAGGGACAGTAGGTGTGAAATCGACGTAGTGTGCTATCAAGAAGCCGACCGAAGTTCCGAGTCAACGGTAGGCATGCCCGATAAGGTCGTTCATGGAAAGGAAAGGGCATTTGAGGATTTCACTTTAGATGAACATTGAGCTACGTAGTGGTCCGTGCGGATTAGCGCTTCCGTCATGAGCGTACGCCAATCGTTCTTGGAATACGCAGCCAACCTCGCTAGTTCATCGTGACAGTTGCAAGTGGAAGTACCCCGACACGACATGCAAGGAGGTCGATATGAGCCCCATTACGTCGAATTGAAGCACGAGCCTGGAGGCTCTCCACCTCCCAGGCTGTCAAAACACGGCCCGTTGCGGCCCGGCGACGAGTAATATGAAAGCTTCGACGACATCGACTCCAGGGTAAGAATCGTCCCCGCAGCTCTTCCACGATGTGCCCCGCGGGATGGGGAACGTGTAGTGGTGATGTTATAGGAGCCCCAAAGACGATATGCTCTGCCGTTGGCAGATGCAGAGGGAGATGAGGCCCCATACGAAGCCGCCGGATTGTCAAGAAATCTGCGCTCCTTGGGAAGCCATCGCGAGATGCAAGTCCGATGGCACGAGTACTGTCGCCGCACTTCTCGCCCAAGCTGAAATATGACGCGCCATGAATTGTGAAGTAGGGACCGAGAAAAGACCAGTTGTTGCCAGTGTCCGGAAGGATTGCGAGTCAAAAATGAGGCGAGATCGTCGACGAAGGTAGAACTTGACCAAGAGTAGCCATCAGTACCTCTAGAATAGAACAGCTACTCTCATCAACAGGAATATAGGAAACGTACCTGCTTTCGCAAAGATAGAGGTGAACTCACCGATATGATCTGCTACGCCACTCCGCCTCGCCCGCATTCTGGCATCTTTATTCGCTGTCCACTTCAATCCTCCGTTCCCATCCGTAACCCTCGCTCGCCCCAGCGTCTCTCCTTCCACTGCCCTCGACAATACCCTACCCGCAGCCTTCTCCCCTCTACGTCCTTGTCCTCCTCGCCCTCTCTTGCCCCTATCTCGACTCGGCACGCGGAAGCCGCGAACGTGAGCACAACTCCGAAATGTCGTCAGAGAGAGACTGCGTGAATTTCTTCGCAGATCTGAACATGCGGTCGTGTCGTTCAAACCCCGCCGTCCTCGCGCTGTGGAACGTGGCGGGCGTTGCGAGCCATCCCTCTGCCCTTTCGTACGATGCATCCTTATATGCCGTTCGGATGCTGCGCGTTATCGACATCGACAATCCGTAATCGTGAGCCCATCGTGAGGCCATCGATGTCGATGGCAGAGCAAACGGAGAAACAGAGTTCAAGAGCGCTTCACGGAGGAAACCCTGGTTTGGGGTTCGGACACAGTTTGTCGCTCTGAGTCTTTGTCAAGCCGCGCGCACGAGTCATCGAGTGCTACACGTCGTGAACGCTCGCAGGATCGTTGATATGCACGGACTCGAGATTCGTCGTACAGGATGGTACCGGTGAAGAGAGGTGCGATCACGTCATGACCATGTCTCCTTGGAGCAAACGCTCAGCTGCACAGGTTGGCGGGACTTCCACGTCCCCGGCCAGACGATGCCTCGCTTTCACCGGCATGATCACCAGTGATACGGCCTCGGCACCGCTAGATTACGATATCGGTATGGAAAATGCTCATGTATCTCTCATAATCAAGATCCAGAGCTCATCGAAGCGTAGATAGGGCCACCGGTGTCGAGCTATTTCCGAAGGATTCCTCACCTCAATCAGTGCGGTCTACTATAACATACCAACAAGAGCTCGCGAGTCGGCTTCTACGCCAACGCTACCGTCGGCTAGGTCCCCCAACTTACGTCTTGGGGATAAGTAACCCACTCGTTGCACTTCAAGGACAGTCGGTCAAGTATTGTGCCGACAGGGGAGTTGATTAGCTGTCATTCTACGCGTTCCGTCGGGGGATATGTCTATCGATATATGTGATACCGGACGAAGATTCAATATCCTATTTAATAGCTCAATCCCTGAGACTAGCGAGCATTGAGCCGCTTCTCCCAATCCTAGGTACGCGAACATCTATAACACGAACAATACTCTGGAACGAGGAGCTGACGCATGGTCAGTAACAGCTATGGGTTCCGCTAACAGCGTTTACATGGCGAACGCCAGCGAAAAGAAGATCTGGGTCTTGATCGCCCTCAAGCCCGAGTGGATGCTCGTTGACGTCTTTGTCGATATCGCGCTGCTCGTCGTCGCCGCCGGAGAACTGAAGGCCATCGTTCACGCAGGGGAACTTCCCGAGGAGCTCGTCACGATTGGCGACCTGCTTAAGTTCATGTGGGTCGCCGTCAAGCTTCTGTGGGCCAGCATCGGCGCCGCAACGCGCCCTGCCGACGCCGTCCTTTCCATGCTCGACGCGTTCAAGAGCGTCTCATCACCAATCGAGTACGGCGACGCACCCGACATCAACGACGAGAGCTTCCTCAACTACCTCAACGTCGACGGCTGGGCGGGGCTCTTCGGCGCGAAGACGCTGAACGTGATGGTGATGAGCGACGATGGGCACCAGTTCGCGTTCTACGACACCAACAACGACCACTCTTGGATCGCGACCAACCACGATGCGATCGTGCGCTCGAAGTACGGCTCGCTTTGGCAGGAGGACCCCGATGCGGGATACATCCGCTGGCCTTCTCCACCTCCTCCTCCGCCGCCGCCGCCTCCCCCTGGTTCATGCAGGTGCGGTGGTCATTGTCCTTGGTCACACGGGCGCTTTGTATGTTGTTGTGGCGGTAGCGACTGCTACTGCGTATGAGCGGAGTTGGTTAAATTTGCATCGTTGGCGGTTAGGAAATTGTGTAGCAGATTCATGTAACATCCCGTCTCGCCGCTCGGCGCATCTGCAGCCGCCGTACAAACTGCAAATCTGCGCTTGTCGTATGTTTCAGGCATTCAACTTTGTCCGTCCGAGAGACCTCGGGTTAGGGTTAACGTGGGACGCCAAGACGATTCGGTCATCGGTGCTCGCATGTTAACCCGTACCACACCGACAACCCCGCGATGAAAGAAACCCGCCCGTCGCCAGCATGTACAGCAAACAAGCAACTTGCCAGTCAAGGCGTAGGACGCCGTGCTCGGTGGGCAGACACGCCGCTGCGGCCGTGGCATGTGTACACAGCGATCGCCAGCAATCACCATCGCGGACAGATGGCGCGCTAAGTGTAACGCACTAGGCTCTGAGACTGTGCAAGACAGCCTCTACGAGCACCTGGGACGCGCCTTGTGCGGGCGGTCCTGACTGAACGGCAGAGGTCCCTCGTCACGCCTACGCTCGACTTCGTGCGGCCCTCCGAAGTCGATGCACACCAGAATAGGATGTCAAGCCAGGTGGTGAGCAGTTCAAAGGCCACGTACGCGTTCATGGTCTGGCGTGCTGATCCTGAGCCGTAAACAGGGACAAGTGCGTATTCTTGGGTACGGCTGCCGCTGCGTGACAACGCGACAGCGTCACGCTCTCCTACCCCTCTGCGCAACGGCGTCCGTCCGCGAAATCGCTCTCCATTGCGTGCTATCCGTTCTCCTTCCTATCCATCGCCCTCTTCGACCCTCTCTCAGCCTTCCTCGTCCTCCTCTTCATCTGCCCCCCGCTCCAGGGACGGGCCGCGAGCGTACACGATGAGAAACCCCTTCACTCTTTTGCCCGGCGCCGTCCTTTCTGTCCTATTTATAGGATTCTCCCTCAACTCCGACGACAACAATGGCCCCGTCCTCCTCGCCAGCGCGGTGACCGTCTATTCGCAGCAGCCGATTGGAACGACTACCGCGTCGGGCGCGGTGGCGTCGTATACTGGTGCTGCCGCTTATGATCCGACGGTCTTGAACGCACCCGCGATCCCGGACCCGCTCCCGAGCATGGCGTTCGGAATCCAGCTGCAGAGCAGCTCGGACGCTGTTTCCGGGCTCAGCATCAAGCAGAACGGCGGCTTCATGGGCTTTTCCATCGAGTTTTCGGTCATTAACCAAGTTTGTGCGTGAATATATGCGTCGATTTGGGCCTTGTATGCGGTCGCTGACGCGATCTCAGTGGGAAAGAACTCGTCGAACCTCCAGGTCCCGTTCTTGAATTTGATGTCGAACATCCGCCAACGCGCGGGACACGTCCGCATTCGTGTTGGCGGTAACACGCAGGAGACGGCGACGCTCGTGGACAGCCTTGCGGACGGCAAGATCCTCGAGAAGGACGAGGACAACCTCACTAATCCCGTGCGTACCCCGGCTACCGTATCCTGTTTGCGCTGTGTTGTGTGGGGATGGTGATATTTAATTTGCTTTCTGGCGTAGACGGATACCCCGCCACTCGTGTTCACGCCCGACGTGCTCTACATGCTTGGCAACATCTCTGCGCTGGTCAACACCAAGTGGTACCTCGGCGTTCCCTTCAACGACACGACCAACCTCCGGCTAGGAATTGTCCAAGTCGGAGAAGCAGTACTCGGCGACAACCTCCTCGGCCTGCAGGTCCGTTCTCTAGCCGTTTATGATTTTGCCTCCGCATCTGCGGCTGAGACGGTTGAAATTTCTCACAGGTTGGAAACGAACCCGATTTGTACGCGGACCATGGGCATCGTAACGGCACGTACTCGCCTTACGACTACTTCGGCGAGTTTGGCGTTCTGGTGGAGGCTCTGGCCGCAGCGCCAGACCAATATCCAGTCAGGAACAACCTCATCGGTACATATTGCGCACTGTCTGAACGCCCGGCTCAATTGCTGATTCTTACCTTCTATAGCCCCGAGCGTGGCTACCGGTGACTGGACGCCGGAGATGGTCTGGAACACTGGGTTCATCCCGTCCTATACCGACTCGCTCGGGGCCCTGGCTGTCGAGCAGTGAGTCGTCTTTCCCATCTCGACCACGGAACACTTATGCGCGGCTTGTTCGCTATAGCTACCCTGACGACAACTGCTTCGCGGTATACGGTATCGGTTCGGCTCGGGACCCGCAGACGGAGTTCCCGAACTACCTCAACCACACCTCCGGCCAGTCTATCGTTGCACCGTACCTGAACAGTAGCGCTATTGCCCAGGTTCGTGGTATTTGCCAAGCGTTGCTAGATATAGGCGCATACACCCGACCATTTTGCATCGTTCCTGGGTACGGTCCTGATGCTGACTTACTTCTCGTGCATATAGGCCGCCGGCAAGCCCTTCATCATGTTCGAAACCAACACCGCGTCCTGCGGAGGGTTCCCTGGCATCAGCGACTCGTTCGGATCCGCTCTCTGGGCGCTCGACTACGGCCTGCAGATGGCGTACTCCAACTTCAGCGGTGCCATGCTGCACGTTGGTGGTCAGAACGTCTATTATAACCCCTTCACGCGTAAGTGTGCCCCTATCGATCGCGGTGGTTGCGGATGCTGACAGACACTCCCTTGCGCATAGCTCCGCCGACGAACCAGTCGACCTACCACCAGTGGACCGTCGGCCCGGTGTACTACTCCGCCCTGGTCATTGCGGAGGTGTTCGGAAGCTCGAACGAGAGCCAAATCATCGACATGTTCCCGAACGACGCGAGCATATACACCCCCGCATACGCGATATACGAGAATGGTACCGCTTTCTGTCTTTTCGCGCTACCGCTCGCCCGCTGACAAGTGGCCGCGCACAGGGAGCCCCGCCCGCGTAGCGTTGTTCAACTACATCACGGACTCATCCGGTAACAGTGACTACACCGCGTCCATCTCGATCAACGGCGGCACCGTGCCGAGCTCCGTCAAGGTCAAGTACCTCCTCGCGCCGAGTGTGTCCTCGAAGAACGACAACGTCACCTGGGCAGGCCAGGTCTGTACGCCCTTCTTTTGCGAACACGTGCAATCTTGCTGATTACGTATCCGCAGACCTTCGGCACCACGTTCGCGAGCGATGGCAGGCTCACGGGCGACCTCGACCTGCAAACCGTCACCTGCGATACAACAGCAAACACCTGCCCGATCAAGGTTCCCGCACCAGGCTTCGCGCTCGTGTTCCTCTCGGACGACGCGCTCTCCACGGCCGACTCGGTGTCGACCATGACGGCCACGTTCTCGACCACGTCCGTGACAAAGACGGTGAACACGGCGACGATCGACGCGAGCGTGCTCGCGACGAGCAATGGGCACAGCGGAAAGGACCGGCAGCTGGGCAGCACGAGCAAGGGGAGCGCGAGCGCTGCGGTGGGACGGGCGGCGCTTCTGCCTCGCGCGATGGCGCTCGCGGCGGCGGCCGCAAATGCAGTTGTCGTCGGGCGTGTGTTTAGGTGGTAGAACGGTAGTAATCTACGCGGGTGATATACCTCGGACGGTCTACGCAGGATATGAGCGCTGAGCATTTCTGCATTAGTAACATTTACATTACTCCGACAGTGCTTATATTATTGACATCGATGTGCTGTGTTTATGCTCTGCCAAGAATGGGGAGGGGCGCGAGATGGAGTAAGCCTGGACGCGACGCAGCCTCGCGCGTGGCCGTGGGCAGTCTTGAAGCTTGACAGTAACCGCATCTACTCGAGGCGACCTGTTCAAAACTATTGATCCTAAGTCTCTCATAATACACGTTGTCGCTTCTACATCAGCTATTCAACAAGTTCCGGTGTCCAGTCTGGCGCAATGCTGTCAACGGCGACAGACCGCACGATCAACATCCTTCAGCTTCGACGCTGGAGCGAATCATTCGTTGCGAAAGGGGATTTGGGTACCCTTGCAAGTTTAGGGGTTATGGCACGTACGGAATATGTCACAATGTGCCCCCTAGCCCCTCGAGGGTGACATGTCTACCCGCCAATTTAAGGACCAAGACATTTGTCTCTGTCCCTGCCCCTTAACCCCCCCTTACGAGTCCTTCTGCTCTGTTCCCCCTACCGCAAGGTTCAACGCTCGTCGCAAATCACTGCTTGATGCCTCGTTCAACCCGTCGCCCGGCCGCGGATTGGGACCTGGACCTTGATTTCGACGACGACGATCCCTTAAGCCGTAATCTGTACTGCACGATCTGCCATGGTCCAACTACCGGAATATATCACGAGCGGGTGGATATCATGCTCAACGACAACGCGACTGGAAGTATCGAACAGCTCCCTGGCGTCAACCACGACGACGCCGTTTGGCTCAGCAAATCGACGGTTGCGATCTATGCGGACTGTATCAGCCCTCCGGGCGAATACGGTACGTCGTCTTCCGGCCTGAACTAATCCACTCTCCAGTTTACTCACGTCAAGCCCACGAGCAGATTCTGGCTCGCGATATATTCAAAAGGACGATGAGGATGCGTGGGGCGAAGAAGACGAAGAGGAAGAAGAGGACGAGGTGTTGAGAAATGAGGATGGCACGAAGGAGGTGTGGTGCCAGGACACCCTGCGCCGACCCAATGGGATGAAGTCGCCCCTCAAAAGCCACGAATTCGTCTGTGACAACAAGGACCAGCTCCTCGCCCACGAACAATGCATCTGGCTCGCGTACGCCTGGGCACGGGATGCTCACCCCGACTTCTTTCCGGACGATCCCATGCTAAACCCCGCCCATTTCCTCTGGGGACGGACAGGTCCTCGGTGTCGCTGGTTTTATGATTCCGAAATCGCCGAACAAGAAGATGAGGAGATCCATGAACAGCGATACGCTTCAAGGCAGGCGGAATGGGCGAGATCGGAGCGAGCGAAGAAGGCCGCGATCGCAGCAGGGGCGTGCTCCGCCAACGCGCCGAAGCCCCTCAAAGGCTTCCTCTCCAAATTCAAATACGGCTACGCTGCCGACGACGCAGAGGGGCAGCGCTGGATGCGCGGGTGCAAGGAGTGGATCTACCTCCACAAACCGGATTTCGACACGACGCACCTTAAACGCCCGGATCGGTTCCCGCGCGTTTACGGGCTGCCCGTCGACACACCGAGCCCCCCTTCTCGACTCCCCTTCCTGTTCCAGGGTCCCCGGGAGATCATCGGCCTCATCCTCTCGGAGATCGACGACGACACCATGCTCGCTCTCGAGTGTGTGTCGCGCGAGTGGCGCGACTTCCTCCGCTGCCGGTTCGCTCAGCGTTACATTTGGCTCTCCCGCGCCGAAAAAAGCCACTTTGTCCCGACCGTTGCCGATTGGACGCGGAGCGCGGATGCCGTGCGCGAAATGTTTGACTCGGCGGAGGGGAGAGCCTCGGTTGACTGGCGGGGGTACTACGACGACTGCCTGCGGAGCCCCAACATGCAAAACCGTGCGCGCATATTCCGCTCCGTCTGGGCTATAAGCCATCATCTAGGTCATTGCGATTGTGCCGACGGTTCTCCCCTGTGTTCGTAGTGCAATACAGCTCAATGAAAACGGTCGTGGTGCGCACCTCACGAGCGAAATATGATACGCCGACCTCGCCGGTGTAGCGCGTGTAAGTACTCGGTATGCTGCCCTGGATAGCAGTGGGCCAGGAGGGGCCAGGACAAAAAAACATCGGTACATGACGTTTCTCCATACGACCTGCGGGTCTGCTTCACAGATACTTGTTCGTATCGAGATCGTCCCAAAACGGCTGTCTCAGTTTCGTACAGCGTCCACTACATGGAGAACACACGATAGACGTCGCAGCATGTCGGAGTTGAAAACCTGAATTTAGGGGTTACGCGGTCACGGTCAAGAGTGTCACAGCGGGAAATCCCTGGAATCTGGGGAAAACATATAACAAAATTATTCTATAATAACTATGGTTGTTATTGACATATTTGCAGCTAAGCTAGTCTGAAGTTATGACAGATTTATCTCAAGGATGCAGATATATGTCAAAAATATGAATACTTTCCCGGTCTCTTTGCAGTAAGTTTGACATCATTTGGGTCAACTTATCTCGTAGCTTTTCTGAATTATTTTGGCAATTGTTTCTGATATATTTTGCCCAGATTCAGCCTGTTTGCCGCAGTGTGTGTGAACTGGGCTTGACGAGTCTCATTTCAGTCAAATGCGCTCGCAGCGTGAACTTGGCCACATTTATGACCTTGTCAACAATGACCAACGATAGATCTCGCCCATTGCCATCGGGCACAGCGAACAAGAACGTGGCTGGAGTTCGGACGGAGTATAGGGCCCGCGATTGCTGCGGCCTCTCATGGCCTCCCGCCATCATCAGCAACCACCGGATCACGTCGAATCTACTGCAAGACCCATTCGGTCTTATTGTTGATATCAACTCCTGGCCTTGCAGTACCGGTATGTCGATTGCGACCGAATGGCAACAGGCGCTTGTCACGCCAATGTACGCGCGACGACTTGCGTTCTGCTCCTGGAACTCGAAGCACGCTTTATGCGCATGAGATCAGGATATTGATGCCAGGTGAGTATTCCAAACTACGTGTCCGTCGATTTGTATTCTGAGCAGCCGCACAAAGGTATGATCGTGTTCTTGAGTATGGCTCTTGTGACGCCATGACTATGTCACGCCCTCCTTGCATCGCGGTATTCATCCGTGGTATTCATCCGTGATATTCATCCGTGAAATCGCGCTGCGATCACATTACTGATTCTCCCTCCTCTCTGTCCTCCCCGCCCTCTTCTCCCTTACCCCTGCCCCAGGACGCGGGCCGCAATTGCGCACGATGAGACATCCCTTCGCTCTTTTGCCCGGCGCCTTGCTTTCCGTTCTATTGATAGGATTATCCTTTAACAATCTCGATGGCCCCGTCCTTCTCGCCAGCGCGGTTACGGTCTACTCGCAGCAGCCGATCGCGACAACCACCGCATCGGGAGCAACGGCTTCGTATACCGGTGCCGCCGCGTATGACCCCACCGTGTTGAACCCGCCCCCGATCCCGGACCCGCTACCGAGCATGTCGTTCGGAATCCAGCTGCAGAGTAGCTCCGACGCTGTTTCCGGGCTTAGCATCAAGCAGAACGGCGGCTTCATGGGTTTCTCCATCGAGTTTTCCGTTATCAACCAAGTTTGTGCGTGGAAAACCCTGCATCTCATGTCCTGGCCAGATCTATTAACGCGAATATTTCTCATTGGTGGCGTAGTGGGCAAGAACTCGTCGTACCTCCAGATTCCGTTCCTGAACTTGATGTCGAATATCCGGCAGCGTGCGGGACACGTCCGCATTCGTGTTGGCGGTAACACACAGGAGACGGCGACGCTCGTGGATAGCCTCGCGGACGGCAAGATCCTCGAGAAGGACGAGGACAACCTCACTAATCCCGTGAGAATCGTTATCTTTATGGGCAAATCGGCGCTGAGACCTCGCGCCCTTTCGTTGCGCAGACGGATACCCCGCCGCTCGTGTTCACACCCGACGTTCTCTACATGCTCAACAACATCTCTGCGCTGGTCAACACGAAGTGGTACCTCGGCGTTCCTTTCAACGATACGACCAATCTCCGACTGAGTATTGTTCAAGTTGGTGAAGCGGTACTCGGCGATAATCTCCTCGGATTGCAGGTATGCGTCACACTTACCATACACACGTGCCTGGACCTGCGACTGAGACGTTCCGTTTGGTATAGGTCGGCAATGAACCCGATTTGTACGTGAAACACAACCATCGTAGTGGCACATACTCGCCTTATGACTACTTCGGCGAGTTCGGCGTCTTGGTGCAAGCCCTAGCCGCGGCACCAGACCTGTACCCAGTTAGGAACAACCTCATTGGCAAGTGATTCAAACTTCACTGGGCGCACGTCGTTCTTGGTTTTAATCCTCATCTTCATAGCCCCGAGCATCGCAACAGGTGACTGGACACCAGAGATGGTCTGGGACACTGGGTTCATCCCTTCATACACTGATTCTCTCGGTGCCTTGGCCGTTGAGCAGTGAGCATCCGTCTGTTATCATCCATTTTTATCTCAAGTCGCTGACGCACGACTCGCCTGCTACAGTTACCCCGACGACAATTGTTTCGCAATTTACGGTATTGGGTCACCGCGGGACCCGCAGACGGAGTTCCCCAATTATCTCAACCACACCTCCGGCCAGTCTATCGTCCAACCATACCTGAACAGTACCGCCATCGCTCAGGTTCGTCGGGTTCATTGAACCTTGCTGGATGCAAGCGCATATATCCGCCCATACAAGATCGGCACGCTGACCTACCTCCGTGCGTATAGGCTGCCGGAAAGTCCTTTATCATGCTTGAGACGAACACCGCGTCATGCGGTGGGTTCCCCGGCATCAGCGACTCCTTCGGAGCCGCCCTCTGGGCGCTTGACTACGGCCTGCAGATGGCCTACTCCAACTTCAGTGGCGCGATGTTGCACGTCGGCGGTCAGAACGTGTACTATAACCCTTTCACCCGTGAGTGCTTCAGTTGAGCGTGGGGACACGGCCGGATGGCAAGACTGATTGCGTGTTTCCTTACATATAGCTCCGCCGACTAACCAATCGACCTTCCATCAGTGGACCATTGGCCCGGTTTACTACTCAGCGCTGGTCATCGCGGAGGTGTTCGGAAGCTCGAACGAGAGTCAGATCGTCGACCTCTTCCCGAACGACGCCCGTATATACACCCCCGCGTACGCGATCTACGAAAACGGCGCGTCCATCTCATATTTCGAACCATTGCAAGCGCTGACAATCGGGTTTGCATACGCATAGGCAGCCCTGCCCGTGTAGCACTCTTCAACTACATCACGGATTCGTCCGGGAACAGTGACTACACCGCGTCCATCTCGATCAACGGCGGTACCGTGCCTAGCTCCGTCAAGGTCAAGTACCTCTCCGCGCCGAGCGTGTCATCCAAGAACGACAACATCACCTGGGCAGGCCAGGTATGTTTTCTGCATGTACTATCCCATACAATCATGCTGACCTCGTATTGCAGACCTTCGGCGCTACTTTTGCGAGCGATGGTCGGCTCAAGGGCGACCTCGACCTGCAAACCGTCACCTGCGACACGACAGCGAACACCTGCCCGATCAAGGTCCCCGCGCCGGGCTTCGCGCTCGTCTTCCTCTCGGACGACGCGCTCTCCGCGGCCGACTCGGTGTCGACCATGACGGCCACGTTCTCGACCACGTCCGTGACGAAGACCGCGAACACGGTCACGATCGACGCGAGCGTGCTCGCGACGAGCAACGGGCACAGTGGCAAGGACCGAAAGCTTGGCAGCACGAGTAAAGGGTCGAGCTCGGATGCGCCGGGATCCGCCGCTATGTCCGCGTTTGCTGCTGTAGCTGCGATGACGTTCGGCGCGATCGTCCTCGTCGGCAGATGGTGGATGTAATGTCCGTTTTCCTGGATTTCTGCGCGCAACCTTATCCGTCTCTCTTTCATCGTTGCTCTTTATGTTCAAGAGTTCGCTCTGTGCGTACAGACTCGAGTGCGGAAGCAAGGGCAGACGTGGCAGCGAGCAGGTCGTCTGAGGTGTCTCCGGCGACGATGCCTGTCACTCCATGATCGATTGTAACCGCGGCGGACATGGTAACATCTGCATGCCCTGATCGGGTACCCACCTATTGTTTCCCGGCCTGACACTGCGAGGGTTCACAGTTGAGGATCTGCTGGTGCGAACATATGTCGTACGGTGATTGCGCTTCTCGTGAGATATGGGGTGAGCCTTGAGGTGGTACTCCTTCCACACCAGGCGTATTGATGTGCCAGCTGATACCCCAGGTTGCAACGTTATTGCCGGCATCGTCGGCATCGGCCGTGCTGTGATGTCACAAACGCGTTACCTCACGCGTTGTTGAAGATTTTGCCCGTTCCCTGCTTATTCCTTCAGAGTGAAGCCATCCTGCTCTCCAAGAAACCCACAAGACGACATGTCCAATATTGCCTCTTTCCATCCGCTGAATCACTTGGAGACCACTCCGCTACTGACATTCCAGATAACTTGACGCAGTACTCACAACACTGTATCCTCGCGGACAACCTACAAATAATATGATGCCAGAGGCACATCTGGACGTTAGTATCTTCTTAACTCCGGCCGGAACTTGACTTGCTCGCCTGTCTGATGAGTCCCAATATGGCATTGACATTGTCGGATAAGCAGTGGGCCAAGAGAAACAGATCCCCTTTCTCCCGGATTTCCCCCGGCGATCGACATCAAGAGATTGATTGTTCTCGGTGACTAGGTGAGCGAATCCAGCGGAAACTACAAACACGCGCTCGCGTTATCATGGCGATCAAGTTGTCCAGAACGATATGTATTCCAGTATTGGTTCAGAATATACAATGGTAACCAATCAAAAGGTGAGTCCATGGTGCGTGTGTTCTTGGGATGTTGTTACGAGGAATGCTTCTCTGCTTCCGCCCATTGATCAGATTAAGAGCATCGCCCTGTATAGGTAGGCGGAACAACCGGTTACCTGGTAAGTCTGGGCTCTCGAACGGCCCTATCGTGTTACCCACTTCCCGGCTCTGGCTTACTCGTTGAGGAGCTGATGGGTTTGGATAACAATCGGTTTCGGGAGCACAGGAGAGGCGTGTTGTTCGACGCATCCATTTCGGGGTGTCCAGATACAAGGGGGCCCATTTTGGGGCATATTATACGTCGGTCGCGGTCGATAATCATGACTCCCCGTGGACTCCCTATGTTCTTGCTGTGTAGCATTCGCGGTGTAGCGTTCATCACGTGGTGTGCTGAGCTCCGTTTAAAGTCTGCCAGTAGTGAGACCGCGACACCCTCGGTGTTCACCCGAATCCCGAACAATCCCGATTCGATCTGCCGCAGACCCTATCCTATGGTTTCATCATACAAAGCCGCCGAGGGGGGTTTCGCCGCCAAGACCCGCCAGTATATCACTCCAAACAACACCACCACCTCCCAGACTTACCATAGGGCTGGCATCACATCTGCCCGTGAAATGACTACCAAGGTTCTCGCCGAGGTGGGAGGTCGTGCCTGCACCATTGACACTCTTGATTTCCTTGAAGACATTCTCGGCTCAAACGATGATGAGGTCGACTTAGCTTCGGAGGTCTATAAGAGGTTGAAGGACGCCGGACACTACGACACGAACATCAAGCTCTGGAAAGACTTTCCACTGGAGATCTCGCAGGAGCAGGAGCTTTACGCGCCTTTCGTCAATGCCGCCACTGCGATAGGCGATACACTTCGAACCCTAGGTCACGAACCGCGTACGAGTGTGCTGTGGACGGATGGCGCGGATATATCTCCTATATCCCCCAACCTAGCGGCCCCCAAGCTCCGCCCTGACATCCTAGCCACAATCGGACAGCGAAACCTGGACCAGGAGCAACAAGTACGTCCATCCCGTCATATTCGTTATTATTTCGTTCTGATCCATGATACTTAGGTAACCCCTCACTGGACTCGTGTTCACTCCCCGATAGAAGTGAAGAAGAAATCCGACGACGATACTGTGGCGCCTGCCATCGCACAGCTCGGGAACTATATGCGCATGGTTCTCTCCGAACAAGTTAACCGTCGCTTCGTTCTTGGTCTGCTTTTCTGCGGGACGGAGCTTTCGGCGTGGATGTGCGACAGGTCCGGTTTGGTGGGAATGCAGCATGCGTTCGACATACACGAGGCGAGTCCCTTTCCATTGCGTTAGACTGCCTCCTCATGCGTATCTATGCAGTCTCCGCTCTTGTTTATTCGGACCATCATGGCTTTCTATCGAATGGATGCCTTGCGTAGTGGCTGGGACACCGATATGAAGCTGTTGCGAACGCGGAACAACCAGCTCGAAGCTGTTTGTACCTCGGATCCGACCGTCCTTCCAGCCGACTTTGGCGGCGACATCTACGATACGAAGTGGCGAATCACCGTTCGATCGCAGGGGGGTGAAGTGGAGGTGTTTGAAACGGTGAAGGCCCTTAGCCTCGCGCGCTCGGCAGCTATGTTCGGCAGCGGGAGTACGGTTTGGGACGTCTACAATATCAAGGATACGGAAAAGGTAAGGTGCCATTCCTTCCGTTTACCTGTTGCTGACTGCCATCGGGAATTAGTTATATGCGCTGAAGCGGCTGTGGCGCGATGACAAAGCCGGCTTCGAAGCTGACATGGTTCCAGGCGGCCTCGGCAATTCTCCTGTCGTACAGATTTTATGGTCCCGGGATGCTTATCTGGATGGTGGCATCCGTGACGAGACTCTCGGCGCGATTCGAGGACACACAACGGTCCAGGACGCCGCCACGAAAATAGGAGAACAGCCCAAGCGGGGCAAGAGGAAGCGGAGCGACGCGAACTCCGCTGATCAACGCGTTCACACCGCAATCACAGACCATACCAACTTTCAAACCGTATCACCGTACAACCCATGCAACCGTATCCGGACATACACCTTGATGTTGACACGGGGTACTGAACTCAAGCGGTTCAAGAGCGTACCTGTGCTGCTGAACGCCATGCGGGACGCCATCCAAGGTATGACAGACATCACTATGTGCTTAGCCTTATGGCTGCTAATATGATTCGTAGGCCACAAAGACCTGTGGTTCCGTGGCGTTCTGCACAGGGACATCAGCCCCGGCAACATTCTGATCACATCGCAGGACGAGGCGGGCAGAGCGGGTTGTTTGATTGATCTTGATCATGGGAAGAAGTACGAGGACGACATGATCTCGGCCCCCACTCTACGGGGCGCAATCTCTCAGAGGGCGGCCCTGCTCGTTGAAGATATGAAAAACGATTTTAACATTGATTTCAAGGAGACGGACGCCATGAAACTATTAACTCGCTTTGGGCCCGGCGATGCATATTGTTTCCTGAAAGCGGCGGCTCAATTTTGGCCGACGGTGGTATGTATCCAATCTGACTGAACGATCGTCATATAGAGGCTGACGCTGGAGACGCAGATTCCAGACTTTATCATACCTGAGCTCGAGCCAGACGTGAGTACAGGATGCACTGAGACGCATAGCACCATTGAAACTCTACACTCTGACAGGCGCGCTGGCCCGACGTGAATGCCGATACGGAAGAAGGATTTGTACGCACGGTATGGTGAATCCTGGCAGTTAACGTTGATGATTCCAAACATTCTTTTCAGGGAACCAAGGCATTTATGAGTGCTGAATTATTGCTTCAAGGGCGGCCGTATCAAAACGTCGGTCTACGTGCTGCTGGGCCCGTCAAGCAAGATGTCATACACGACATCGAGTCCTTTTTCTGGGTTCTTATCTATATGTGCCTCGTGCGCCGTGATGATGGTCACTTGCGCGACGAACTGCGGTCGGACCCCCCCCAAGGCGATGCGTATGCGAAGACTCTGCATAACATCGTCTACTGCCTGTTCGACACATCGGATGACGAGACACTACGCTCCAACAAGTCCGAACTGTTTGAGAACCCTGCAGACATGGAAGACTACATTATTCGCTACTTTGACCCGAGCATGGAATGCTTGAAACCGTTCGTGCGGAAATGGTGGAAGCTACTTGTCTTCTCGTATCGGACCTACAACCCTTGGACGCCCGGCGTCATACACTCGCAGGTTCTCCGACTTTTCAATGAAGAGATTGTGGCCTTCGGCAAACCGGTGACGCGTGCCGTGGCTGGCGCTCCTGAACCATTCCACCCGAGCCCGGAGCGCCCGAAAGCAAAGCCCGCAAAGCCCGAATCACCAACGTACCCTGTTGGAACAGGGTTCAGACTGGATCCTGCGGCCTATGCGAAAAGCAGCTCCGAGTCTGAAAGTCCTGCGCACAAGAAGGCGAAGTCGGATAATAATTAGTTGCTGGTAGGCACGCGCAATGATCGCATTGAACTGACGATCTATCGTTTCTGGTCTACATCCGAGGTTGCCGCCGACGCTATGATGGATTCCGCTCCGCGCTTCCCTCTCGTAGTGCTGTGCTCGTACGCTATCGCAATGCTATCATCCTAGGCCAGATTTGAGCGGATGTCGACGACGCCGGTTTGCTCTGTGGTACCACTGGATCCCCCGACATCCCCGTGTTATCTACAATCATGCTTTCTTGGATTTGTGTTCATAGATTGTTGTCGATGTTTTTGTACTTTTCACGAAGCTATTGACGATCACGACGATATAACCGAACGCTCGAGTTGCTTGGCATTGAATAGCGCCGAAGGCAACCACGGTCTTCACGCTCTTCATTCTTGCACGTTCCTTTCTTGTCGAAGCGCGTAAGTGGCGTGTTTATTTAAGATCGATAGAGCAGCACATCGTTTTGTTCTCGCACATAAGACACCACCGACCGAGTACGAACGCACCGGTCCCTACACGGTGTTCTCCCCCAGGTGTTCTCCCCCAGGTGTTCTCCCCCACGATCTTGGCCCTGGTATCCAACACCTGGTTCAACCCAGCCCTCGCCTCCGCACGGAGCGCCGCTGGGATAGGCGCTGCCTTCGCCTCGTAGTTGAGGTTCGTGGCGAGGAGCAACGCTCGTGAGCCGACCGTCCACGTCGCGACGTCGACGTGAACCGTGGCGCTCTGCGCGTACTCTGCATCGGGACTGAGGATGAACGCCTTGGCAGGCTCGAGCGCGGCGGCAAGCGCGGACGTGGCGGCGAGTAGGTCGTTCGGCGCGGGCTGATCCCACACGACGACGCCCGTCTCGCCGTGGTTGATCGCGAGCGCGGCGGACACCGTGACGGCATACTCCGCTCCGGTCGGGTACCGCTTCCAGTACGTGTCGTTTCCGAAGGCTTGGGGCACAGTCCAGACGGTTGGGAAAGTTCGCAGCCGAGGATCTACTGGCGGGAGTGGAAAGAGTCTATCCGGTCGGAGACGTCTTCGAAAACACCCTTGCAGTTGTCGCCCTCGCAGTCGCCGTTCTGAAGTTATTGACGTGTCACAAGCAGCGATAGAGGGAAGGGATTGAGAGACGTACGTCTGGGGTGCAGACCGTGCCCCATTGCGAGCTGAATGTGTCATAGTTCCCGATCATGTACACATCCTGCATCACGATGTCTGCGCCGGCAGAGTACTCCGTGAAGTAGTAGTCCTGGCAGTTGAGCACGAGGCTGACGGGGTGGTAGCCCGAATCGAGGCCGTAGATCGTGTCGTACGCGAGCTGGGTCGCGTTCTGCGGATCCTCCCACCCGTCGGGCTCGTCCCCGGTGTACCACAGTAAGAGATTCGGCCGGTTTTTGATCCGGTTCACCTCCTCCGTGACGCCAGTGAGGTTCGTGTACGTCCAGCGCATGTCGTACATGAGGTAGAGACCGAGCTCCTGCATGCGCGTGACGACGACGTCGAGCGCGGTGAGGTTGTCGAACGTCGGGATGGGGTGTACGACGGTGTAACCCGCGGCTTTGATATCGTCGAGCGCGGTGAGGTTGTCTGCAAGGAAACCGCCGAAGGAGGTGTAGAACCCGATCGGGAAGACGGGGGCGCAAGGCCCGTCCGCGCCCGTCGCGGGTTTAGCGAGCAGCCCGCCCGTGCGCATGTCCAGCTTCGTGACGCTGCCATTGGTGTTGTCCGGGAGAAAGGGGACCTTGGCGGACGCCTTGAAGGATTGTTTGCCGAGAGTTGCGCTGCAGGTGACGTCCAGCGGGGTGGTGCTGGCTTTCAATCCGGACAGCGAGAAGAGAATTTCGAAACTTGGACGCGTTGAGGGGCACCGAGGCACGCGCGGGGGTGCCGTGACCGGCGAGGGTGACGCCCAGCTATTGGGTGGACCAGGAGGGCGTTCGGCACAGCATTGGCGATGTGGGAGAAGGTGATTGACGCATCGACGAGGATGGCGCCTTGGGTGCCGGCATGAACGTCGGAGACGAGGTATGGTTTGATTGCGGGGCCGCAACACAGGGCGAGGAGAGGGCTGGAGCACGCGGCGGGGTGGGGACGTTGCGCCCGGAGGGACGATGGGCTGCGTCGCCATGTAGTTCTTGTCGTGCACGAAGCTCGATGGAGAGTGCACATACCATTGCGACTGTGCAGAGGCTAGCACGACGAACGTGGCGAGGAATACGCTCGTCCTTGGAAATTCCAAGGACGAGCGTATTCCTCGCCACGTTCGATCATCTTGGCTGCCTGAGGACGTCGCCAGAACCACACCGACGCATTGTGGGGAGCCTCACCGTCACTCCTTCCCGTCTTCTGTGCCGTTGCTGACTGTCTATAGGCTCAGATGTATGCCCTGAAGCGGATGTGGCGCGATGAATCGCTCGACCTGGAGGCTGACCTGAGGTCTAGTAATCTACCTGATGGGTCTCCCGTTCTACATATTGAGGGGTCCAGAGATGCTTATCCTCGTGACGAGACTCTCAACGTGATCCGGCGAGGCATCACGGCGAAACCAAAGGATTCGGAACCGGGACAGGACGACAATCGGAAGAAAAAGAAGAAGCTTGCAAACGACGTGAATGTGGACGACCAAAACGTGTCCATATTTCCGTGGTGAGCAGTCGCAATTTTCCCGTTTCGAGGTCTTTCACGCCGCAGAATCGGATCAGGACGTACACCCTTATGACGACGCGTGGTCTTGTCCTTAAATGTTTCAATAATGCCCCTCTTCTCGTGAGCGCCATGCGCGATGCCATCGAAGGTGCGTTCCGCTTTGTACAAAGCCAAATCTGGTCTGAGCTTACTGTCATTTGCAGGGCATAGAGACCTGTGGTTCCGTGGCGTCCTGCATAGGGATATCAGCCCAGGAAATATCATCATTACACCCGTTAAGTCGGGGTGCCTGGTCGATCTTGATCACGGGAAGGGATTCAAGAAAATGATTGACTGTCCTGCCCCGCGGAATGATATCACACAAAAGGTACCATTGCTAATTAAAGAACTCGAGGAGGTTGGCATCAGCATCACGGATGCTACCGCATCGAGAATGCTACTGTACCACCGGCCTCTCCAAGCGCAGTATATCTTAGAGAAAGCCGCGGAGCTTTGGCCAGAGGAGGCATGTATCTAGCCCCATTGAGACGTGTGAGAACGAGAGCTAAACCTATATACAGATACCCGACTACATCACCACCGTGCCTGGTCCCGAACATGTGAGTACAGAATTTGCAGAAGAGCACATCAGCATTGAGACTCTGACAGAGCTCCTGGCCTGATACGGACGATGGATCGGAAGATTGTCTTATGCGCACGGTAATGCATAAACCAGCGATCAGGCATTTTTTTAGCTCACACATTCACGAAGGGTACAAAGTCGGTCATGAGCGGGGAACTTATCTCTCCTGCCAGAGCACCATACCACCCCGGCTTCAATCGTTACGTCGTCGTACAGGGTGTCATCCATGACATCGAATCTTTCTTTTGGGTTCTCGTTTACCTCTGCCTCACACGCACAGGTAAAGGTCAATGGCGCGACGAACTGCTCAAGGATCCGCCCGAGGACGACGTCGCGAAAAAGATTCTGCATAACATCGTTTACTGTTTATACGACTCGTCGGAGGAGGCAGTGTTGAAGGACAACAAAGCTGCCCTGTTTCTGATGCCTGACCACATGGAGAACCACATCGTTAAAGCCTTCCATCCCGACCTGATATGCTTGCAACCGCTCGTGCTGAGTTGGTGGAAATTGCTCGTTTTCTCGTACAGGACGTACAATGATCTTACACCGGGAGTTATACACGCGCAAGTTCTCAAACTTTTCGACGAGGAATTGAAAGGTATCAAACAGCAATTCGAGGCGCAAACGCTTGATGCGGCTCGCTCTAGCGCAGAAAGCCAGCCGGCATCCGCATCCGAGGGGCGCGTCGGCGATGGCTCGCGAACGACGGCTCCAGAATTCAACATCAGCCCCCCCAGGCCGAAGGCAAGACGCACATCGCGGCGGTATAACGGGGATCCTCCACCGGATCCGTTCGACGTGGTGTCTGACCCCAATACACGATCCAATACCGGCTCTCACACCCCTGCGCCCAAGAGGGCGAGATTGGAGGACAATTAAATTCTGGTAGGGGCTCACCGTCGACCATCGCTGGTTTAACTGACAGATCGTAATCTGCAGCACCTTTTCGTGTTTGTCTCGTACAGCGCTATTTACGAGTCTACCCCAATGCATCGCTCTCATCAAGCTTCGCTTATACGCTGTCGCAATGCTGTCCTACGGCCGAGATTCAGAGGACATCGATGACGCCGGTTTACTCTGTACCCTCCGACGTCCCTCTTGTTATCCACAACCGCACTTTCTTGGATTTTTTTGATCCTGTTGCCCTTACGAAATGTTATCGATGTTTGTATATCTATCACGAATTTATGACTATCATGACCATATGATGAAACATCCATGTCGCTTGTCATCTCCTAGTGGAAAGCAACCGCTCTTCGTGCACTTCATTATTTGCTTCGTTCAAGAAGGCGCGCAAGTCTTGCGCCCCTCACTCGGATTTGACGGACTACGCTACTTTCAATCCCGCCACGTAAGACACTACCGACCGAGTATGAACGCGCCAGTCCCTACGCTCTCGAGCACGATGTTCTCCCCCACGATCTTGGCCCCGGTATCCAACACCTGCTTCAATCCAGCCCTCGCCGCCGCACGGAGCGCCGCCGGAATAGGCACCGTCTTCGCCTCGTAGTTGAGGTTCGTGACGAGGAGCAACGCTCGCGAGCCGACCGTCCACGACGCGACGTCGACGCGATCCGTGGGGCTCTGCGCGTACTCCGCCTCGGGACTGAGGATGAACGCCTTGGCGGGCTCGAGCGCGGCGGCAAGCGCGGACGCGGCAGCGAGCAGGTCGTCCGGCGCGGGCTGACCCCACGCGACGACGCCGTGGTTGATCGTGAGCGCGGCGGACACGGTGTACTCTGCTCCGGTCGGGTACCGCTTCCAGTACGTGTCGTTTCCGAAGGCTTGGGGTACCAGTCCAGACGGACTGAGAGAGTTCGCGGCCCAGGATCTGCTGGCGAGAGTCGAAGTCATCCAGTCGGAGATGTCTTCGAAGGCGCCCTTACAGTTATCGCACCCGCAGTCGCCGTACTGGAGTTATTGACGTGTCACAAGCAGCGATGGAGGGAAGGGGTTGAGAGACGTACGTCTGGGGTGCAGACCGTGCCCCTTTGCGAGCTGAATGTGACATTGTTCCCAACATGTACATATCCTGCATCACGATGTCTGCACCGGCAGAGTACTCCGTGAAGTAGGAGTCCTGGCAGCTGAGCACGAGGCTGACGGGGTGGCAGCCCGAGTCGAGGCCGTATATCGTGACGTACGCGAGCTGCGTCGCGTTCAGCGGGTCCTCCCACCCATCGGACTCGTCCCCGGTGTACGGTTCGGTCTGTTCTTGATCCGGTTCACCCCATCCGTGACGCCAGTGAGGTTCATGTACGTCCAGCGCATCCCGTACATGAGGTAGAGCCCGAGCTCCTGCATGCGCGTACGGCGTCGAGGGCGGTGAGATTGTCGAATGTCGGGATGTGGTGTACGACGGTGTGCCCCTGCGGCTTTGATTTCGTCGAGGCGCGGTGAGGTTGTCTGCGAGGAAGCCGCCGAAGGAGGTGTAGAATCCGACAGGGAAGACGGGGGCGTAAGGCTCGTCCGCGCCCGTTGCGGGCTCGGCGAGCAGCCCGCCTATGCGCATGTCCAGCTTGGTGACGCTGCCATTGGTGTTGTCCGGGATAAAGGGGACCTTGGCGGATGCCATGAATGATTGCTTGTCGAGAGTCGCACTGCAGGTGACGTCCAGCGGGGTCGTGCTGGCCGGACAGCGAGAAGGGAATTTCGAACTTGGACGCGTCGAGCGGCACCGAGGCACGCGCGAGGGTGCCGTGACCGGCGAGGGTGATGTTTACGCCCAGCTATTGGGTGGACCAGGAGGGCGTTCGGCACAGCATTGGCGATGTGGGAGAAGGTGATTGACGCATCGACGAGGATGGCGCCTTGGGTGCCGGCATGAGCGTCGGAGACGAGGTATGGTTTGATTGCGGGGCCGCAGCACAGGAGGATGCCATGGGGGCGAAAGTGATACTCCACGACTTCCCGCGTGTCTGACTCGCAAACACACAAGTACATTCTATATTTGTTTGTAGATAGTGATGTAGCGTTGCGATATCACAGAGTAGCCGTTGATGCATGCATACGCTGGATTACTCCAATGGTTCGTAGTCAGCTTGGCGTGATAGAGGGTATACAGTTGGCTTTCGCCTTTGTTTCTTCCGCGCGAGGACGACCAGGGTCTGATAGGGAAACTCGAAGATGCCGGCATCCTTGTCAATCCACACCTTCTCCTCTCCCTTGCGAACGATCTCTCGAACGGTATCTTTGACTTTATTCTTCTCCTGTAACACCCGTCAGTACTTTTCTGGATCGCAACGAGAGTGCACGCACGTCTTCGGGAAGGATCGCGATGTATGACTTGGAGCATACACGGTCGACCACACTGTCCTCCGTGCTTGTGATGGCGTGTTCCCTGGCCGTCAAAATGTCAGGGCACCGTTTCCCTCCGAGTTGGAAAAGATGGGATAGAGCGTACCAGGTCTGTTCGACAGGTTTCTCGAAGTACTGGATATAGTTGGGAGTATCGAACGTGGCGCGCCAGAGGCCGAGGCGGAACTGCGGGGTGCCGCCCTCGTGTTGTTCATACGCGTCTCTCAGCTCCGCCACCCAGCGCGCCTTCTCCCGATCCTCCAGGTTCCACACGAGGAACACCGCGCCTCCCGGCTTGAGGATCCTGGCGAACTCGGCAGAGGCGGCGTTGTAGTCCGGGCACCAGTGGAAGGCCTGGGCGATGACGACCGCGTCCGCCCAGCCGTCTTCGACGGCGGTCGTGTCGAACGTGCCGTCGCGGCAGGAGATCCGGGGGTCGTGCACGGTCTTGTTGAACTGGTCACGCATACCAGAGCTGGGCTCGATGGCGCGCAGAGCGCCGAGGGCCGAAGACCATGCCGGGTGAGCGAGGAGAGCACGGGTGAATATGCCTGTACCACTGCCGATCCTGTATCACCGTACGGTCAGATGCAAAGATCATTGGCAATAGAGGGTGGAGACACGTGCTCTACGAGGTTCAGAGAACCAGGCGACGAGATCTGGTCGCGGATGTATTGCAAGACTTGTGGCTGGTACGAAGGACGCGCCCTGGGAGTGTATCAGTCACAGTGACCGTATAAACCGAGAGCCGAGAGCGGTGACAAACCGATCATAGAGCTCGTTGGTTCCTGCGCCGAATCCGGTCGCTGCGACGTGATGCACGGTAGACATGGCTCGTTTGGATGACCATATGAGCGACAGGCGGTGGGCTTTATAGCAGCCTGAGCGAAAGCTGAAGGATACAGACGCAAACAAGGACATCTAATGGTAAAGTCGACCTCTTGGAGCAGATTAGATCCACATCGCACGCCTCAAGCACAAACGCAATTGCGGAGGTCGCAACCGTCGTGCAAGCCGAGGATTACAGCCACCGGCAACGGGACCAGGAGCCGAAAATAGCCTTCCCTGCCGATGCGATGGCGCAGATGACCGCGGGACCTTCCGGATACCCTCGTACACCAGTCACTAAGCTCCCTAAGTATGATGGAAGAGGTACGAAATACTCTTTAGTGATGAAGTGAAGCTCTTCGCTTTGTCTCTCATCTGGACGGAAATGCGCGTCGCACGTACGGTACGTGGATGCATCGCGTTCTGGCAGCGGGCAATTCCATCGATGACACGTGCTTCACGCTGTGTTCCCGAGAGTTATAAGTCTCTGTTCCTCGGGCGTAAGAACAAAGGCCCCAGAATTTCGGTTTTTTATTCATCTCTCTGGCGCAACTCGGGGTAGTGAAGAGGCCAATGCGAAAGAAAAGGCGAACGGTCTAATGCATATTTAGTAAACACGAGGCATCAGGCGTAGGAAGAGCCTGAAGGGTCCTGGTCAATCCGCATGGCGGCAAGCAATTCCTCCAATATTGCCGTATGACTCGTTTTATCACTATTCGGACAGGGAGCGGAAACAGGACGAGTTTGAACTCGAGTACTTACGTACTTGGCATCGACGTAGGCTCTGACCTTTCCGTGACCTGATGGTATATATGCTAGCCAGGAACTTGGAGCTGTAGCAGAGTTGCCATGCGTGCGCTGCTGCTCTCAACGTATTTAAGGGGCGACTCATAACGCAAGACGAAGCATGTCTTGCGTCCCCCAAATAGGAAGTCCGCCGTCGGAGACGGGCTTGGCGGACATTCCCACGTTTCACCGTCTGACTCGCTACGAGCCCACGACCTGTGTGCCTAGCCCGCTGTTATGTATAAGTACTCAACCATGGCGAGCAATTTCCGCGGGACATACGACGAACGCTGCCTCAATCCAGCTGGCAAAGCTCCATACATCACTCGGAAGATCCTTCTATCGGTACAATCATGGGCGGCTCGAACATGTACTGCACCATCTGCGGCGGCCCAACGTGTCAGAACTTGACCTACGAAGAGGAAGAATTCAACGATTTTGTGACGTTCGACGAGCTGCCCGGGGTCATATACGACGACGCGCTCTGGCTCAGCCACTCATCGGTGGTGATCTACGCGGATTGTCTCAGTCCTCCGGGAGAGTACGGTTCGCCGAATTACTCCAGGCTCGTTCTGTCCATAGTCTCCGCGTGCTGATTGACAGCTGTGCAGACTGGGGCGCGTACTGCGTCCGTGCGGCGAGCGGAGACGAGGAAAGCGACGACGACGTGCCCATGGCGGATGTCGCCAAAATGGATCCCGTCCACAGGCCGGTGGATACGAAGTCGCCCCTTGGGCCGGGGAGGTACAATTGCGACAACACAGACGAACCTCTCGCTCACGAGCTGTGCATACGTCTCGCAGCGTGCTGGGCAAAAGAAGCGCATCCAGACGCGTTCCCCGGGAAGGGGAAGGCGGATCCAGCCAAATATCTATGGGACGACCAAGGCCCTGTATGTCACTGGGCCTGCCAGGCCGAAATTCACCCGAACGACGATGATCACGACACGAAGGCGTATCTGGCCCAATCCAAGGTCGCCAGAAAAGCCGCGGGTAATCCGAGCCAAGTCGACATCTGGAGGAATTGGTCCCGGTCGTTCAAGTACGGCTACGAAATGGAAGACGAACAGGGATGGAAGTGGCTCGACGCGTGCGGGCAGGAGTACGAGCACGAGACCGCATTCGGGGTCGTGCATCTCAAGCGCCCCGATTGCTTCCCCGCTGTGCACGACCTCCCCCTAGACACGCCCGGTATATCCCCCACCTCCTTATTCCCGTCGTCCTCCCACTTTCCCGCGGACGTCGTGCTGAGTATCGTTGCGGACCTCGATGGCCCGGGGTTACGTGCGCTCGAGCGCACGTCCCGGGCCTGGCGCGACTTCCTGCGCTGCCAGCTCGCGCAGCGCCACATCTGGCTACCGCGCGTGAAGGAGTTCCATTACGCACCGACGGACGCGGACTGGACGAGCAGCGCGGACGTTGTGAGGCAGGCGATGGGGTCTCCGGAGCGCAGGGCGGCGGTTGACTGGAGGAGGTACTACAACGACTGCAGACAGAGCTCGAACATGAAGAATCGAGCAAGGGTATGGGACTCGGTATGGCAGATCAGCCACTGGCTGGATCACTGTGGGTGCAGCAAAAGGTCGGACGACGGCGGTGAGTCGGATGCATGAGCCCGTAGACGTGAGTATTTTCCCTCTTGCCTCCCAGCCGTGAATGTGATGTGCTTCGGATCGAAGGACTGTTCCAGCCTCTACGCCTTCATCGGGTCATTGGGTTGCTTATGCGGGTCGTGGCGATTGATGGAGGATCTCCGACAAGGCACGGTTAGCGTCAAGTCGGCACCGGGGGAGTGATTTGTTGAGTAAGCATGCCGGCAGCCGGAGCACAGATTCGTACAGCGATCTGTTGGCGATCTGCCTTCGAATCAACTTCGAATCGTTAGTAGGTTATGTTTGAATCGCTTATCAACCTGCGGTGAGTTCCCTGTTGACAGTTTATGTCGTCTGAGTGATGCATGTACATCAAATGTACATATGACTCCAATGGTGTTGTTTCTCTTCGACTGCGTTCGTTACCCATGAGTTGGGGCTCTCGTCGTCCCGCGAGGCTGACTCACATTTACTCGTTGGCCGGCCAGCGCTGACATCCGAGCGAGGACGATCCAGGAGTCATTTTGATCCACTATGCCTCGAGGTTCACGTCACATGGACCCTCACATCACTAATGATCTTCACGATCTACCCGAGCGAGATAGGAGCAAAGATGTCATCATAGGGGCACTCGTTCCTGAGGACGCTCTGCAGAACCGTTTATCCCGGCGCTGCAGGGCGGGGGTGGAGTTGAGTACCTTTGATTCTGTCGTCGTTCATTCTGCATTACGAGGCCCTCTAAGCTTTCCTTGGACACCGAGCGAAGCGTCATGTTTCTCGTAATGTTCCTCTGAGAAAACGCACTAAGACATCTCCTGACACGAACGACTGAATCGTTCGCTCGGACGAAAGCGGGGTCGGCGCGGGGAAGCCGTAGGGCAACCCCGGCCCGGGGCTCCGGATGAGCGGTTTCTCCTGGTCTCTCCTGCCTTCCCCGCATCTCGCGCCCTCGCTCGTCTTCAACGCTCGGAACCCCCCGGAAACCGGGCCCGGGTTCCGTTTCGTACCCCTAGCTTTCCTGCGTCTCGCGTGTCGCGATGGGTGTAAGATGGCCAGGAATTTTCAGATATAAAAGACGCGAATAACTCTCCGACGAACCTCGTCATCCGACTTTTCCCCGTTCCCCTCCTCCTCATCGACGACTTTGCAACGATGGCACCCGCAACGGGACGACGATTATATCGCACAATCAACTTCGTGGCTGGCCTCGCCATCTTCTTGTGGGTAGTTGTTCTCAAGGGATTCTGCATGACGCTGACGGAAGACTCGTTCAGCTTCGGTTATGACCAGGGAATGATGGGAGGTGTAAACACCTCCCCAGATTACGTCGAGGTTATGAAGCTTGGATACTCCACGTACGTGTCTCGCAGTCACGCATCCTCACATCGTTCCGCTTACCGACTTTGCACTCAAGCTACGAAGGCCCTTCACAAGGCTATGTCGCCACAATCACCCACCCTACTCGCCAAGGCGGCATCGTCAGCATATACTACTTAGGCACCCTCGTCGGCTGCCTCATGGGCGGCGTATTGGGCGACCGACTGGGCCGGATCAAGTCGATGTTCATTGGCGGCCTCTGGGTCCTCCTCGGCGCCACTCTGCAGTGCTCGGCGCAGAACATCTCATGGATGCTCTGCGCGCGCATCATCAACGGTATTGGCACGGGCATTCTGAATGCGATCGTGCCCGTATGGTCGGCGGAGGTGGCGACGCATACGTCCCGTGGCGCGTTCATCGCGATGGAGTTCACGCTGAACATCTTTGGCGTCGTTGTCGGTCAGTACTCATTTCGTTCACCTCAACAATTGACCACGACTTGCTGACTCGCATCTACTGTCTAGCGTATTGGCTCGAATTTGGACTTGGCTTTGTCGGAGACGGCAGGTCGCAAGTTCGCTGGAGGTTCCCCATCGCCTTCCAAATCATCCCCGTGCTCGCCTTCATGGCGTGCTTACGCCTGATGCCTGAAAGTCCCCGGTGGCTCGTCAAGGCCGGGCGGCTCGACGAGGCGAAACAGGTCTTGGGCATGCTTCGGTCTGAGGATGGCAATCTTGAAGACAAGAAGGTCGTGTCTGAGTACACTGATATCGTGGAGGTTGTCGACCTCGAGCATGCGCACGCGTCGCGGAACACGTATTGGGCCATGTTCTGGGGCATCGGTGAGTATCAGGCTATGAGAAGGTTGGATGTGCTCTGACTGACTATGTTCCTTAGGATCTGGTGACTTGCACGTCGCGCGTCGTGTGCAGTTGTCTATATGGCTGCAGATCTTTCAAGAATGGGTCGGAATCGCGGCCATCACCGTATACGCGCCTACTATCTTTGCCGAGGCGGGATACGACGCTCGTAAATCGCAATGGCTTTCAGGTCTTAACGACGTCACATACATGCTCGCAACGTTGATGGCCGTGGTCACCATTGACCGCTGGGGCCGTCGCGTGGGCCTGTGGTGGTGAGTTGTCTTTTCGCAAGCCGGTAATGAGGCGGTGGCTGATAAAGTATATCACAGGGGCGCTGTGGGCCAAGGCATCTCCCTCATTCTCGCCGGCGCGTTCGCGCGTCTGCTGAAGGACAACCCGGCAAAGGCGTCACAATACGGCGGCGCGGCCGCCTTCTTCGTCTTCCTCTACACCGCCATCTTCGGCGCGACCTGGCTCACGATCCCGTGGGTGTACCCGACCGAGACCTTCCCTCTCGAGGTGCGCGCGAAGGGTAACGCGTGGGGCGTCGTCGGCTGGTCGATCGGCAACGGATGGCTCACGCTCCTCAACCCGGTCATGTTTTCCTCCATCGGCGAGAACACGCTCCACATCTTCGGCGCCGTCAACTTCCTCACGATTCCGATAGTGTACGCGTTTTACCCTGAGACAGCGAACAGGACATTAGAGGAGATGGACCTGTTGTTCGCGAGCGACAGTCCGTTCGTGTGGGAGGAGGAGAAGCACTTTAAGAAACTGAAGGAGGCGCAGGTAGCGAAGCACGAGCAGGAGAGGAGCATGCATGAATCGCATGCGGTGTCGAAGGCATGAACGTGTGATATGATACACGATGTATACTTAGATTCTGTTCTTTGTGTAGTTGTGAGGTATATTCATTAAAAGTATAATCTGTGGATTTGACTTGAATGTCGATAAGAACGGTACTTTGGCGCAGTAACAAGGCGCAGTAACCTCCGCAGTGACCTGATAATGAGCCAGGCGTTTAAGATGTCGTCATAGCAGCGCATCTCTCATAGCCGACGTTATTACAGGGTAACGGGCGTGGCATACCTTTGTCGAGAGAAGTCGGCGTGTTCTTCCAATTCATCCTCGCCACGCCTATAAGTATGTCCAACGATAATGGCATCACACACAACAACTCATGAAGCCTCCTCTATCGAAACTATCGAAACTCGCAACACCACCAAAGAAAAAAATGAACGTCCACTTCGTGTCGGATTCTCCGCGCGACTCCATGATTCTCGACGGTGCTACGGGCACGCCACTCTTCGACGTGTCAACCTCTCGGAATATCGGTCGAGCAACAACGACCATACGTGCGGGACAAGCTGGCGTGGTCGCTACGATCGAGTGGCATGCGTTCAGCAGCACGCAAGTCACATACCGCGATGCTTGCTGGGACGTGGACTCGTGGCTCAGAAAAGTTAGGGCATATTCGGGAGGCCAGTGCCTATTCAACAAGTCTCTCTTGCGAGTATGCTGACTGTTTTGGGGCCACAGGCCGAGGACTTTCCGAGCGCCGAACGGACTTACTACATGTGGGAGCAAGATGGGCGTACCATGAGGGTGAGCATTGCGTGCAATGTTCAGGTATCGACGGAAACTGGTCAATCTACGATGTCGACCCGCTATCAGCTGGTCGATACCCAGTCGCGTATGACCGTTGCGCAGTAGCACCGTAAGCGGCGAGGTTTGCTGTCAAACGGAGACCTTGGGTTAGATGTGCAGCCAGAGGTTCTGCCCATCTTGGAGCTCGTCCTTCTCTCGTTCATCATAATGGAGTGGACGGCGAGGTCTCGTCGTCGCGCTGCCGCAGCAGCTGCGGGGTAATAGTGCAGCTGACATCTTAAATTGAAGGACATGATTAGTACCCTCCTCCACTCGTCTCAATAGATCATGCACATATATTTGACCGCGTTTACTGCGTTGTACATGGTCAACGTTCTTGATGATGGGCCTATATCAAAACTTATGAGCGAAACGTCACGTCGCGATGATGAAGAAGCCCACACCTTACCTTTGAAGCCTTCCTAGTCTGAGTCTTCGAAACAGTCGACGATGCGTAGCTCCGACGCAGCATGACGGAGGACACGCACGTCCGTGGGCTGAACGCCGCCGCAGCGACGTATAAACACCCTATCTACCCTCCGACCCTGCGTCGAACGGTCAAGCAGGTACTTTTGGAAGATGAGCAGGTCCGAGCGAGTCAATAGAGGACTGTGGGTGAGATGGATATGGTTGAAGGGAAGTCGCTCTACAGGAGATTCCGAGCCTAGGACTGTGCATAGAATCCGTGCATAGAAACCAGACGCCCGAACCAGAGGGATCGCAGGCAACGCCTGCAAGATAGTAAGGAGCGAGTCCTTTGTGGGAGAAGCGACGTCGTCGAAAGCTGTGTCATCGGGGCATTCAAGAATCAACTCGTTGATGGTCAGAAGGTCGAACGCTCCGCAGAAGTCCGGAGTGATCCATAGCACGCTTTTCCAGAACGAGACGGCGCCATCATACATGGATACGCTGGCGATTGGGGCATCGACTTTCTTCATCGGCCAATCCACTTCTGCTTGAGAGGCGTCGTACCACTGCAACAGAATGCATTCGTCCGAGATCTTGAGAGTGCAGTATTTCCGAGGGGCATTCTTGAAGCGATCATCAACGGACGTCACGATGGATGAGAAATGGGCGGGATACTGGAGATCTGTTGCACGATTGGCGCTGATGTGGAAAGAATACGCAGCTGAAGCAGTACAGGGCATCTGAACGGCCGCAGAGATATAGTCACACACGCGAATGTCGTCGACAACGTCCAGGATTCGGAGATTAGGGAGGGATATATGTGAGCGATAGCGTTGAGGAGGGGGTGGAGCGTTCGCGGCATTGCGAAGATAAAGGCGTTGCAGATTTGACATGTGACTGAGCATATCGCACAGTTTGCTCGAGGCGCAGAGATGTCGGCCTTCGATCGATAGCTCCTCGAGATTGTGGAAGGAGAAAGGTTCCGTAGAGGAGAATTCCAAGCCTGAGACATGGTACATCCGAATGGACGAGAACATGATGCTTGGAAGCTCGAAATCCCAATGCCGCACGCTTCCCCGCACGACAGAGATCATGAGCGTTTCAATATTCCGGACGTTCGCTGCTACCATCGATGATAAAATGCGAGTGGCCACTCTCGGCACGGCTCTGAGGTAGAGGGCTTCCACTCGAGCCACGTCGGATATCGTCTGTAACACATGCATCGCGGCAGCAAAAACCACCTCCCCATTCCCTCCATTTGCGCACAAAACGATGCGAAGGTCTTTGGAGTACTCCAGCATGAATTCGGTAGCACGGACATCAGACAGGTCGAATTTGGTCCACAGAGCTGGGACATCCCAGGCTATATCTTTCCAGCGATGACAGACTCGTGTTATCGAGCCAAGGAAAGGAATATCAGAGTCCCAAGGCGAGTTGGACCAGATGGCGAAGCAAAAGATGCGAATCAGCAGTTCGGTAGGGAGGGTCTGGATGTGGGCGAGTTTTTTGCCTTCCACAGCACTGTTATGAGATTCGTAAGGCGGTTCCATATAACCCCACTTCTATCCGACGTAAGTCATATGCTAAAGGTATACAATCAACGTAGCTCACTAGCTGCTGAATGGTCCGGGGTCGAGCTCCGGAAGACGAGCTGCGATGAATCGGGCGGGATTGCAGGGAGAGAAGCATTCTCTCGCGTCGCGTGTTGCCTTTACCGCTTTATACCCTCAGAGGCTCAGATTTGTCATAGCAGTTCCAGAAAGAGCTTGGCATGTGTTTGTTGCGAACACTTCATTTGGTCGCCAACGGTTCGCCGTTGACATACTGTACTTTTACGACCGTAAGTTCGGCCAGGTCGGAGGGGGACAGGGGACACCCCCCAAGTTCGGGGCCGTGGGAAGTTCATCCGCAGCCTGCCCGGGGGACACGTGCTTACGAGGTCAGATTTTTTGATCACACGGTCAGATTTGAGACTCTCACGGTCAGATATAAGGTGTCCCGGAGGTTCGGAGTGCCAGGGGACAGGGGACAATAAGTTCGGTTCGGGTGCCCCGGGGACGCGGGACGAACTTACGGTCGTAAAAGTACAGTATATGAATCGGTGAGTAAGGTATAGCGTGACGATGATGTTACACGGTGTTTACGCCTCCGACCCCCTCCTCCGACCCACGACCAAACCTGCAGCACCGACCTACCTTCAGCGCTTACTTCCTGAGTCGTTCGGCTGCCATCATCAATCTAGAGTCATGCATGCATCGTGCTTTTCCATCTGAGATTTGGTAGGTAACCTACCATATATAGATATATTGCTATTTCTCTACTTCAAGTAAAGATCTAATTTTGACGGGGACTTTAACAATTGATATGGAATTTCATAAAGAAAAATGTACAAACGTATTTTGTAATGAAATACTCTGGTTGTGACCGCGCTCTTCAGAAGGTTGCGGTCTAGCACTCAGACTCCACCAAATGCGCGCGTATCCGAGTCAATGATCGGATCTTTTTTCTCCGACTTCTTGTGACACCTTCGTTGACATACACCGCACCACTATGAGCTACTCTGCACGCAAGAGGAAACTCGGCTCTATCTCCAGTTGGTTAGACCCTGCAGGGTTCGTGTTTTTGCCGCATTTTCCGCGCATACTCGTGTTTCAGGGGCTTCTAGGGCAAGCTGGGACATAGATTCGCCAACTTGCGGCTATAATTGCATTGCTACGCTTTGTCTACGCGCATCTCCGATCTTGTGCAGTCAATACGATGGTTGTCATCGTGGTCCACACGTTTCGTCGGGCGAAATTCTCCCCTGTGGTCCCATACGCCATATAAGACGGTCCCCACAAGCCTTCGACCATTTTATTGTCGCTCCTTGAGTTCTAATATGACCTCAAGCGCAAACGCTTCCGGCCCTGCTCTCATGGCCTGCCTAGCAGAGTTCCACAACGCGCACCCGAAATTGCCACTCACTGCCAACAACTGTACCGGCGGTCTCGTCACCGACAGCCTCATCTCCTTCCTAAACCTTTCATCGACTGCCCGAAACACCCTATCAGAGATGTCGTCGTGGTCGAACTTCGTAGCCGCGTACTGCCTGAGCCCACCTGTGTGTTGAATTGTCCTTAATGACATCAGCAGCTGAAGAAGGCTAACAAGTATTGCTGCGTACACTTAGCCCGACGATGGCTGCCCTTTCGGTGTGTGTCCTAATCCTGACATTGCAGGTAAGCATTGTCTACTCTGCAACCGTGGATTGCATTACTGACATCTGTGCTAAAAGGGCTATTCGTTCGCATCGCGAGTATGTTTATCGCAATCATTTTGTATTCACTGTCTTTGATGCACCACACCGTTTTATAGCCTATATAACGGCACTGTACACCAGTGGGCTCACAGTACCTGATCCAGTATTTGGCTCTTACTTGTGCACACTTGCTTCCGCAGGCTACCTGATATTTTACTCGAATAAGAAAGAAGACACCGAGGACGGTAAGCCGTGTCCATCTCACCACTTCCTGTGCTCATGATGATATATTTATAGCAATCAAAGGGCACCTTGCCTTAATCGGCTGTCAAGTTCTCGCGGGACTCATTGCTTTACTCAAAGGAGAGCTCACGCAATTGCACGTCATCATCTTGGCTCTTTTGTGTGGATCCCCGATGACATGGCAGCTAATCATCTACTCGATTGGGTATTCGGAGAGCGTTGCAGAATACTTCAATCGCTGGGGGCTTCAGACATTCCTTCCCTGTGATAGACGTGCGAGCTTCAATGGTGGAGATGCCCAGGGCCAGCGACAGCATTCCAGTGAGGAAACGGCGAACACAACAGATTATCACAGTTCGCTCTCCGTATCGTCGATCCGTCGTGACATGCCTTTTCGAAGCATCGGAAAACATATGAAACGTCTCACACAATACTCCATTCCATTCATAACAGCTGTGGTGGCAACACTTTGGGCCACCGTCGCAGCCATAGGACTTGGCCACCCTCATGCCATCAAATTCTCCCAACCTTCTTGCAATATCGCCTCAATAACACCTAGCATCATCACCTGTATCACTCCCGTGGGCCTGGTTGTTGGTGGTTGCGTCCAGACTCTCATCTACAAACGATTCAGGCGAGCTATCAGAGCCATTCGGACAGCGACGGGTATTGACACTTGTGTCTCTTTTACCATTTAAAGGAATACCTCTACATCCCATCCAGCGTTAACCTATGCTATACAACTAATGATCGCTCAAGCACCAGTCGCGACTGTGATCTACACATGCTACGTAGTTTGGATTACGGCGATGGAGATTTATATCAAGGGTATCCCAGATCGGCACATCACATTCTCGTTCGGACAGGTAAGAAACAGCCACTCCGTAACACGCCTTCTCGATGTGAACGCTGACCAAAGATATCGTCATGGTATAGTTCCTTGCGTTGTTACCGGTGTGCCTTGTCATGATATCGTACATCAGAGCCATCTGGTCGATGATGATCTCCGTGGAAGACCGTGTGATAGCATTGGTCTTGGAGGAAGAAGACCGGTCAGACGAATTGGAGACTATGACATCCCATCCTGGATACCCGGGTCCTCGTAGCACACCCAACCCTTGATACCAAGATCTTCATAGTATATCCCCTCCGGAAACCAAGGTCCTTATAGTACGCCCCTTGCCGGGCACCAAGCTCCTTACGGTACACCCCCCTTCCTGATACCAGGGTCCCAGCCGGGATACCAATATCCTTACGATGCCCAGGCATTCTGTTGATATAGATGGGGCATAGCATGCAGTATCCGTCATCGAAACCATCACCCCGAGGTTGTATCCATATCACGATGATGTATTTGAATTGGATTACACGGCAAATACGTATTCCTTGACGGACCCGCCGAAGAAAGTTGGTCCCACATACTCGGCCCGCACAATCTGAAGCTCAAGTACTTCCCGCGGTCGCGCATGCTCCGCGAGTTGGGCACGAGAGCTTGAGAGTGCCACATGTTTCCCGGCTTCCTACATACCTCAACCGTGTCAGGTTATACTCGCGATTTCAAGTCGCAATTGATGTCGTCGGGCTTGGATGAATGCTCGTACTTTGGGTGCTGAAAGCAGAAACTCGTTCCAGGCCGCTCACGGGAACGGAAAACCGCGACTTGCGAACCTTCCGTGCAGGATCGGTCGAAGTGACAGCACTTTAGTGGGTCCACGCCAAGCCAGAAGGGGAGACACTAGTCCGAGTATGCGATTATTGAGGCGGATAGAGACGTCTGGCATTTGTTTTGATCCACCGAGGTGTCACGCACCGTAGAAGCCATAAGGACGCTCGATGGTTCAAGAAAAGTCGGATAGCGGGCATCACGCAACACAGGACACATTCCATGGTCCATGAAGTCCATGAGGAGGAGACGCAAGGCCAACAGGTCATCGCTGGTCATCGAGCCCGCATGTTGAGCGACGGCAGCGTCGGGAGTCGAGAGGGAGATCCGGCAGCATCACACTCTCCCGGCCGTACCGCCGCGGTCTCCCCGAGAAGTGGCCTGGGTCCTATCCATCCCGAAGGCGTGCAAGTATAGCGGATGTCGTACATAGCTGGCGAAACCGACGTCAGTAGCCTAGCGAAGTCGGCGACGAGCTGGGTTTCCGTTGAATGACTCGGCAGGGTCGGGCAACGGGAGCTCGGGAGGCTCGGCAGGGCGCGTTCCGCTGGCGGGAATGCAGCGGCGCGGAGTGGCCAAGGATATGCGTTTCCCCGGACGGCGCGGCCGGCGGGGACGGGCGTCGAGCGGATTGGCTGCAGCGGGGATTGACGGCGGTGTAAACACCGTGCTCCCATTGGCCATCCGGCTGCACCGAGTCCTTTATCACGGGACGCGAGCCAGCGATTCCATCACCGCGCGTTGAGCCGGGGAACTCCGAACGCTTTTCTTCCCCCTTCCTCTCCATCGTCGTCTGCCAACGCGAGCTCGTCGTAGCCCGCCTCGTCGAGCACACGATGTTCAACCTCACTCAGCGAACCGCCCACGCTGTGCGGCGGCTGGCCGCCGGGATGGCCACCGCCGCCGAACGCATCGGTGACACCAAAGTGCCCATGTCGCTCCTCGAGAAGGGAGCGTACATCAACTACCAGCGCATCGAGGACAACCTCGCCATTGTTCGTAGCAGGTAAGCGCGAGCACGGCTTCTACTGTGTGCGTTCGTACTAACTGCAACAGGCTCAACCGCCCTCTGACGCTCTCGGAGAAGATCCTGTACGGGCATCTTGACGATCCCCATGGCCAGGACATCGTCCGTGGCACCAGCTACCTCAAGCTTCGCCCTGACGTGCGTATGCAGCAGCTTGCGCAGATATATGCGTGTCTAACACCTCGAGCAGCGTGTTGCGTGCCAGGACGCTACGGCTCAGGTTAGTCCGGTCGCTATCTTTGTGATTCGCCTTCTGACGTCATATTCCGCCTTCCATTTCAGATGGCGCTCCTCCAGTTCATGTCGGCTGGCATGGACACAGCGGCGGTCCCAACTACCGTCCACTGTGACCATCTTATCGAGGCGCAGATCGGCGGTGTGAAGGATCTTGCTCGCGCGATCGACATCAACAAGGAGGTCTACGACTTCCTTGCCACGGCTACGGCTAAGGTGAGCAAACTGTCACAGGCTCATTTCATCATCCCTTACGATGTACTTCAGTACGGTCTCGGTTTCTGGAAACCCGGTTCTGGAATCATCCACCAAATCATCCTCGAGAACTATGCCTTCCCCGGTGGTCTCATGATCGGTACGGACTCGCACACCCCCAACGCCGGTGGTCTCGGTATGGCCGCTGTCGGTGTCGGTGGCGCGGACGCGGTCGACGTTATGGCTGGACTTCCTTGGGAACTGAAGTGCCCGAAGACCATCGGTGTTGAACTTAAGGGCAAGATCAGTGGCTGGACTACACCTAAGGGTACGTTGTCTTGTCACCAGTATGGACCGACCATCTGACCTTCCCGTAGACGTCATCCTCAAGGTTGCTGGCATCCTCACGGTCAAGGGCGGCACTGGCGCAATTGTTGAGTACTACGGCGAGGGTGTTAATTCGTTGTCCTGCACGGGTATGGCGACCATCTGCAACATGGGTGCTGAGATTGGTGCGACCACGTCGATCTTCCCCTTCAACCACCGCATGCAGGACTACCTCACGGCCACCAAGCGCGCGGACATTGGCGAATACGCTCAGCGCTTCTCGCACAACCTCGTCGCGGACAAGGGTGTCGAGTACGACCAGCAGATCACCATTGACCTCAACGAGCTCGAACCCCACATCAACGGCCCCTTCACCCCGGATCTTGCTACTCCCGTCTCCAAGTTCAAGGATGAGGTCATCAAGAACAACTGGCCAGCCGAGCTCAAGGTCGCTCTCATTGGTTCTTGCACCAACTCGTCGTACGAGGACATGTCCCGCGCCGCTTCCATCGCCAGGCAGGCGTCCTCCCACGGTCTCACCACCAAGTCCAAGTTCACTGTCACCCCCGGTTCCGAGCAGGTCCGCGCTACCATCGAGCGTGACGGTCAGATGGCCGCCCTCGAGGAGGTTGGTGGTCTCGTCTTGGCAAACGCTTGCGGGCCCTGCATCGGTCAATGGGACCGCAAGGACGTGAAGAAGGGCGAGAAGAACTCGATCATCACCTCGTACAACCGTAACTTCACCGGCCGTAACGACGCAAATCCCGCCACGCACGCCTTCGTCGCCTCCCCCGACATCGTCACTGCGTTTGCGTTTGCCGGCGACCTCCGCTTCAACCCCCTCACTGACGAGCTCACCGGCGCCGACGGCAAGAAGTTCAAGTTTGACGACCCCAACGGCCTTGAGCTCCCGCCCAAGGGCTACGACCCCGGACAGAACACCTTCCAGGCCCCTCCTTCCGACCGTGCTTCCGTCCAGGTCGCTGTTGACCCCAAGTCTGACCGTCTCCAGCTGCTTAAGCCCTTCAAGCCTTGGGATGGCAAGACCCCGACCGACCTCCCGATCCTCATCAAGGTCAAGGGCAAGTGCAGTACGTATTGATCTTTCCTTAGACTTCTGGTGATTATCATCGCTCAATCGCCGCTCCACCTATAGCGACCGACCACATCTCCGCCGGCGGCCCCTGGCTCAAGTACCGCGGCCACCTCGAGAACATCTCACAAAACTGCCTGATCGGCGCAATCAACTCTGAGAACGGCGAGGCGAACAAGGTTAAGAACCAGATCACGGGCGAGTACGGCGCGGTGCCGGCGACGGCGGCCTACTACCGCGACCACGGCATCAAGTGGGTCGTCGTTGGTGACCACAACTACGGCGAGGGTTCGTCGCGCGAGCACGCCGCGCTCGAGCCGCGTTTCCTCGGCGGCCTCGCGATCATCACCCGCTCCTTCGCCCGCATCCACGAGACCAACCTCAAGAAGCAGGGCATGCTCGCCCTCACGTTCGCCAACCCGGACGACTACGAGAAGGTCCGCCCCGACGACCGCGTCGACATCCTCGGCCTCGAGACCTTTGCGCCCGGCAAGAACCTCACGCTCCGTCTGAAGCACTCTGACGGGTCGCAGGAGGAGCTCCCGCTCGCGCACTCGTTCAACGAGGGCCAGATCGAGTGGTTCAAGGCAGGCTCCGCGCTCAACCTCATGGCCGCCAAGGCGAACGAGGCTAAGGCCTCCGCATAAGTTTTTGCTTTCTTGCATAGCAATCAAAGATGTACGGATGGCACGTGCCAGGAGCGGGAGTCAGTCTCGCTCCTGTATGCCTTTGCCATCCCACAGTAGATGAAATGGGCTGCTTGCTCTCAGTCAAAGTGTCTCTGGTCTCTTAATCACGCTCTCGGCATCTCCTTTTTTTTATATCCCTGTGTTTTATTGCCTCCATCCCTGACGCATGCTGATTATATCCGAGCTTCTCACTAGTCTAGTTACACTTGTTACCTACGCTAGCAGTCGTGGACGATGATCACGAAATGAAAACGGATTCGGAAATCAAATTCGGGTTGCTCGAGCGTTCGAAAGTGTGAGTACATTTGCGTTCACCGAGTGTGGTATGTACGTATGTTACATGGTGACTGTAGCGTATCCGAACGTGGTTCCTTCCAGTCCTCGAGCTACCAGCATAAAGTGGTGTGCGGCGTCTCGGGTCTTCTTCAATGAGCGCGAGCTGCGTAGATCATGCGTCTCATGAGCTCAGATACTCCCGAGCAGACAGTCGGGCCACGTACCCAGCCAATGCTTTCACCAGTTTCTCTTTCGCTTCCGGCCCTGCTTTCGACTGCGGGAAGTCCTCCTGCACGACAAAGAGCCAGCGACAGTCAGCCGCAGACAAATCGTAAGGTGAGCGCATGTCCGACGTACCGCGAAGAGGATCTGCGGTATCCACGTCCTGCATTGCTCCGGCCACCTGCTGAGCAGCGTCGAGAGCAGCTCGATGAGGTTCGGCGTGCACGAGCGCGGGGCGAGCCCCGCGAAGCCGCTCAGGATCGCGCGGAGGATAGCGTAGCCGTACGTGAGCGCGAGGGTATCTTTCATCTCGGTGACTTCGTCGCTTGACGACGTCCGATTGACGAGGGAGGCCTGGACGTATCAAAGTGAATATTCCGTGCGTATGTGTAGCAAGTCGTGCGGCCCGGACGTACGAGGAACGTGGAGGCGGAGACGAGGGCGTAGCGCTCTTGTAGGGAGAGCGCTTGGATGGCGCAGCGCATGAGAGAATCCAGGTGGCCTGGAGGTAGTCTGTAGAAACTCGCGATGAAATGGATCGCGATCTGGGCCCCGTCAAATATGCATACCCTGAGCCTGTACGTGACATGCTGACCTTTTCCATGCAGTCGAAAAATGCCTGGACGATATCCGGGTTCTGCGAGGGAGACTTATGAGGTCGAATCTGAAGGGGTCACGAGGAGACGTACTGCTTCCATGGCTCCCGCTTGCCCGAGGAAGTTGAGCGACGTTTGTAGAAGAACTGGCAGTAAGCTCCCTACAATCGCTTGCGCTTCAGGATTGGGCGCAGGCTTGAATGTCGACAGCAGTGGCGGCGGGTTCAGCTGGATCATGAGCATACTCGCCAACGATAACCATACAGCTGTCAGCTGTTGTTGCGCAGCGAAGCACACAAGCTCCAGCAATGCCCCAGGCGGCAACGATATAATCGTCATGTCTGCATATAGTGCAGTGATGGATTTGAACAAGTCGCTTAAAGCCTAGCGAGAGGTTAGTCAGTCCCGCACAGCGATAACGGAGAGTAAGCTTTCGTACATCGCTGATTGCCGCATCGGAGGACCAACGCTTGACAGTCTCCTGGACAGCACCTAGTATTGACTCCCGAAGCTTGACCATCCGAGGATTTTGTCGAGCAGCTTCCAGTTGTCGAGTCTCCGCTTGGATCTCGGCTTCTTCATCGGAAGATAACAATGAATCGGTCATACGCGTCAAGCCCTTAGCCACCCCCGACAGTGTTTGTAGCTGGACTATAGCCATTGCCTGAGCATCTTCCACAGCCTACGACGTGACCTCAGACCAGCTCTGTACTGCGCGGATGATGGGAGTGCTTACCTGTGCAGGCAACTGTAACGCCTGCCACAGCTTCGCCACTACCGGGCCGACCATACCGTCGATGGGCTCGATTTCTTGCTCGGGAGGCAGAGCTTGTATCACGCTAGCTATCGACTGCAGTACCTTGCTCTTCTCCGTATCCTAACCGCAGATCGCGCTCAGATAGATGAACATTGACTACACGCACGCTAGCACATACCGGCACACTAGACAACCCTGCGTTGAGCTGGGCGAAGGCGCTGATATGAGGCGCAAGTGCCGCACGATTTGCATCACATAGTTCGCGAAGTGCGTTTGCGGCATGCAAGCATAGTCCTGGTTCGCTGAGAGCGGCCACAACGTACGAAACGGCGTTCATAAGCAGAGAGGTTTGCTGGGTAGATGTCGGAGGTAACGTCGATTGCGTCATGAACCAAGTTGCATATTCACCTGCATCGGGAATGAGAATATGCATCTGTGTGCGGATGACGGGAAAACGTACCGATAAGGCCTAAGGTTGTGCGGCGTACGCGATCATGACTGGAAGTCGGCAAGCGACCTAAGATATCGGGTCCAAAGAGGCGCTCTAGATGGGCGTTGGGCTCTACGGGAACAGCCTCTTGGATTGACATTATTGAGTGTAGCGTCGCTTCAATCTCCTACAGCCCGTCTTACAATTGGTTCTCGAAGTTGGAATCGATAAAGCTGACCTCCCATTCTTGCCCGTTCTGATTGCGCGCAAGCCGCTCTTCCAGGTCAGCCAAGTACAGTCCCAGCATGTCGTCCCGGAGTATATAGTAGCTGATCGTGGTGTGTCAGCATCAAGCAGAATTGTGACAGGATAGAATGAAATGCTTACGCGTTGATTAAGGTATCACCGACATCGCGTCGATAGCTGGAAGGAGAGCTATCAGTCGACAAGCTCAAAGAAGAGCAAGCGAAGCGACTGACACCTGGAACTTGTCTTGTAGGTCTGCACGAGGGGTGTGAATATCAATATCGTCTAGGAAAGCGGTAGAGCCATATCCCACCTTTCGTCCAACTGCTCAGCACCTTCGTAGGTGGCCACACGATCTTTCGCCTTAGTACGGTGACCAGCTCTACGTACACCGCTTTCGCGACCTGCCATTGATCTTGTTCCTGCTTGTCGGTGGTACTTCCGCTTTTACTCCGGTTTACTTGCTCCTCCTGCTCCGCGTCGAAGTCGTATTCGACACTCCACAATGTTTCCTGGAACAAGTACCAGAACCCAAGCGTACTCTCGGAATCTTCCTCGTCCACTCCGTAATACCCGGGAAGGGAGGTGTAGGAGAGCAAAGACCGCAAGAATGTTTGGACTAATTGGCCCTTGGTGGCTGAAACAACCGGTTGAGATTGTAGCGAGGGTTCCATATGCGCGTTCGAGGCAAGATTGTTCGCGAGGTATTGTATCGAATGATCTCCGAGCGCCACGAGGAGCTTGCAGAACGAGTGAGAGACATCGTCGACGATCCCAGCTGTGTGACCATGACCATGTAAGCGGAGGTTCGGCGAAGCCGGAGGTGATCGCACAATTTAGAGTTTCTTGGATGATGGTGCCTCCCCAGCTCGCGACCCACTGGAGCAAAGGTTCGGTAAGGGTCTTGACACCAGCACCGTCCGCCATCGATGAGTTGGACATTATTTCCTGAAGCGCGTCGGAGGCGGGCACGAAGATCGACTCGTCGAACTCGATGCCTTGCTGGCCGGGGGTCGTCACAGGCGTTAACAACGAGATGAGAACAGGGATGAGTGGGGTGATGTCGCTGCAAGAGCGCGAGTCAACATCGGACGGGAAGGAGAGAACTCGAGAGTGTACTTTGCTGGTAATGTCGGTAGCCATGCCTGGAAGCACTTCAACGCAGCGTGCGACTCGTTCAATGAAGAAGTGGTAGTCGTTCGCTGCATGCGCTGGGTGGCGGCATTGCCTACTGAGGACGAGATCGCCTGCATGACGAGCGGTATAGCGTCCATCAAAGACTGTCGCATACGTGACCTAGGCGTTTCGGACGCATCAGAGGCAGGACCGCGAGTACATGGCTGATTGACGAACCTGTGAAATCCAAGGAGATCCGCTCTGTCGACTTCCTCCGCCACGATGGAGAGGAAGTCCAATATCTGTTCGGCAGAGGCTCCGCGGCTGGAAAATGACGTGCAACAAGACACTATCCAGTCTGACCATTCGCTTTGCTCTGCGGGTACGAGCTTCAACGCGAGTGATGTGACCTACGTGGCACCTGTGGTCAGCGCGTTCGAGAAAGACAAAGGCATGGGACAGGGGAGTACTTGGCAGCGTCAGGGAAGAGTGGCAGATCGGTCGCATGGGTGCTATGCGTGAGGTATCAGCATGCGTTTGCTGGGAACCACGTTGGATGTAGCTAACGGAGAGACACCTGTATGCGCGGAGCTTGATCCTTCTGCCACTCCCTGATATGCACGAATATGATGTCGAAAGGGTTCGGTGACACTTACGGCGACAGATAGTTTCCTCAAAATCACTTTGTTCCTGCCGAGCACCATTGATCCACCCGTCAGTTCCACCAGCAGATCCTTCAAGTCAAGGGCATTGTCTTTCGGAAACGAATCCCTGTAATGATAGGGATAAGTAGCGACCCGAGGAGGGGAAGAACATCGCCAGGAAGCCAATTACCAATCTCGTGCTATCTTCACCTGCGCTGTATGCGCTCCGAAGAATTGCACATTCGGATCCGGATCCTCCAGGAACGGCACGACAAGTCCCCATGCCTCGGGCCGTTTCTGGATGTCGAAGAGGTCTTGCTGAAGGGTCCTTTGCGCGTCCGCCGAGACATGGGCTTGCGGTGAATACGCTTGTTGGATGAGCTACAAGCTTCGGATTCAGGAATGTCGAACGAGCGCGGTTATTTCTTTACCTGAGCTGCCTGTTGTACGTCGACAGGCGCGAGTGTCGGTAAGAAGGTAGTGTTCATAATCGGTTCGCTGTTATGGGCGCCAAGAGCGCCTCAGAACGGAGTCACAGGCCACTGAAATGCGTTCGCAAGCAGCCCGGCCTAGTGTCAACGTTCGAGAGTCAAAGATGCAACGATATGCTAGGTTCCCAGGTCAGTTGACGAGGTCGTCGTGGTCGATTAAGCAAGAGACATGGTCAGCAGCCACATCTTGCCAAAGGAGAAGTTTGGACGATGAGGATCGGCAACCATGGCCACCTTGCCTCACCGGCTATATACAACATTACTACATAATGAGCCTTGACATACTGGCAATGGATCTCATACGATCTCTTCAACGGGACACGGAACATTTCCGCATAGTCTGTGTAAAATATACTATAACATTTTATTCCAAAATACTTTTCCTCCCTGCGACCCGATGTTTCCAAACCCCCAACTCTAAACGTCGGCGCGGAAATGCGCCGCGCCGGGCACCTTGAACCGCGGCATCACCTTGTCGTCCGCCTCGATCGGCGATGGGTCCGTGGTCGAGTGCGAGTGGCCCCGACCGTGCAGCGGGATGACGTCCACGTCGCGATACTTGTCCTGGGTAACGGTGATCGATATCGGGCCGCGCGAGCGCGAGTCGATGTGGACGCCGCCCGAGGAGCTGGTCACGCCCCGGGAGGAGTTTTCGGCGCGCTTGCGGATGGATTTCCGGGCGTTGAGCATGGCGAGGAAGGAGTTCATGTAGAGCTTGGTGATGAGGAAGTCGAGGCCGAGGTAGATGAGGTTGTTGGGCATGATCGCGTACTGCCTGCAGCGTTTAGCGGGCAATCGTGCGACGAGTATGGGCAGCACTCACGATGAGCACGATGGCCAAGGAGCAAGCACTGGTCAGAAGTCCCGTGCTTAACACCCAGAAGATAAGCATGTTCAACATCGAGTTAGTCCTGCGATGAAGGTCAAGACACGACGATCATTCGCGGTGCAGAAGGCGAAACTCACGGTTTGAACATGGATTTGCCCATTTGGAGGTAATAGCACATGCAGGTGGATAGCAAGATATCTATCGCGGTTGCTGTGCTAAACGACGCATATAGCGCCCACTGAAGACGGTTCGTCAGTCCAGGAATGACGATGAATACGAGAGAACGTACCCTAGCATCGTGAACGCCAGAAAACGTCTTGATCTTCGCGACTTGCACCCCTGCGGCAAGCGCCACGCCCCATGCTGCGACCACCGCAACACCCTGGGTGCGACGCGTTAGAATAAGAGAAGTCGGTCGCATTGCCGGAACCGCGTACTCACCACGATCCCCGGAATGAATTTTCTTCCTCCGCTAAGACGATATATTCTGATGGCGTATAGCGTCTGCACTGTCGGTAGCATGATGTCGGTGAGGAAGTTTTGAACCTTCATGCTCCTGATCGTACTGCGTCAGGAAATGATGTTCCAGCAAGCATGCGTGAGGGGCGTACCAGATGAAGTTGTCGAGTGCTACAGGGTCACCCCAGTTGGAGACGAGGTAATAGTACACGGCATGGCAATTGAACCCGAGGATGAGCGCGTCCAATATCCATACAAAGGCGACCTGACGAACGGATAAGAGGCCCGAACACTATGAAAAACTGCAAAATCCTGGTACGTACAGCTGCCTTGAGCGATCTGCTGTCGTTTTCGTATCGGTTGTAGTAGTAATACAGTTGCAAATTGCTGGTGATACCGAACGCGAATGAGCAAGGTCCGTGGCGGGGTGGGGGAGTAGGCGATACGCACGAGATGCCAAATAATCTGACAAAGGGGGAGAGCAGGATCAGCGTTGATTAACCCCTGGATATGTGAGCACGCGCACATTGCGGACGCCACGAGTCCTATAAAGGTAGCACCGAAGGTGTTGTCCATCGTGACAGCAACGGCCATGACGAGACCCTATCGTCGAACACCTGGCCTGGAACGAGGGGTCGGGGGAAAGGAAGGAACGGGTAGGATCGAGGAGGGGACTGGAAGATAATATGTCGTCGAAACAAATTCGACGCGGTGAAGAAGGAGCCGGGCGGGAAAGCTTGAAGGGAAGAATTATATCGCATGGAAATTTAGACTTCGACGTCGGCATGCCGTGTTCGTTGGAGTTTGGGGCGCCGGGAGCGCCCAACCTGTGGACCCGATCGAGGATCTCTGCATACACATGAGAGCACATGCTCGTCGCCAACGACGTCGCCGAGGAAATTCGCCCTGACTGGCTCAGGCACATCGGTGCATTGGGCAATGCGGGGAATTCAGATCCATCAAAGCGCGGAAACAGCATTGGAGAAAGGGAACCGTACATCCCGCATTGCGAGTCAATATGCAGGTCAAAGGCGGACCCCGTAACATCATCAAAATAGCATGCAAAATCTCGCGAGAGGTGCTGCCATGCGGAGCAAATTTGAGCGGTTCCCTTAAACGGCTCCGGATAGAATCGATGAATGGGGACCGTACCAGTGTAGAGAAAAGTCCCTCAGCCAAGACTGCGCCGTTTCTCAGCCACCACCGATCGCCCTTCGCCGCAGAATTCGTTCATGCGAGTCACGGGCCCTCGACTTGCGCAATGCACGAGCTTGGACACAGCCTTGGAGACAAAGACCCCGCGCGAACCGTATGGGCGGTCGATGCACGCGCGCGTTGAACGGATCCGAAAGAAAATTGCAGTTCAGTGGCGCTCGCACGTCCTGGCGACCTCTTGACACAACCACGAGGGAAAATACTACCGCCGGCTTGGTCAGCTTCAGTCCGGGCCTTCTTGCACCGGTCCTTGAGACGGTCGTATGAATCGTTGAGTCGGTACTATGTAAAGCATCAAGAGTGCGTTGAATACAGCCCAGATGGGATGCTACAAGCCGTCATCGAGGAGGAAAGGATTGCTTTACGTGCGCGTCGTGTGCGACATTGGTGGGCAATTGCTGGCGCACGTGGCGACCGGGATGACTATATCGGGATGTGGCGCACACTTCCGCTATTGCCTCCAGCATCCGTCCCGCCTTGCGTTTGTCCTATCCGCACACCAATGATCAATTCTATCGGTGAGAAAGCTCAAGTATTCCCGACCCCCCGGTGACCCGATCCTTGCAACGAGGTCTGTGTTGCCTCAAGCATGGGCTCTCGCTCGGACGGATAGATGAACTCTTGCTCCCCAATGGACCTCGGAACTCCACAGAAAAACAAACACAACCTGCTGTAGTAGATCGGGACGAATCCCGCCTCCCGCTTTCCGCTGCCGCTACCACATCCGATCGGCCCCGCACTCCCTTTATCCGCACTCACATAAATGCTCGAAGGAAATGATGAGGAGCCTCTCATCTCTTTCTCCTCACCACACTTCTATCTACCGCTGAGCGGAACCACCCGCTTTTTTGACGCCTGGTGCTCGACTGTTCGCAGCCAACCTCGACCTCTGCCCGCCTTTATCCGTTGATGTCTGCGACGCTCTCGGACCTGGACACTCTCTTGGAAGCTATTCTCGCCGACGAACTCGATCAACTTGCCAGCCAAGCTTCTGCGAACTCTATGCCAGCCATCACGCCATCCTCCTCTTTCGCTGTGCTCTCAACGACCTCCGCCACGCCGGACGTGGCCCCGGCCGCCGCCTCGATTACCCGACAGGCGCAAATCACAGGCGCATCTGCAGGTTTGTCCATCCTCTTCTCACTCGTGTTATCACTTTTTCAGCGTCTTCCAGATGCATCCTCGACGCCCCAGCTATCTACCGCCAAGGATCCTTCGCCTACTTCTACATCAGTCGAGGCTGCTTCGACCGAGATAGGGGCTGCTCTGGCGCCAAGCTCTCCGATTGCGAAACTGGCGACTACGACGACTTCTCTGGCTTCTCCAACCTCGATCGAGAAAGCAGCAACACTGATGACTGCATCTCCGCCGACGACCGCTCTTGTCCAGTCGGCGCAGGCTCAGCCTCGTACTTCCTCCTCGGAAGCGACATCTGTACTTACGCCTGGCACGCCGTCCTCGAGCCCAATAGGAAGCCTTTCGAACTTGGCAGCACCTACTGCGGAACCGACGACTACTCTGACGACGACCATCATCAGCTCCATCTCGAGCGTAAACTCTGCCTCAAACAGCGCCAGCGCCGTCCTTGTCCCTCTAGCCAGCACAACGGATGCCACCGCCTCGATCACCAGCAGCCCGACCGCCTCCAGCGCGACCGACTACAACACCAGCAGCGACGCGGGCCGGATCACTGCCATCGTCATCGGCTCCCTCGCCGTCTTCGCCACGCTATGCGCCCTCGTCTCCTGGATCTATCGCACCTGGAACCGCCACCGCCACCGCCCGAGCCTAAACACGCGCAAGAGCTGGCCGTTCGAGAGCGACCGGCGCAGCACCACGACCTCCTCTGACGCCGAGTCCGCGGTGGGCTACGACCGCGCGGCGGAGCACGACGTCGGCGAGCCTAAGCGGACCGACAGCTGGTACCAGTCGCAGTCGCAGCCCGTGTCGCCGATTAAGAACCACTTTCGGGCTTCCGTTGCCTCCTCCACCGACGACGCCTCCTGCGCCGCCGCCGCCCCGATCACGGTGTACCACACACCGACCCCAGCCGCGACTTACGCACCGATCCTTAGCACCCCCGTCCCGCCCGCGCTCAACCCTCCACCGATCATCGCCAACCCACACTACAGGCTCAAGCGCGCCGACAAATACGACACCGAGCCGCCCATCCGCTCCGTCGGCGCGCGCATCCCCCGGGTCGAGACGCCCGCGGCGAGCATCGCGGATGGGCACGAGACACTTGGCGCCCTCCACGTCGCGAACATGATGCCCGGCGACGTCACGTCCGCAAGCGGCGCTAGCCCGTGGGTGACACCCCGCCTCGGGTCCGACTTCGGCACGCCGCGCGAGCGCGAGATCCAGCCGCGCTACTCCACCGTCAAGGACGGCGGCCTTCCCGTGCCCTGGCTGATGCGCAGGCCCGGCGCGTCCTCCGACGGCGACTCCGTCCGCTCCTCCCGCGCTTCGTCCCCGGCCAACTCGGGGCGGTGGTCTGTCGCGCCGACGCGGATGCGAACGCCCAGGGAGCTCGAATCGCAGGCGCCCGTGAAAGACGATCAGACCTGGACCGCCTCGTCCTGGACCGCCGCCATTAGGACCAGCGTTTACAACGCCGTGGACTCGATTTCTGGAGGTCGACTGCTCTCTGGCGCAAACACTGGGTCCGAGGATGACGAGGACGCATTCACCCCCGTACCCAAGCGCTCCAACCGACGCCCTTCCGTGCGATCAGTCGACTGGCAATCGGACCGGTCAACATCGACGCATATTCCTAGCCCCGTCCCGGAGGAAGAGGGCGACATGGATGGCGACGGCGCAAGAACCGCGTTCTCGCGATCAAGCAGCGTGTACAGCAACGTCGTCTACGGCGCTGGCAGCCAACCACCGCGACTCCCGGAGATCGAGCAGTGGCATCGACCTATCTCCTTCCGTACGAACACGGACATGACCACGAGCACGGCCCCTTCACGGTCACAGTCGCACGAGAGCCAACTGACCGACGCGGAGAAAAGAGCGAGAGATCTGCTCAAGGAGCGCATGGGACGCAGAAGTTCGTTGGGCGAGTAGCATTGTAGTATAGCACATAGACCATGAATGAATCTTCAACAAAATCGTTACTGTTCGTGCAAGTGCGCCTCTATAGGAAGAAAGTTGCTGGGTATCATCGGGGCACGAAGGACATGCATCATTGTAAGGCAGGTGACTGGTCTTGCATCTAGACCACGACGCGTCCGTCAGTCCCATCAGAAGGTGCTATTCGAGCAGGTTACGTACCCAGGGCACGTCCTTACCAGGCACATACTTCCTTGGCGGTCGCTCCCAACACGCAATCGCATCTGCCTCCTTGCCGCTCGTCAAAGGTAGGACTATGCCGATCTCGTAATTGGTGATCTATTGGAGCGCACATGATGCAATCCCATCAGCCCGTCTGTTCCTAGCACAGCGTCTATTTACCATGGGCGAGACTCACGTTCATGATCGGGCCGAAGGCAGACCCGGACAGGTTGCCCCACGCGGATGGCGTAAAGTTATGCGACCCCACATAAATCCAACCGACAAGCTTCTTCTTGCGTTCCTTCGGCTCAACGATCTTCACCTCTTCATCGCTCTCAGACTCGGTCTCGGATTCCGTCTCCGAGTCCGAGTCCACCAGCGTCGACTGCCCTCCCTTCGGCCTGAAAGTGGCGAGCACCATCTACTCAGATGTTAAGTCATGATCACAGGAAATAAGGGGACTATGGAATGAGGGCGCACCTTAGAGTGCATCAACACAGGCCCGCGCTTGCTCCTCGAATCGTGGAACAGCTCTCGGGGGAACTTCTCCGCCTGCCATTGATTGGACCGGCAGAAGATCGTTCCGCCTCCCTGCCAGAAGAAAACGCCGTCGACGTGAGCATTACGCGCATACATCCGCCCGAGCGCTGCAAGTAACACACCTTTTCACCGAGCCTGCTAGCTTGGACCGTAGCCAACGACGGGAACACGATCTTCACCGGTGGCCAAGGTAGCTTAGCCCGCCTGGTCTTCGGCTGATCCAGCCAGTCCTCAGCAGACTCGCCCCGGCAGGAGTAGTGGAACTCGTTCATCCATTGCGTCGAGTACGTTCCTATACTCGAGCCCTATCCCGCAAACTATGAACTCTTGTCGGAACGAACAACGAATAAAAGAACGAACCTGGCACTCCAACTCGACTTCCCTTCCCTTACCCGCGCGTGCGCCCATATCGCGCACGGCCTTCATGAGTGCGGTGTGTCCGTTGCGGATCACCTCCGGCCAGCCCTCGTGCTTGCCCGCGACGGACGCGACGAGGTGCGCCTTCACCTTCGAAAAGTCCCACTTCGTCCTAAGGTCGGTGACGGACGGGAGCGGTATGTCCGGGTGCTGTCAGGAAATCACACATCCAAGTCAGGTTGCTTTCTTTCGATTGCTGAAGGCTGAGCGTAGTGCATACGTCGTTAATCGTCAGAGCTTGAAGGGCGGCCTCGACGTTGAGCGCTTTGAATACCCGTTCGAATGTCGCGGGGAAGTCGGTCGCTTTGTGGTCGTACCTTATCGGCGTCTGGCGGAGGGGCACATCTTGCACCCACACCGTCTATATGTGCACCGTATCGGAGTCAGCGTCTCGAAACCGCGGTGATGGAGTGTCGAATGTGTTCACGTTCTCGATGTCTCGCCAATCGTAGTCTATAAAGTTGGCCGTGGAAATGACAACGCGCAGTCTGCCGGTCCTATAGAATAGCTAACCGCGAGCTATCAGCACGGCATCTCCCTGATCGAATAGGAGCGGCACCGACCAGCATGAACTGGAAAGGTTCCCATATTGTTGAGTGAACCTGCCAATACTACGAATTCGAGTGGCCAAGAAGCACCTTCATATGCATGCAGCCCCTGCCGCCCCGTAGAGGTGGCGTGGTGCGTATCCAGTTCGGGAGGACCTCCTTTACACTCCTGGCTCCGGTTGTGTCGGGTTGAGCGACGACCACTGCATGACGAAGATTCGAAGATTCGTCAGGGTGTTTTATGCTGCTCCCAAGACGTGACTCACCTACAGGTGTCGACGGCTCGAAGAAATGATATAACCACGCCCAATCGATGCAATATCCGGCTATTATCGCAAACTTGACGTCCGATTTCTGCATATATGCGATAGGTACATTGAGCATATCGCGCGATAAAAAGAATCGGCTCATGCACCTTCCCGATAATCTCGGTGAGCCGGAAGGTAGGCTTCGTATCCTTCCTTGGGTCAACGTGAGCATTCGCCGTCTGCCGTATTTCCCCATTCCAGAACATGGGCTCCATTTCTGTCGTCCGTGATGATGTCGAAGGACCGGATGCGCTGGAGAGAGCTGGGTCAACACGGACGCGGCGTTTACTTGACGGAGGGAACTCGATCGCGCGCCTCTTCGCTGTGGGTCCTCGGTCCTCGTCGTCTTCATCATCGTCATTGTTATCATTGCTACCGGCGTTAACGTCGCCGCGAAGACGCTTTTGCCGGGCAAGACGCTCCTTCTCCAGCTGGGCACTGGATATATGCGTGTCATTTAGCAGGATCATATGGAGTATGCGGTACACGGACCGATCGGACAAGAAGCTAGTGGTGGTCGCAGGTGGTGCGTTTTCCTTGATATCGGCTATGTCCTGCGGTTCGGTCGTGGCGGCTGACGGTGCAGGTTGCTGTGCTGCAGACAACTTGAGGGCCTGAGCCAGCTGAGCTTGAAATTCGTCGTCAGAGTCGTCGTCCACGTTGATCACATCCCGCGTGCCCATGCTCGACGGTCGTGTGTCTTGCAAGCTGAGGGCTATGGCCCTGTGGTGGTCAATCGTCTGATCAGAAACGGTTTAGTACGGGATGGTGGCCGTCGGTCACCTCGCGATATCGTCGTCCATTGCGGGCTCGGGCAGGGACAGGTCGCGACTGGGAAAGAAACAAGGAGGAAGAGGTGGGTGATAGGTGGGTGGGTGTGAGACGTCGCACGAGGCTACGAGCTTCAACTCTCAGGTGACGTCAAAAATCCGTACGCGTAAGAGCGCGTCCATCTACACGTATGGCTATCTCAGTCGACGATCAAGGGTCGCCTTGCCTTTGATAATCAAAATGAACTTCATACTTCTCGTCAAGCCTGTCGACTGCACGAGTGGCGTACGTGCAGCGCAGCAACCGGCTGTTCCGCTACCGGGACCTCGTCGGCAATCTACCTACCTACCTACCTACCTACCCTCGCCAGCTGGCCGCATGGCACGTTGCTCGGTTTGTTCCGATATTGTTCAGCACCAGATCATAGCCCTCCTTCACGCTGCTCCACGTAGGTATACAGAAGGCAGAAGGTCCCAGCTAGTTTCTACAGTCCCAACGATTTCCCCTTTGACTACTCGGAGGAACGTAGTTGTCCGATGGCGCTCGAAATGACCCAGCCATTCACCGATAACACGAACAGAGCGGTAGATGCGACGACGGTTGCTCATGTTGAGGCTCTTCCTGCAATCGTCGTAATACCGCCTCCAGTCCACCGCCGCTTTGCGCTCTGGAGACGCGATGGCTTGTCGAACGGCCTCTGCACTATCCGTCCAGTCCGCATCTGTCGGAGTGAAATGGCACTCGCGCAGGAGTGGGAACCATAGGACCCGCTGAACGAGGGGGGCACGCAGGAAGTTGCGCCAAGCACGAGAAGTGCACTCAAGTACACGCAGGGACGGATCATCCAGTTGCGATATAATGATCAGCCCGACGTCCAGCGGGCAGTCGACGGGAAACATGGATTGAGACTCGGAGATGACCGGCAGCACGGGAGGCAATTCGTGAATGGGAGGGAAATGATCCGGGCGTTTGAGATGCGTGATCCCAAACTGTTCCTTGAACTCGTAGTCTTGACCACATCCACTCAACCAACCCCTGAAACTGTCCTTCTCGTCGTAACCGTAGTGGAATGTCGGGTGCAGCCAATTGTGGGAGATTCTTGGATGACTGCCGGCGGCCTCCATCAGTGCCTCGGACCTGGCCAAGAACACCTTCGTGACCTCGTTGTCACTCGAGACATCGCTTTGACATGCCCATAAGTGGGTAGGTCCTAGGATGGTCCAAAAGAACCGAGCAGGATCCGCCCTTCGCCTCCCAGAAAATGCCTCCGGATGCGCTTCTTGCGCCCAGCATGCGGCGAGCCGCGTGCACAACTCATGAGCGATTGACCTACCGTCCACTTCGCAAGAGTACTCTCCACATCCGAGTGGGGATATTGCGGCCTCCGGTCTCCTAACCGGATCTTCGAAGTGTTTGCCATCTTCAGGGACTATGTATCCGTTTATGTCTCGAGCCTCCAACGACTCGACATCGACGCAGTACGTACTCCAGTCTGCCACAAAGTTAAATGAGTGTCACGATCCTGCCAAATCCCAGATTTAATCAGCGACGTACTGTATTCGCCAGGAGGACTCAAGCAATCTGCATACACTACAACGGAGGTCTTCTCAATCCAGTGCATGTCGTCGTGGATGATTCCGGAGAGCTTGGAGAGACATCCCCAGGCGTCATCATCGACGGTAAGGTAGGAGGAGCACGTAGGTCCGCCGCAGATCATGCAGTATTGGTTCGAGCCGCCCATGGTGACAAGGATTGGGCTATGAGGTTGCAGACGTCAGACATGCTGAGGACAATGTGACACGTTTGATCTATATACCAACTATGTTTACCTGCATTAACCTGCATTGCAGGCACAACGTGTAGTGAACAACACTGGTTGTCATGCGCTGAAGCGGTGATGGTAAATGAGCATACATTAATATATAGTCCCTTGTACGTACCTGCATTGGCCTGCATTGAAGGGTGGCCAGGTGATGTAGGGATGTTCGCTTTGGCCGACGGACGTTCTATGAAGGCTAGTCAGTGAGACGCTAGCAGCTTACTGTCACGTCGAAGTTTATCTTGTTGACAGTGGAGAATAACATTGATTGCTCAAGCTGTAGTGGACATGCTCGAAAAGCAGGACTCTCTAGCGACTTCGCGCTGGTGGCAATCTCCCGAGAAACGCGCCGTCCCATCATTCCCGCCAAGCAGTGCTCAGTCCAGCCACGCGGGACCGGAGTGACGACCGATGACGAGCGCTAAGCGACCAATATGATCGCGGCTGGTCGTAATGAGAACGACATTAACCAAGTCTATGTCCAGGTGCGTTCGGTCACGAGCACGCTGCGCGCGATGACGATATGCGGTCGAGCAAGGCAAGGTCATACTGGCTATAGACAGACAGGAGAGCCCTCACTGCAGCAGCAGTGTCCCATATGATGGCTTATTGTCTGCGCAGACTGAAAGGGGAGCGTCCGGTTCCGCATGCTCGGGCTCCTCCAGCATTCATGGTGATGCTAGCATTTGGTCAGACATGGTTGTGCGGAATAATGACCGTCGTTGGACCTTGCAATATCGTCGTCCATCGTTGTTCTGCGTAGGGTACAGTCGCGAGGAAGAAAGGCGAGAGGAAGAGGTGAGCGATGTGTGAGACGCGACGTTGCATGAGCCTCTCAACTCATGCTTGCTCAGGTGACGTCAAGGGTGACCGTGACCCTACGCGACCGTACGCACGACTTTTGTCACAACGAAGAGGATATAGTTGTCTAGGCTTTCGAGAGCCAGTATGAATATGTGTACGACTGAGGATATATATCCAACGATGCTCCTCGAAAAGATCGAATCCATGGCACCAGAAAAACATGCAACCCTCGCCGTCAGGCTCATGCACCCAGTGCCTTATCCAGCTAGGCTGGATCAAAGTGACCTAACCACTGACCGATGATCTGAACAGAGCAATGAATGCGAGCGCGGTTTATCATATTCGAGCTTCTGCTGCAATCGATGTGGTATCTCCGCCAGTCGACCGTGGCCCTACGTTCCGGAGACACGAGCGTCTGACGGATGGCATCCGCGCTTTCCGTCCAGTCCGCATCCGTCGGGGTGTAGTGACATTTGCGCAGGAGCGGGAGCCATACGTGCTGCTGGGCCAACTTGGACTGCAGGAAATCGTGCCAAACGCGAGACGTGCGCTCGAGCGCATGCATGGAGGGCCCATCAAGTTCCGAAAGGAGGTGCAGCACGATGTCTGCTGGGAGATTGAAGGGGAAGAAGGAGCTTGGGGAGGGGACGGGAAGCTCGGTAGGCAGCTCATGAACGTCGGGGAAACGGTCAGGGCGCTTGAGGTGCGTGATCCCGTAGTCCGCTTGGTGGTAGTACACTTCATAAAGACTTTTCTGCCACGCTCGACTGCTCGTGTCGTCTTCGCTGTACCCGTAGAGAAATTTGCGATTTTGCCAGTTGTCGGCAATGTTGATTCGAGCGGGTCTTCTGGCTGCTTTGTGTGCGGCCCTAGACTTGACCAGGTATGCGCGAGTGTCGTAGTCTTCGTCGTCGTCAAGTTTCATGTCCGCCTCATACGCCCATATGCACCCAGGACCTTGGTTGGTCCAGAAGAATTTGGCTGTATTCGATAACCCATCTCCCCGGAACGCTGCTGGACGCGCCTCTTTCGTCCAGCTCGCGGCAAGCCGTATGCATAACTCGTGAACGAGCATCCTGTCAGCACTGGCGCATATGTATTCCCCACGTCCAAGGGGAGACAATGGCGCATCCTTGGGTCTTAGGACAGGGTCTCTTTTCTCCAGGAGAAGGTCGTCTCCGTCTTCGTCCCCTATGACTTCGTCACCCGTTGCGTAGAGAATTCCCGTGTCGTCGTCTATATATTCAAGTAGGATATAAGCCGGATGACTGAGTAAAATGTTCCACCATCCCATTGCAACGCACCGAATTCTCCCGGTAGGCTTAAACAATCCGCATAGACCACGACAGACGAGCGTCCGATCCAGTGCGTGTCGTCGAGAGTGAGTCCAGGGAGCTCTTTGAAGTCGATGAAGTCGTCGTCTTCCTCATTCCAGAGACGCTGGCCCGTTGGCCCTCCGCAGATGGTGCAGTGCAAATTCCAGATGTCCATGACCGAAGCCAGAGGGAAGAATGGCCTGTTCAGTGGATGCTTCCTGGGGGCTAAGAGACCGCGGATCCTCTTACGTACACAGCTTTTGTGCGTTGAACAGTATGGGCACCTGAGGGCCGGCGCGTTACCGTATGCTCATGCTGGACTGAGACAGTCTGCATAGATCACCACAAACACAAATCCGAGCCATACTCGAGTATAAAGCCAGGCTATTCACGGTTAACCGATCGCCGTTGGTTCATCGTCGTCGCCATGACGATAGAAAACGTTCTCGTTCAGCGGCTGGCCACAAATGGCGCAGCAAAGACTCGACATATTGACGGCACTGCAAAGCTGAAGTGATGAAAATGATGATGCTGAAACAGACCAATCATGTTCAACGTACGGGCAGAGAAAATAATGATCAAATTCACCGTCAAATTCGGCAGTTTGAGTACCTCAGGGTTGGTCAATGTGAGCTACGAGCGCAAGAGGCTAAGTACAACGAATTTGAAACCTTTTCTTTCAAAGGTCTGGTGGTAGTCTTCGACCATGCGTGCTTGGACGATAACAATACTGGCCTGGCGTTATCCGTCCGACCTCGTCTTCAAGCTCGTGCGCGCAGCGTGATACCAATCATTGTCATCAGTATATGGTTGCAATGGACGCCCTTTTGCAGCGGTGAGGCAAATCATCGCAACTGGATAGTAAATTCAGAGAGGTATGGAGATGGCATGTATGTACTGCGCGACCGCTGTGCTGACCCATCCTATCGCGAAGACCACCGTGCATAGATCACATCGCGGAAGAGTAGGCTCGCCCTCCCCAACGCAATTGCGAAACAGCGAGAGGGGCTCAGGGTGTATCTACGCCAGATATGCCTAGCTTCAGAAAGACAACAATCGATGCTTGCTTAACAACAGGACGGAGATCCCGGGAGGCAGCCGCAGTGTCCCAAGAGGTGACTCAGGGCCCATACAGCCCTGGCTATCCGTGCACGGTTCCGCATATTAGGGCTCTTCAGGCAATCGCGATAATGTCGCCGCCAATCGGAAACCCGCTCCGCCGACGCGAGTGCCTGCCTAACTCCGTCCGCGCTGCGTGTCCAGTCCGCGTCCGTCGGTACAAGACGGGAAGAGCGGATGAGCGGGAGCCAGACGTGGTGCTGCGCGAGTTGGCAGCAGAGGAAGTCGCGCCACGCGCGGGAGGTGCACTCAAGCGCGCGGAGGGAGGCGCCGTCGAGGCGTGCCAGGATCTGGAGCACGACGTCCGCAGGGCACGCGTAGGGAAAGACGGATTCGGGAGGGGCAGCAGGCGTGCCGGCGGGCAGGTCGTGCACGGCGGGGAAGTGGTCCGGACGCTTGAGGTGGACGATGCCGAAGTCGGCCTCGTGCACGTACTCCATCCGCTCGTCGAACCCGTCCATCCATGCACCGGCTGGATCGTCCTCGTCGCCGTACCCGAAGCGAAAGTTCTCCATGATGCGGATGTAGTTGCGTTGCGGCGGCTTGCCGGCGGCCTGGTATGTCCAGGGAGAGCTCACGACTAGGTGCGACATCGTGACGAGATCCGGGTCGTCTATGTGGACCTGGAACGCCCATGCGCACACGGGCCCGGAGTTGGTCCAGAGATACCAGGCAGGTAGTGCCGGACCTTCGCTAGGAAACGATCGAGGGTGGGAGGCGCGCGCCCAGCAGACGGCGAGTCGGAGGCAAAGCTCGTGCGCGAGCAGTCCGGTGGTCAGGTGGACCTCGAAGCGGCCGGAGCGGAGGCACGATCTTGTGTTTGGTGGTCTATTGACGGGGTCGTCGCGCTCGAGCGTCTCCTGGTCCGCCACTGCCGCGGGATCATCGTCACGGCGAGGCGCTACGACCGCGCCACTGCCACCGCCTTCTGGTATGAGTGTCAGGAGGTGAAGACAGAGTGGCCCGACTGAAAGTTAGATGATGACTTACCGAACCTCCCTGGGGGGCTTATGCAGTCCGCATAGACGGCCACTAAAGAGCGACCGAGCCAGATGCCATCGTCGTGCGACAGCCCGGGCAACTCATTGAATTGTATGTAGTGTGTCTTGCTCGGATTGAGGAACACCTCGGAGCACGGTCCACCGCAGATGACACAGAACATGACCGGCTAGTGCTTTATGAATGCTTGGGAGATGTACTTGGAAAAGGCTCGATAGCTGGTGCCACACAGATATCGTCCCTTGTCTTGGAGTTATCTGTGCATCACCGGTGGACATCAGATATGCATATCGAGCAGTCGATCAGATCCGCGAGTCCAATAATCTGCATAAAGATTTAATGGCCCAAGGGGAGTCACGGACAAATCAGTGCAACAATGGAGTAAGTACCGAAGCTTCCGCGTGAAAGACCGGTCTTAGCCTCAACCGCTATCTGCCTTGAGGTTTCAACAACGGATCTTGCACGCCCGCGATATCCCAAAAATGCCCCGGATGCGCATTGTTGAGGCTACAAGCGCTCCAGGATCCGCGTTCTGTTTGAAGAATGAAGGTGAGAACAAGAGAACAAGTATCCGTGCTGCGGTCTGTAAGCCCGCGCTCGCCGCTCGGGCTGAGCGCCATGTCGTTCGTTCCATACGACCACGATGATCGTCCTTGACGACCAAGAACCGGGCTCTTCTACATCGACCAAAGCTCAACAAGCCGAGCAGGAGCATCGTGCGCCTACAGAGTACGAGGGTTCAGCTTCGGAAGAGACCCCTCTCCTGCCTCCGCCCCCAGCGTACTCCAGCACCGCTCCGTACAATCATGCAGTAATTTCGCCTCTTGGAGTACCACCGCCGGCACCAGATGGACACGGAAAGCGAGGCAGCGGGCGTCGCGCAAGGTGGAGGTTTTTCGGAGCGTTCGTAATAGCGCTCACCGTGGTTCTCTCGGTAAAGGGTTTGGTGCAGGCGTTGTGGTCCTGGAAGTTGAACCAGCACCGGAATTCTAGAAACGGGGCTGTAGAGGTGAGCGCTAGGTTCATACTTGCCACGTTATCTTTCATTCATACGAGACAATGGCTTTGACCAGCCGCCGACGACATGGCCTCATGAAGACGACGATGGGATCCCGGCGCAGTACTGCGTCAAGACATCGCAATTCTCCCGAAGCACCAGCGATGGACACCTGCAACACACGTTTGTGCTTTCGTCCAATGCCACCTCCCTCCTGTTTTTATCTCGGGGGGAGGGGCTTTTCGGCGAGCTCGAGATGGTGACTGCCGACGGAATGGAGAAGCCAGAGTCGGTACTATTCCACATCAAGGCTCCGAGTTCGGAGGAGGGGACGTCAGCTCTGCATTCTGCGTGCCTGTTAAGGGAAGTTGGTGGTGGTACCGGCGTCAGGCTCGTGGTACGATCGATTCCTGATCGAGCACTTGTCTACATCTGACTTTGCACCTTCAGGCCGCCCCCCACATTAACGTATCGTCTGCGGCCCGTCAACCGATTCGCCTTCGCGTTGCCATTCCTTTCGATCCACAAGCTTACAGCCGTGGCTACGCCCTCCGCACTGTCCTCCCGTCCTTTACCCACAACGTTGCAATCAGCATCTACACCGGTACCACATTTTCGACATTCAGTCTTTCCTCCTCGGACGCGCCCATCCGGGTTTCGGGCGTCAATACCGAAACTCTACGCCTCAATACCTCGCACGCGCCCATCACCCTGGTGCAATCCGCCATCTCCGGCACGGCAGAGCTTACAAATCATAACGGGAGCATACTGGTAGGCAACGCCACGGGTCTACATAACCTCGAGCACCAGAAGACGGCCTCACGGCTCATAATGCGTACCACGGACGCGTACGTATCTCTTCCTTATTCTCTGGTGGACCCGGCCCTGAGGTGATCGTCGCACAGCCCATTAAATGCTACCATCCACCTCGTCGCCTCACCCTATCACATTCCATCCTTCTCTTTGCATGCACGCACCTCCGGCCCGGATGCCCCGCTCTTCTTCGACGTCCCCTCCATGTCGACCACGCTCATGTCGACCGTCGCACTCTCTGCAAACACTGACGGCGCCCCGGCTACCGTCGAGCTCCCTCCCGCGTTTGAGGGCCAATTCGTCGTGCGCGGCGCGGTGCCCGCGGTGTTCGTCCGGAAGGACCCGGAGGACCCGTACGGGCTGCGCAGGACGAGGAAGACGACGGTTTCGATGGTGGGGGAGAACGGCATGATTGCGACGGGGTCGGCTCGGTGGTACCCCAAGCATCCTCTGGCGGGAGACGTGTCGGTCGAAGATGGGTTCGTGAACGTCACCGCCGTTGGGTCTGCCGCTTCGTTGAACTTGTGAAGGCGCTTTGGTTTCTGGTTTAGTTGATATAAATTGCTCTCCAACTATGCATTAATAGGTTCGATCTCGGTGTGTATCGTAGTCTTTAGTAGTCTTTGGGTATAATGGCGACTTCGCTCTTTTCATACTTATGAAAGCGACAGTCCGGCGCTTATCCCTTTTAGGGTTAAGCGCGCGTCAGAGTGACAAGCGCCCGGCGCGTCGATGCCACAAACTTCTACGCGCTTCCGGCACACTCTTCCCTTCGTCCATACGCCAGACCGTGTTGTATCGATAGCTTCAACTGACTCAGCTGTATCCATATCCTTCATATCTTGTCTTGCACCCCTTCTATCCATCCCTTACTCTCTCATTCCTCCTCTAATCGACACGAAAAGATAGACGAAGATGCAATCAATCCTCCGCTGGTCCATCGAAAACTCGGATCCGAGCAGCAGCCAAAACGCAAGCCATGTAGAACCGAGAAAAATCGACCCGGAGATCATCGACATGATCCTGGGCAAGCCTGACTCGGAGCTGATGAAGGAGGCGCTCGCTATCGCTGTTGACGAGAGCCGGGACGAAGACGAGCGGGTGCAAGCTTTGGACGACTTCGAGATGCTCATTGAGCAGATCGACAATGCAAACAGTACGTTATCTTCTTCCACAACTCTGCTTAGATCTATAATCGTAGAACGCTTGTAACTGATTCACCGTTCCTTCAGACCTCGAGAAACTACACATGTGGGAGCCGCTTCACAACCTCCTCCTCTCCCCCACCTCTCCAACGTCACTCAAGTCGCACGTCCTCTGGATACTCGGTACTGCCGTGCAAAACAACCCCGCCGCGCAGCATGCCTATTCCCAGATCACGCCTCCGCCAGTACCGACCCTCCTCTCGTTCCTCTCGCCCGCCTCAACGTCCTCTCCCAAAGTGCGCTCAAGGGCGGTATACGCGCTCTCCGGCCTGCTGAAGCACAACGTCGCGGCGGTGCGCCAGCTCGATCGCGAAGATGAGGCGGGCTGGGCCGTGCTCCGGGACGCGCTCGAAGACTCAGACGTCACCGTGCGGCGCAAGGTCGCGTTTCTGCTCGGCGCGCTCCTCACGCCCACTTCGACCTATTCCGATTCTTCACCTCTACCTTCCGCCTCGGGACCGACGCTGCACACCTCCCCTCCCCCTCCCCCCGATCAGAACAGCCAACCCGTTCACCCCAATTCGCACGCGTCGATGGTCGCCGACCCGTCCTCGGCGAACACCTCTCCTCTGGCCGTCTCCGCGCTCGCCGCTCACGGCATCCTCGACAAGCTGATTAGCGCGCTTGCGCACCCCGTACCCCACGGCGCCGACGGCGAGCACGACGGCCGCGATGCCGACTTTGAGGAAAAGGTCGTCAATGCACTGTATACGTACGCCGTCGTGTGTGGTGCGCCGCTTGAGCAGGGACAGAAGCAGGCTCTGCGGGCGTATTTGGAGGCGGAAGCGAAGGGCGAAGCGGGAACCCACAGTTGGGGATTGACGGATCGGGAACTACGGGCCCTGAAGACAAAGATTCGGGACTAGGATATTGATTAGATGTTCACAGTACTCCTTCGAGCCCTGAATTAATAACATGCGTTCCAGGCATTACCGACAACGACAGATACGCGAGAGCGCGTCTGCTGGTATTGTTATCTGCTCCTCCTTCGGGCAGCAATATCCTGACCTCGCTGGTTGGTAGCTGAGTCGAGAGAACGATACTGTACTCATTGCATCACGCGCCATCAACCGGCCCTGAGGTAGTCCTTCAAACATGTGATCACGAATTTGACGATGTCCTCGGTGCTCATCCTGCCGCTCGCTCACCTCCTCTCGTTTGAAAGCACTACTGGTGTAACGTAATCCGTTCCTCGAGCGCGGCGATTTTGCGCTTAGTCTTGGGTTCCATGCACTACGACCAAGTGCTACAAAGTCTGGTTGCACGGCCATCCCGGGTCCTCATGACTACCAGGTCTTATGGACAACGCGCAGCTCGACTCGCCTCAATACTTCCGTCTTGTCGGTCCAGCGTGCCCGACTCTTCTGCTTCCCGCTCATATTCCCGCAAGACCATATTTGATGACACAGTAACACGGTGCGAAGCTCCGATAACCTCCAGCTCGTGTGCGTAATCATGAATGAATTATGACGGGGATGCCCAACACAGAGCCACGGTATCTGCCAAGGTGCTGCGAGAGATCGCAGAATCTACCCCACAACAATTTCGCATGAACTCCGTCAACGATTTCAGCACCGGGTGGCAGACTGTGTCTGAAGCAGCTATGGAAGCAAAACTATGGGACATAGCCGAGGTCTTGATCGAGCCTCCACCACAACCGGGCCAGGAGAACGGAACACAATTAAGGTCCGCTTCCGACACGTGAGCCTACATTCCGCTGTCTCGATTCTGCAATAACGCCTCTGTAGTTCTCAGACGGAGCCCTTCGTGCGCGAAAGACCTCCCCATAGCGAAATCAACGCTGACGAAGACGCGCATTCGAAGAGCAATCGTACGGCAAATATGGAACAAATGCGCCCCAATGAATCCGAGAGGCATAACAAAGGGGAGCGGAGGAATGAGCGTGACGAATGGCTCCCTCCAGCTCCATCGCGGGTTTCAGAAGCGTTGGATATCCTCCAGGATCGAGAACTGCTCGTATGGGCCCGTAACGATGTCGACTCTCCCGCTCTTGCAACCCGTCAAGATGCTGTTATCGTCTCCGGACAAAGTGATGGGTACGTCCTTGCTCGCGCGGCAGGCGTACGTACGCGCCATGCTAACAGACATGGTCCGTTTGTAGGGAGGCGGCATGATGTTCAGCTGTACGTTGGCTCCTGCGGGGGCTGTGTCTGAAGCTCAGGAGCCAGCGCAGACTTGAGGCATGCCAAGGCGCGCTCGGAGTTCCCTGGGCATAGCGTTCGTGGCAGCATCGGCAGCCCGGAGGTGGCCAGGCAAACCGTTGCCTGGAATTGCTGGAGAGCTTCCTCGAAGTGAAGCGCGCCGTCGGCCCCTCTTCCGGTCAGCATGACAAATGCCTTCGCTCGCGGTGGTGAAACACAATTCGCACCAACGACACCGGCGTCAAGCGCTGGTCCGCGCAGTCCTCTGGGACCGCACGATGATGTTTGAAATATGATATATAGCTGGCGGTTGTGGAAGGGTACGCTGCGATTGGGCGGACGTGCAGGAGTGATGAAGATCTCGAAGACGGACATTGCCTGATAGGTTGTGATTCGAGCCTCCTTGATGCACTGAAAGAATCCGATAGTGCATGTTATCTTGCGTATTATATAGCGATGCAAATGTACTCGCGAACGACGCGGAATGACAATCATTGAATTACGAAGGAACGAGCACTTTGCTCAAGGATGAACAGTAAGATACACGCGACTGTCTGATACTGTTATTGGGTCAGCACCAACCGATGCACCGCAGGTTGGCCAACTAGAGCGACGTGCCAAATCCCAATGTGCGACGCCGTAACTACAAGAACGACGGCCAACATCCCAGCCTGGTCTCGATCCACCAACCAGTTGAACGCAACGTGTGGAACACTCTCCTCGCCTCTAGCGGTACTCGGCTGCAGGCTTGACTGTGCGTGCAAGGTCTTTCCCCTCCTCGGCGCACTCCTCACGCTCACCCCTACTTCCTCGGATTTTTCAGCTCAACCCGCCTTTTCGGGTCTAACACCGCACTCCTTCCCTGTTCCTCTGGTTAGAATCCCAAGTGGTGAGCGTCGATGGTGGCCGACCCTATGTTCGAGAACGGCTCTTCAAACGCTATCGCCGTGCTCACGCCGCACGGTTCACGAGCTTGTCGGTGTACTTGAGCACCCGCACCCATACAAGGCGAGGCCGAGTAAGACGATCGCGACGCTGACTCTGAGTAGAAAGTTGCAGGCACGGTGTACGCGTAGGCAGCTGTGTGCGGCGCATCGTTTGAGCACGAGCAGCGAAACGGAGAACGTATCAGATGATCATTCAAATTATCCGGGATCACACTGTTGTAGTACAAAAGCTGTAACCGCAAAGCTACGAGATTTGTGAACTAGATCTCGGTTGGAGACGCCTGAATGTATTTTGTCAGATTGATCCGTGAATGTAGTTTGTGGCATAACTGACCGTGATGTCATCATCCACAGCCAGAGCTGCGGGCTGATAGTTGTCGAAACCTTGGGCAGCGGCGGCGGTGATAGTATCCTTGCCATCAGAGATGGCCTGCGCAACAGCGGGGGGCAGCTGCTTGGGCAACATCTTGGCGTCCTGCGAGACGAGATTGACACGATTCTCCAGTGTTTCTGTAACCTCCTTTTGGGTCTGTTGTGCGTTCGGATAAGGGGCGATAAGTGGTGAGCAACGACGAGAAGAACACGCGCATACCTTCTCCACGAGATTACGCACAGCGGCCTGAGCGTTGTCCGAAAATTCGTCCAGCTCGCGGCTCCTCCTAGCGACCGCGTTGGGATCGTCGGTGCTCTTACTGAGCTCATCGCAGAGACGCACGCCGGGCATGATGTGAGCGATGGAGATCTGCGTATACATCTTGGCGATTGTGGAGAAGAGGGAGAAGTACGCTTGGCACATCAGGGAGGTGGTGTAAAGCTCCTGTCGGGAGACGTCGAGTAAAGAGATATTGCCGATAAGGAGCTTGCGAGCGGAGTCGACCTGAAGCACGAAGTCCTTAACGTTGTTCTTGACTACGTGTTCCACCATAGCGGAGAGGGAGCCGAAGAACCGGACTAGGTTGGTGATCTGAGCTTTCATCTGGATCAGCGTACCGATGCATTGCATGAGCACGTTCTTGATATCGCTCTAAGAAAGCAATGGGAGACCTTGAGCAATGTAATCCGAAGAACATAGATTGACACTTGCCATGGCGATATTCTCAGCCTCAAGCTGTTTAAGGTTCGCCTTAATGCGGGACAGTTCCGCCTCCACCTTGGCGGAGTGGGCCGCCGACTTGGCGTAATTATCTTGGGCAGATGTATACGCAGCCTGTGTTATGCTCATCTTCTCGACGGCAGCTGACAGACGAGCATTTTCTGAAGGATCGCAGGAATGAGCGCGTTTCGACATGCATTCTGGTTACTTACGCGCAGCCGGATCCTGCACCTGCGTCGTAGCAGGCACCTTGCCGATCATCGGCGCCTATCACGTCAAAACGTTAGCTTGACTACATAGTCGATGCACGACGTGCATACCGCGCCGGGAGCGCCCCCGGGAAGACTTTGAGCCGTAGCCGAGAGACGGGTGATTGTCACCTGCGCCTCGACAACTGCGTCTTGCCATTCTTTCACCGTTTTGTCGTCGGGTTTGGAGGAGGTGAGTTCTTTGTCCTTCGTCAAGACCCCCTCGAGAAGACCGATAACCTACAGCAGGTGAGCGACAGATGCATCTGAGACGGAAGGTGCTCCATACCCTGAGAACTTTCTCGATAGCTGCCTTGAGATCTGTGCTAGGTTGATCTTGCGTCCAGTCAGTGGTTTTGAGCATGTGCTCAAGCGGAATCTTGACAAATTGTATTCCGCTCTTCGGTTGGCCCTTTCCGGGAGACAGGCTGTCCCACAACACTTTACCGTCGGTGCTCGCGCCTATTACGGAGGCAAGCGAAGTCACAGAGGCAGCTGCGGTAAGCGAGGCGGCATAGGCAGGATCAGTAGCAGTGTTTGGCATCGTGGCTGGGCGAACAATGCTCTTAGGTTGGGGAGCATTGTCTTGGCCAGCTGCGACGCCGCCGGAGCCCCTCGCGGCGCCCATCATCATGCCTATGCCCGCTGCAGGGGCCATGGCACCCATCATCGCTGGAAGCGCTTGGGCAATCGAGGTGGTTGCAGCTCTGGCAAGGCTTCCAGCGAGTTCCAGGCCCATCGACTCCCAGGCTAAACGGAGCGTCAGCTTGCTGAGTATCTAATAACGACATGCACTTACGACCAGGAACTTCATTGGCAGCCTTCTCAAACAAGGCTTTGGACGTGTCCAACTTGTCCTTGAGCGTCTTCGCAGCCTCATTGGCGTGCTCCAAGGTCGTCTGGGTCAATTCGGCCTCGAGACTCATACCGCCGATCTTGATCTCAGCTTGCTGCTGGCCAATGGCGACCTTGTCTTCCTTGGCGACCGTCACCTGGTGGACCTCGCAGACGAGCTGAAGCCATTCGGTGAACTTCTTCTCAATGTCTTGAGCGTACTTTAGACAGTCGTCGGACCCGCCCTTAAGAAGCGTCAACTTGTCATGGAGCGCCATCTCTGCGCTAGGATGAGGCAGATCCGGGAGGTAGCCGACGATAGCCGCCATCTATACAACGATGAGGAAGGATACGAGACAATGAGCACCGGAGTTTACTGACGTATTGTCCAAGCGCGACAGAGGTGGTGTTGATCAAGCCCATCTTCTTTTCAGCCTCGATGAAGGCGAAACGGCCGGTGTCGGAGACTTGAACCAAGCAAGCCTTGAGTTCCGGGTGACTGAAAGCGGTAAGCACAGTTAACCTGCATGAAGACACTGAAAGCTCACCGAATGTACTTGAAACCACCTTTCGGCTCGGCATCCTTCAGGCTAATGCCTTGGGCTTTCGGGGAAGTGGCCGCAACGTAGCAGGAACCCATTAGAGAAAGTGCCAGCGGAGCTGCCGAGAGGAGTTCGGCCCAGTCGTACTGGAACAGGAGCGAATTCTTGACATCGCGAGCGAAGGCGATCTGGGCTTTGCCGTTGCCTTGCTTCTTGAGTCGGTCGTCCTCGCGCTGGGCGATTTCGGCGAGCTGGCGAGAAGCCTCGGTAGACGAGACAAGAGCCATGGTATGGATGAGTGGTAAATATAGAAAATATGTTTTCCCCAGAGCAGAGAAGCGACGATGTCCTTGGGCTGTCCGTTCCACCATAGCCGCTTTTATACCTCGCTCTTCGAGTGCTTAGAAAGACTTAAAGTCCGAGTCGCCCCCAGTGTGTGCGCCTTCGGAGCCTACACACCGCCGACTGAATTGGAGACGTCAGACGTGCCTGAAGCATTCGACGGCGACGGACTCACCGACGACAAGGAGTAATGACATGTCGAGCCGTCACCCCAACTACGCCGCCCATGCTTCGTAGGCTAGTCCGGTTTGGACCGCTGCCTGACAACTTAATCCATGATGCCGAAATTTGGAGTCGTCCAAGGGGCGAGGAGCCCATGACCCTCAAATGTAATGCCACATGACGGCTGGGGCCTGTCATGAAGGACGCAAAAGTCGGATCATTTCTGCGAGCGACCTGGCTTTGGCACCAGAATCCTATTTGATCGCTCCCACGAGCCGACAACTTGAAAGGTTTGACGGAGTCCACAATCATCGAACGTTCTATCTGGACAACACGAACCACGGCAGCCTTCCATTCGCTGTGTTGTCTCCGAAATTGTTGCTCTTGTGGGTTAGAGCGGGTCCTATATGGCACTAAACGTGTATGGAGTGAAATTCCGGCGAAGAATCGGCCTTGGGACTGCGGGGAGCATCGACGACATGAGCTGGTGCTTGAAACATGAACCAGACACATTCCCCGGTCGATTGACTTGGTGGCGGGAAACGGATCGCGAAATGCTAGGACATGCGGAGCAGACAACGAGCCGGTGAAGCCCTTGCTCCGTGTGCCTGACGTTGGAGGCACACCCAGGACCAAGAGTCGGATCCAAGCATCAGCCGACGGAGGATGGTTTGGTCTCAAAAGCTCCTTTGAAAAAACTTGAAGTCCTCGTTCGCTAGGAAAAGTGTCGCCGGGTCCTTCGAGAACGAAATGACGAACTACGCGGAAGACCCCAGGCGTCGAGGAGGTGAGTGTGCGGACACCATGGCTCAGCATAGAGTTTAACCCTCACTGGCAGACGAACGCAAGAGCGAGACGGCCGTTATCATGCGGAAGATGGACGATATGGCCTCACATTTGACCCACGATGTGGAGAACATCAAGTCGGTGAACGCCCAGCTGGCGATTGACTTCGAGGCCCGCCTTGATTCCGCATTCGAACGCTTGTTGGACCTGACGAAGCTCGTGCTCGAAACGCCCGGGGACAACCTGATAGCCAGTCCCGACTTGCTCCAGTCCGTCCTAGGCGCCAAGTCCGCATTCCAAGCTCTCCTCTCGCAAGCGGAAGCCGCGCTCAAGTCTCTCGGAGGCCATTCCGAGCATGCCTTCGTCGACGAGAAGGAGGTGAACGATCTCGATAACGAGCTTCGCGCGTTCAAGTCGAGCATAGAGGTGGAACAGGCTTCTGCGGACAACATGCGTGCGCAATTATGGGAGCAGTTCTGCTCGTCCCAGCGTGACTTCGAGGATGCTGAGCGGCGTCTGCACGAAAAGGAAAGGGATCTCGACGTGAGTGTGACATGACAGCAGCATTATGCAGACTGACCTGAATTCCAGAACTTCTTCGTCTCCTTGTTCGCCGACCGTGACTCCGAGCTACGTCCGTTCCGTGACCACAAGTGGAACCAAGAGCAACGTCGTAACTCCGACGGATGGAGGCATACCTACATGCGCGAGTTCGCTGAGCTTGAGACGTGTTTGATCGACGACGTGGGACGAGCGATAGACCGCATAGAAGAACTCAAGCGGATCGCGGTCGACGAGGAACACAAGGTTATCGATGCCAAGGAAGTCGCCGCAGAGCTTTATTCCAAGGTGTACGATTTAGAGGTTTGGATGGACGGTAGTCTGATCCAGCTCGATCGTGACGCCTGCCTCAAGCATGTCCTCTGTCTCACAGATATCAAGATTCCTGCGATAGACGGGGACGTCCATGTTGCTGAATTCAAGCGGCAGATGGACGCATGTTTTCTCCAGCACTACACCGCAGAACGTTTAATCGAGCTCAAGCAAGGACAGGTATACGTGGAGATATAGTAGTATGTTCGAAACGTAGTGAGAGACCCGAGCAGATTGTCCCAGTCGTCGCGACTTTCTAGGATAGATCGGGGAATGCCGGAGGCGTGGAACCGCGGTACCTGTGGGAGTGGCAGTCACCAATAGTCGCAATAATGCGTGTAGTCCCCGTAGTAACGTGCCGTTGAAAACAATGTTAGAGTAGTGTGGACTCAAGATCCCGCTACAGATTTAGATTGGAGAATGCGACTTTCGGGCAAGGAGATTACTTGAGCTTGCTCAGGTAATGAGTACACGTGCGCCCGCCAGACGTGCAGAAAGCGCTTTAGACTCGCATGAACGCTCAGCAGCATGTTATGACGCCCCTGGTGCCAGGGTACGCAAACCACTCACGCGCCAATGTGTACGAAAGTTGCCCAGTCGCATGCGTGATAACCTCGTCTCCTGAGCATCCCGGCTGTCGCGAGTGACATCAGGGGAGTAGAGACCACGACCAATTCGCGATGCACGGGCGGCGAGAGAGTCGTCCGATATACGATGGATGGAGGCCCACGTCTTATAGAAGCAGGCATAGATCCCAGCATCGGCAAGGCAACCGACCAAGAGCAGACGAATCTTTGCGTCACCTCATCAAGCACGTAGGGAACCAACGTCTCAACGATGTACATAGCCGCGAAAGGGAACGCACCACACCAATGCTATCACGCTGCGGAGGCCGGTGAAGAGGAGCGAAGCTCCTAAGTGAATGACTTGATCAGGCTGTGAAGTGTCGCCCTTGCCTGTCTCGCAGGCGCTGAGGTGCGCGAAGAGCGCTTCCGGAAGGTCCAGCTTCATAAGGTTGTCGATGGTGAGGTCGCCGTCACCGAGTTTGATTACTCTCCTGAGCAGATCACTGCTGTCCTGGATGCCGTGGCAAGCGATGTGTAGGACCATCACTTGGGGTAAAGAGTTCAGCACCTCTGACTTGTACATTGGCGCTTGAGGCGTGTCCTGGCGCCGGATGACGGTCGTAGTCTCCTAGGGCAGTATCTTCAACCCGATGTCCGTTATTGAACTCCCGGGCATACCGAGAGATTGCGATACACATAACTTTCTAATCCAAGATCCTCTTCCTGTTCGCCGCCGTTTGTGCCAGTGGGTTGAAATGCTCGAACATGTTGGGGACCTGCGTCAGCACGCAGAGCACATCTCACAGTCCACCGACTGACCGTGATACGCGATACATGGGATAAAGTCAGCTGAACACTGAAAGGTTTCGGCCGCCGACACTGGCCCATCGAGCACAAAAGCACGCGGTATTGCCCAGACAGCTGTCGGCCCCCGTTTCATTGGATCTCCGATTCCAGCATCCTGTGGCCCGCTGGGTACACGGTTGGGCACCGGTACCGTCGCTCACGTCGGCGACGCTGAGTAAAGCAAAAGGGTCACTGAGTGCGACTATTTCGTGCAAGTAAACATCATATGCCGAAATCATATGCCGCTGGTTCGTGATCTTGTGGTCGTCGGAGTGGTTCTGAGTTCGAGGTACGGTGCTGGGGCTTTCGCGGAGCTGATTCGGGACCACCACACATGCCCAGTTCATGAAGACCTTGATGCATGTGGTGGCGGCGGTATGTAGATTGTATGTATAACCTGCTCTAGCATCGGTATAATCCCGGGGCCCGCAACGTCAATGAGGCGATGAATTACTTCGTACCAGCTTATTCATGGTTACCCGCCTATGCATGATCAGAGGGTCATGGTTGACAGAGTAACGAAGAGATTTGGGAAGGCCTACTTCCGTCGGTGGTGAAAGCCCCGATGTTTGTGGCAAGGTGCACGCAGGATGCGAGTCTGTGAGAGCAGTCACCCGGTACCTCTCACCGACTTGGGCGAAGATGGCAATGCATGTACAAACATTCAAGCGCGCGAAGCATCAGTATCACCGCCTCGCCCACAGGCACCACGGCATTTCGATGCCCCTAAGTATAGATAGGTGCGCCCGTGTGGCGCATCACCCACTTCGAGGTATAGTGCGGCGCACAGCCTCTACCGAGTCCGGAATTCGGATAGCTTCTGAAATCCCTCAGACAGTTTACGGGCTTCCAGCGAGCGTCGTCATCTAGAGGTAGCTCGGGTCTACACTACGAAAGGTGCGAAAGGAAGAACGGTCATGTGAGTCAGTGAAAATGATGACCGCGACGGAAACTGACAAATCACTTCTCGGACGACCCTGACGATGGCTGTAGTTTGTGGCTCCACCTCGACGAGGGTCCGAGCAGGTCATAAGCTCGGCCGTCGGTACGAGAGCGACTTGTTATCGCAAAGGCGGCGGAAGTCGGCGAATAGCATGTCTGTCGCGTATCAGGAGTCATGGCGGGCGGAGCGCAAGTCATCCGCGGAGGCAAGGAGAGATCGCAACTCGGTGACCAAGGTGTGCTCCGGTGTCTCATCGGTGTCCCACCCGGCGGTGTGTACGACGACGACAGCTTCGGGCACTTAAGATGGATCCCGAACCCCGCGCCGTTCTGCGCGGAGAGAAGCGTACGTCCACTAACTGTCACGACGTTTGCAGTCATTCGACGCATACGAAGCTACAGAACTGGATATACAGATCAGATAGCTATTCACCAGGGTAGAAGCGCACGGGAGCCCACTCACACAGAAAAGCATACAAGAATGCAAGATAAAGCGCAGCAAGTGTTGAAAGCGTCTAAGCATACAGAGCAGTGTAGACAAGTCGTTATATGACTCAGAAAGCGATGGATGACGTGGTTATGGAACAGACAGCAACGGATGAGCAAGGGCGGAAAGCATGAAAACAATCGATCTAGGTTTATTTGGCCGAGGTCGTAACGGAAGCGCTATTTGACCGTGAGCTTTCCGAAATATATATCGGAGATCGGCCAACGTACGTTGACTAACGCCACCTAATTAGAGGTGTAGGGCTCCTCTCTTCCTTGATCCACGTGATGGAAAGCTGGGAGTGATCGTAAGGTTGGTAGATCGTCTTCAACTGGAACAAGCAAGGCCTGGCAGGCATCTCCCTCATCTCCCTGTCGTCGATGTCCTCCTTTTTGAGCCTCCTTCTGGGACCTTGAACCTGAGCATCGACGAAAGTATCGCTGGCAGCGCGCCGGAATGTGACCTGTTTGTTCTCCGCTGGGAGGTCGCTGAATGCCCTTCGCTTCTTCCCTTGCTCCGTACGCTGGCGCGGCATACGAGCATAGGACGCGAAGCCTCTCAGAAGCGAGTCCAAAAAGGAAGGGAGCCGGTCGAATGAATCAGGGCAGTAAAGATAGGCAACGTAGACGCGAATAGGCCGCTGCGGCGAGGGCATCCGCGGGATATCGATGACTGGAGGAGCGATTTCATCTTCGTCGAAGGCGGAGCTGAACTTCAATCTCTCAAAGAACCCCTGACCCAAATCCCAGTGCCAACGCTGAGCTAGGGACGCCCTTTCTACAGGATCTTCCACGAAAAGAAACGTAGTCATCCATGGGAGCTTCACGCCGTCCTCCTCTATGATAAAACCACCATCGCCGACTTGGCGATAGATCAGTCCGGCTTGCTGAACCTTCGCAAGGACTATCAAAGGCCTTCTGAGCTGGCATGTTTTATTTGATTACAAAGAACAGAGTATTGGACGCACCTTCGAATACAGCAGAGCGATCGTAATAGGTCGGCACCCTGCCACGTAAAACGTCCGTCATGATTCCTACAACGTGCTTGCCCCGCACAACATGTCCGAGTACGTTGGCAGTCACGTTGAGCCCTCGAAGTGCGTGATAGGCTCGTGTGATGGTCTCCAGATTTTTGATGCCCAGATCGGTACAAGCCATCCAAAGCTTAACCTCTCGACCTTCCCACAAGCCCTTCCGGATCTCTGGGTATCGCCCGTCCCAGCCAGTGATCTCAATTTCGTCTTCATCCACCAACGGTGCAAAGATGGGGCAAGACGAACGTCTCGTGATAAGGTCGCAGTACTCCAGCCGCCAGTAACCATTCTCCCGCAGAAGGTAGGCTCCGGTCCGAGTGAAATCGATAGAATCGAGCATGGTCTGAACGATTTCGACCCGGAAGATGTGTTCTAGATTGTACGCCGCGTCACCTTCTTCTGGCTCGTGTTGATATATCACTGTGATAACTTGGCCCTTGCTATAGAGCGAGACGCCCCTCTGGTTAGGATCCCCCCTACGCGATTGTCTGAACGAGCGTTGGATACAAGGGGGAGCCCAGAGACGCACCACCCTAAGCCAAAAGGCTGGCCAACCCACTTTACGACATAATCGTAACCATTCGGTCGCCGAGCGGGAGCCATAGACTCTGAATGCTGTCCGGAAAGGGAATCCAATGGACCCACGACGCACAGGACGGTCGGGGTACGCGCAGGGACGGACAGCGTGATGTAAGCGTGACACATGCCTGACGAGCGCCTAAGCGTGGTAATTTGCACGGCTTTCGCCCCGGACGCGCCCCGACGCGACTTGACCTGCACCATCCTCCAAATTCAAAGCATATTGGAGCATTCCGTTCTACTGGGCTATGCAATATCCTGATAACGGGACTCTCGGGTGTTTTGGCCACAATGGTCCGCAAAGCATCGGGCATCAATCGCGAATGCGCATCACTGGACTTGCATAGTCGTACGCCATTGCACGTATTTGCTCACTGACAGGCACCCACAATATCATCGTGCGTAACACTGGAACACGTGTAGGGCGGGGATCGCGCTAGATATGTGGACCGACCTGTATAACCCATTTCCATAGGCGGCATATCATCTTTGGAGGGTGCCCCTCGCCACGGCCCCTACAACTGGACACCTCCGCTCTGTACCTTTGGAACAGCACCGTGAGTCTTCCGAGGACTAGCCAGCATAACATGCTGCAATGCAAACAAACACCCCGTTAAAAGGAAAATGAGGCATGTGGTGATCTCTATCCTCGTCCGGTTTTCTCTAATTTTCTCGCTTCGAATCAATGTGCGCCATAGTCCCCGCCGAATGCAATGGGCACGCAGGTTCTGGATATTTTATGGTTGCTCCTTGTTCCTCTCCATGCATCGGCCTTCTTTGTCCCAAGAAGCAGCTGGTCAAGGCGGACGCTAAAGGGCCATGCCTCGTCTGCGGCTTACGCCGTCCTTAAACGCCTTTATGCTATTCCGTTGAGTACGATACCGCTACCTTCACCATGTTATATCACTCAGTACCGTACACCAGGCTACGATCAACGACCCGATTTATTTAATAGATTTCCGCCCTCATTATCTGGTACCCGGCGGCATATCGTCGCCTGCGCCAAGATAATGATGCACGACGCCATGCACCTCTGTTATTTACCGTTTTCGACGATTATTACTTCATTACAACAAGCAAGCTACTACAGGACGGACCTGAAGCCTGAGGTCCCCATGATACCTCCGTCGAGCCGCCGAAACCTTGCGACTGGATTAACCATCGCCCATGTCTCAGTATATTCCCGGAAGAGGCCTACTCACCCTTCTAATTTCTTCGTGAGCTTCCCAACGAATCTCTTCTCCCCACGACTGACAATTCAATAACCAGGCTCATGTGCTACCGCCTTCCTAACCTGTCCATTCACAATGCCTACGTGTAGCGATCTCCTCGGACGATCATGCAGGACAGCTACTTCAACGCGCTTTCTTTGCGATTGGCCCCTGGTGCATTCCGCAGTACGAAGGTTGCAATACTCGCCAGTCAGGACACGGAACGTTGTCCGTTGTATGTTATTCCATTGTGCGCGATTTTGTTTCATCCACTGCATTGCTGTACGGACTCAGATCCTAGTCACCTATTGTATCATGTTCATTGCGCTCTAGTAGCATACCCACCGCATAGATCCCTACTCGCTGTATAGTCTGACTCAATCCTAATCTTATCTTGATCCGTTGCATGAAACATGTTTCCGAATCGCGTTGCTTTAGCTAGCGGGAAGCATGACGAACAAGAGAGGCACAGCTGCTGCGATAGTTCGATGCAGGCATATGCTACATTGGCCGCGACGCTATATATGCGGAGTCCGGTATAACGGGTTTAGAAACACGCGGCACGACATGGAGTATATTGCTATATCAGCAGATACAACGCAATCACCCTGTCATCAACCATATGTAGATGCTGGCAATGAGTTCAATCAACAGGATTTTGGTCCGTCCGGTCCGAACTGTGGAGTACTTATCCCCAATCAAATGCCTAAATCTGTAAAGTGTTGGGGAGTCAGACCGCGGACGCACATTGCTTGCTCTTCGGGAGACTGCATGTATGGAATAAGTCACTCGAGCTCACCGTTTCGCCTTGATATTGGGTTTCGCCGAGGAAGAAGAAGAAGGTTCTCACGGTCAGAAACCCTATCATAATCGGAAAGTGATGCTATCACTGCGCTAAAGGCCCGTTCCATGGACGGCTCTGGCTCTCCTCTCATCCTCCTCGTTCAATCTACTCGTCGGAGAAGGCCGTACCTCCTCCAGTGACCAACAGTGGCTCAACTTCTCACTGGATCCCTGGATCGTCCGCCATCCCGACAGATGGGATAGGCCTGTGACTGTCGGCCCTCACGCGCGTCCCTTCCCACCTGCACACCGGAAGACATAACGGCGGGCTCTTAGTCTCACGAACGGATGTTGCGCTCCATGTCCACCCCAGCACCCCAAGATGAGCTCACGACGACCGCCTTGCGCGCCCTCAAGACAGTATCCGCCACCAGCAAGGCGCACTTTCTGCTCGAAACCGCGCTGGCTTTGATCAACCAGGGGCAGTGAGTGCGGTCGCGTGCGGATGGCAGTGCGAATGCGGTCTGACGGAAGGTTGCAGATACGGAGCCGAGGTGGAGAACTATCTAGAGGTCTATCTACGCACGCCGGGCCTTACCAACGATGAGCTCGTGCGTGCCCTGCTAGCGAGGGCGAAGGCCCGACGAACAGCCGGAGAGGGCCTCCTGAGCAAAGCTGAGCAAGGCGCGTGGGAACAGCACTATGCGCAGTAATGGGCTAGTCTAATGGATTGCATAGACCTCCTCACTGTTTCCAAGTTGGACCCTTCGAACAAAGAAATTCGACGATTCGTTCGAAGCGAGCAGCTGGTAAGCCGGTCACTGGTCATCGTGTTTCTTCGCAACTTCACGAACCGACGTCTTGCTTAGATACACTTCGCGGACTCACCTGCCTCGCATCGTGCACCACCCGAAGTATGGGACCGTATTGCATCGTATATACCTCGCTTCCATCTCCGTACTTGGCTCTTCGTTTCCGCATTCCACCGTAACATCGCGCTGCGCATCATATTCCACACTGTGGACCTCTATTTCGGTGAAGATCAAGATAACCTCAACCGGTCTCTGGACATCTTCGACCGTGTTAAGGACGATAAGAGCTTTGCGAACCGCATCAAGGTTTTAAGGTTGCATTGGGCTTGCGAACAAGGCGATATGTTGGACCTGATGATACGTGAGTCGCTATCTCATGTAGTCGTAGTTGTGAGGCTAATCGTTCATTTTAACAGGAATATTTCGTACGACGCTTCCCGAGTTCAAAGCCCTGCGCTCGTTCGAATGGATTGGCTATCCCGAGGTCGGAAAGGACTTGGTCCAAGTGCTTCTTGCTTCCCATTCGCACTTGGAAGCCCTCGGCCTCATCGGATGGCATTTCGACGCCGAGGGCGTCTCCGCTTTCAGCGGACTCCGCAAGTTCACGCTTCGTGCGGAGGACGATGACGGTTGGGCTGATATGGGCGAGATCCGGACGGTCCTCGATGTCAACGAGCACACCCTGAGGCACCTGTGCTTAGGCGCTTACCTTGCCCGGGACCATTCGTGGGACTCGGCCTTTCAGAGCACCACGATCCAGAACCTCACCCACCTAGACCTGGTAGACACGAGGATCAGCCACATCGTGCTCGCGCGCATCGCGCACGCTCACAACCTCCAGTCATTAACATTACACGGGACGTTCGAGGAACCGAGAAGCGCGTCGGTCGTTTTCGGCAGTGACCACCTCATCGAGGGCAGGCACACCTTCCTTCCGCACCTGCAGGCGTTCAGGTTTGTCCTGGTCGGGCACGACGACGAGTTCGGCCTCTGGCAGAATGTCGCGCAGTTCATCAAGCATCGGAGGAAACTGCGCCGTCTGGACCTGGGTAACTGTCCCTGGGAGCTCGTGTCGGAAGTGCTCCCGGGCTTAGTAGGCCTGCGCGTGCTTCGTGTTCGCATCGCGAACCTTACGCAAGTTGTGGTGCAAAATTTAGTGCAACGATTACCCAAGGAAATGGTCGCCATACACTTGGCTACTGTGGCATGCGACCAGACACTCGTACGCGTTTTGTCACACTCACCATTGGTTCCCGTTGGTCTCACGTTTACGTCGTTCAGGATCACTACGCTTCTCTCTTTGCCCCGTTTCATACGCTGTCGCTCTTACACCTCCACAAGGCGAACAAGAAGCGCCCCCAGCTGTCGCACATGTCGGAGAAAGAGTACCACGTCCAGTCGCAGCTCTGGCATACGTGTTTGCAGCAGATCGCAGTTTCGGTTCCCTCTCTCGACTTCGTGGGATGGCACGGCGAGCATTGGGTGATCGTGCGAGGCACGAGCGCTGGAGAAAAGAGTGAAGAGAGCGAGATCTGCAAGAACGTCGAACTCAAGGAGTTGCCCGCGCGGAAGAGGCTGGATTGCGGGACAGGTGTGGATCTGGGTAGCGAGGATGCTGCGTGGCTGGAGAGGAAGGACGTGCCGATGGATTACGAGATGCCTGGACTGGAGGCATAAACAGATCCGTTCTCCATATTGCTTGAGTCTTGTGACGAACTGTGTCCTGTCCCAGCTCAGTAAAACATGAAGCTTCGATGAGCCCTATACATGACTTCGGTCTAGTTTATTATACATGTAGCCCGCTGAGTAAGGTCGGTCCGCGTGGCCAAAGAGAGATAGTATACAATGTCCACTGCATCGTCACCACTAAACCCCCCTGCTTAATCTGCACCGTTGACCTTCTCGTCCAGCCATCGCGCAACTCCGCTCCCCAGGGCGCTAAGCACGAAGGACCAGTCGAACAAGGCACCGAAGACTTGGAACTCCGGAATAGTGGAGAAAACGTTGAAATCCCGCGCCGGTGCGCTTGCTTGCGGTTGAGTTGCCGGAGGTGGGAACGACGTCCGCATCTGCACAATTGTCGCGAGGAGGTAGATGCCCTAATCGGCACATCGGCATGGACAATCGACGATGCGAGGCTGCTAGGCGACAGACTCACCATGACCTGAGCCAACATAAGCACCATGAAGGATGTGCCCATGCTTCGGATTTGGCTGGCCGATCCCGCCTTGGTGCCGCTCGAGCTAATCATCCGCAGAGTACGCACGACGCCACGCAGTACCAGCCGGATGCTGCTGATAATCATGAATCCCACGAGGACGAGGCTGATCTGCCGCGAGATCGCAGTCGCAGAGTCCATGCTGATGTTCTTGGTGAAGGGTAAGACGGAGATTGCCGCGTGGAGAAGGCGGGCAGTGACGTCTGTCGAGGACGAAGACGAGCGCGTGCGGATAGGAAGGAGAACGTTCACAAGGCACTAGAGAAGCGGATCAGGGGTGTTGAGTGAGACGGCTGTGTGATGCGTACAGAGATGGTCCGGTAGATACAGTAGATGACGAACGCACGCCCGCCCCAGCCAAACAGGCGTCCAGTGATCGTGTTGGAGAATGCAGCGTCTACTCGACGTTGTCGTAGCTGATCGAGGTTTCTTGACATTTGATGCTCGAGCGTCTCGAGCCCTCGCATCTCCATCGTCATTTCTATCATTGTATCGTTCGTTCAGTTCGTGAGAGTTGACACCGAACAAGAACACTAACTGTCATCACCGCGTAGTGTAGGCACTACGCGAGATAGCCAACTGGATTCCGACTGCGGCTGTAGGATAGACAGCTGTCAGGGAACGCACGCGGGGAGAGTAAATATTGCTCACCTCCTCCGTCCTGGCTTTATCTGCCCTGCGTTGTGCCAGGTCGTCGCGGATACGTTCCAGAGCACTCGTTGCTGCCTTGACATCCTCCTCAGTCGGAGTATCCCTACATCAGCAGTTAGTCAGTATGCAGATAATCCAGTCTCGCGGGACATACCTCTTCACACGGGCAAGCGCGGGGAGGAACGCCCATGCGTTGCTGGTGGCACCAAAACCAGACAGTAAGCCAAGGATGACGGTCCCGAGAACAACAAGGCGGGCCAGAGCGGTCGTGAGGAACTCGCTGGTTGAGATACTAAGAGTCTCCGGGAGGGGGATATAAGAGAGGAGGAAGAGGCAGACAATGACGGGTGTGAAGGCTAAACCGATACGGCTGGGCGTTGGCCGCTTGCGTTGGGCGTCTATCATCGCAGGATCAGCGGAGGAGCATAGTGCTCGTGATTTAAGCGTACCAGACGAGGAGCGTGTCATTAAAGACAGGCTGAGGGATAGAGGTGCGAAGACCAGGATGTTTAGGAGAAGTACGAGGAGAGATATACGCCAGTTGACGAGTCTTGTCCTATTCCAGATTTGAATCAGAGACGAGCCTAATATATCTCGGGTAAACAAGCATGTGGACATACCTCGCATCCATAAACTCGATCCCTTGCATCATGAGCAAAGCGAACAGCGTGCAGCTCTCAGAAAAGCTGGCAGCAAAACATCCTCGCGCAAGCTTTGAGTGTAGCGGCCGAGAGCGACTTCCAAGGAACGATCTTGAGTCTCTTGTGGTGGACAAAGGTTGTGGGAGGCTGTCGAGTTCTAAATCGAGCATGGAGGTGCTGGCCATGGGTGAATGGGCATGTTCCCCCGGCTTCGAGTCCGGCGACTCTGAAGCCATGCCTCGCAGGTCATGCTCTAAGCTTCGTAGTAGAACATGCCGACATACGAGAAACAGCGGTATCCTGTATCATATTGCGATGATGCCTCGAAGGTCAGCTTGCGCAACCGTTCCACGAATGACGCGACCGAACCTCAGTGTGAAAGTGAGCAGACTAGTCTGCCAGGCGACTGTTGTCAGCGCTTGAGCCATTATGAGACAATGACAAGTATGCAAGATTGTCGAGCCGTTGAAGTCGGTGGAAGGTCCGATTGTGAAGGTCACTTCCAAGTCATGGAGAGCAATGCAATGAGCGGGCTGTGCGGGGTGCGGAAGCACGCTTTGATCTCCGACACTCCGACAAGCCCCTGTTGCAATCTGGCGAAAGTGTCTAATCGGTGATAATCCAAAATTTGTGGATACGGAGTCATCTGTCCTTCATCATTCTCTCTCCTCCGTCTCTCGTCTCTTTCATTTCTTACGATGGCACCTATAGGAAAGCTTTGGGGACCTCCCGGTCACGCTCTGGCCAAGCGTGTATGTGGTCGGACTGGACATTTCGTTGGTTCTGATCGAGACGGGCGTCTGTAGGTGCGAGCAGTTGCCGCGTTCGCTGGCCTCGAGTACGAAACTCCCGAGTATGTTCATTTCCAAACAAACCTGACGGTACGTACGTTTTGGATGTTTGAAATTGATTGCTTGATCAATCGTGTTGATCCCTGTGATAGCCTGAATTCAAGTCGAAGTTCCCGTTGGGGAAGATTCCCGCTTGGGAGGGTAACGATGGTGTCTTGCTGTCCGAAACAACTGCGATCGCAAGGTATTGTGAGTATCAGCATGATTACTTGAGATCCCTGGCTTTGCCCACACTGCAAGATGAAATATATTCTCTTTCAGTTATCCCTGTCTTAATGATCATGGATCACTATGTCGAGATTTACCCTTCTGATCTTCTGTTCCATCCCATTTTTTGCGTGTCTCTCGTGAATGGGTCTGATCATCGATTTCCAGTCGCCTATCTCGCTCCGAACTCTGGCCTGCTCGGCACCGACGCCAAGTCCGAGGCTCTCGTGGAGCAATGGGTCTCCCTCGCGGACAAGGAGATTCAGAGCCGCAACGGCCTGATTTTCCAGATCTGCACCGGCAAGATCGTGCCCTATAACAAGCCCATCCACACCCACTTCGTCGAGGAGCAGCTCCGCGCGTTCGACGTCGTCGAGAAGCACCTCGCCACCCGCACCTTCCTCGTTGGCGAGCGGATCACCCTCGCCGACATCACTCTCGCTTCCGCGACCGCCACCGCGATCTACGTCACCCTCGATGCTCCAACGCGCGCCAAATACCCCAACACCATTCGCCACCTCGAGACGGTCGCGTACAACCCCAAGCTCGCGTCCACATTCGGCGAGCTGAAGTACGCGGAGAAGGCTATGCAGTACGTGGCCCCGCCGAAGGAGAAGAAGGAGCCCAAGCCTCAGGCGGAGCCGAAGCCTAAGGCTGAAAAGAAGAAGAAGGAAGCCGAGGAGGAGGAGGAGGATGACGATTTGGTGCCGAAGGAGGAGCCCAAGGCGAAGAACCCGCTCGACCTCCTCCCCAAATCTTCCTTCAACCTCGAGGACTGGAAGCGCGCTTACTCCAACAAAGACACTCGCGGCCCCGGCGGTTCGCTTGAGTGGTTCTACGAGCAGTACGCGTCTTCCATCTACATCTACGATCGCCTGAACTGAGCTTATCGCGCTTCCTGCAAAGTTTCGACCCGGAGGGTTTCTCCATCTGGCGTGTCGACTTCAAGTACAACGAAGAGCTCACCCAGACCTTCATGTCCTCCAACCAGATCGGCGGCTTCTTCAACCGCCTCGAGGCGTCCCGCAAGTACCTCTTCGGCTCCATGGGTGTGCTTGGCAAGACGAACGACTCGATCATCACCGGCGTGCTCATCGCTCGCGGGAAGGACATCAAGCCGGTCGTGGACGTCGCTCCCGACTGGGAGAGCTATGCGTACGCGCCGATCGACCTTTCCGACGCGTCGCAGAAGGCTTTCTTCGAGGGCGCGTTGGCCTGGGACTTGGAGGTTGACGGTAAGGCGTGGGTCGATGGTAAGAACGTGAGTTTCCTAATCGCTCAGTCGCTCGGGCGCATTACTGATAGACGCCGCGCAGTTCAAGTAAGGTTTTGCCGGGGGTGTATCAGAAAACTTTCGGAAGTCTCCTGTTGTTGTACACTGTCCATCGATGCTGTGTATTGCTGTAGCATGTTATCAGACGATATTGATTGTGCCCACACAACAATCGCCGTCCCATGAGGTTCACATTGGATCTGGTGACCGTGGGAGTGTAGTTCTTACTCACATCATAAGCTCGGATGACCGTAAGAGAACTATCCCATTAGACAATTTCTATCCTGATCAATATTATTTCAAATGGTCTATTGACTGGGCTTCTAAAGGAGCAAATAGGCATGGTATGGATACAGGCATTTGTGCGCTATGCGCCTAACATGAGAGTAAAATCGACAATAAACACGACAACGATGCAGACGAGGCAGAGCCGCCGACGTGAACAAATCTAGTATCATTGTGACCTGCATATTCACTAGACATGCGGTCCAGTGACAAGGTAAGAGTCAAACGTGGTATTGTTGTGGGGGCGGGCGAGTGGATGATCCTTAGACTTGCTAGCCTCACTGACGGTGATCAAGTGTTATCGGGAATGTCACATGCCATGTTTGCGACCCATACAGGACGTACTAGTCGGCTAGCTCTGTTGCAGTGGCCCAATCACAGTTCTTACAGTGAGTGATGCCGCGAGGTAGACATCCAAGAAACTCACGTCTTTTCGGCGCGGCATGTCAGGCGCAGTACTCAGGAATCATTCATCCAATTCCTCCGATAACCGGTTCAATTTTGCCGTCATCAACGAGCACTGATGAACGCGGTACAAGAGAGAATCCAGAAGCGGACCGAGTTCCCCAGGACCGTCATGTAACCAACCGGATAGAGAATAGAAAACCTTCGGCCTCGTCGCCAATGAGCTCAGTACGACCTTATTTGAACTGAATCGGTCCCCCATTAGTGATCGTATCTGAGCTAGAATTGCTCAGGAATCTCACGTTCTTGCCATCAGCCCAAGCCTTCCCGTCGATCTCCAGGTCCCAGGCGAGAGCGCCTTCGAAGAACGCCTTCTGCTTGACGTCCGATAGGTTGATTGGAGTGTAATCGTAGCTCTCCCAATCGGGAGCAACCTCAACGGCGGACTTGATATCCTTGCCGCGGCATACCAAAACGCCGGTTAGGATCGAGTCATTCGTTGCGCCTAGTACGCCCATGGACCCGAAAAGATACTTGCGCGAAGCCTCAAGGCGGTTGAAGAAGCCACCGATCTGGTTGGAGGACATGAAAGTCTGGGTGAGCTCGTCGTTGTACTTGAAGTCGACGCGCCAGACGGAGAAGCCTTCGGGGTCGAAGCTAGCAAAGGCGATGACCCAGGTGAGTTACTGGTTCGAACGATCGGAGAGTAACGTTACTATTCGTAGAACCATTCTAAAGAGCCGCCAGAGCCGCGAGTGTCCTTGTTAGAATAGGCACGCTTCCAATCCTCCAGGTTGAAGGAGGACTTCGGCAGCAAATCTAGAGGGTTCTTCGCCTTTGGCTCCTCCTTAGGAGCCAGATCGTCGTCTTCTTCGTCCTCTTCGACTGCTTTATTCTTCTTCTTCTTCTTCTCGGGCTTCGGATTTGGCTCTCCATGACCTTTCGGCTCCTTCTCCTTCGGTGGCGGCACGTACTCCATTGCCTTCTCCTGGTACGCGATCTCGCCAAAGACGGACTTGATCTTCGGATGGTACACGATCGTCTCCAGGTGACGGATCACGTTCGGATACTTGGCGCGCGCTGCGGAGCCGAGGGTCACATACACGGCAGTAAGGGTGGACATAGCGAGCGATATATCGGCGAGGGTGATGCGCTCCCCAACGAGGAAGGTACGCGTAGCAAGGTGCTTCTCGACGACGTCGAACCCACGGAACTGTTGCGCAACGAAATGAGCGTGGATCGTCTTGTTGTATGGCGCAATGATGCCATGGGTGATCTGGTAAATGGGGAAGTTCATGGCTTGAATTTCTTTCTCGGCGAAGGAGACCCATTGATTGACAAGCGCAGCGGTCCTGGGGTCTGTGGGGAGAAGTCCCGAGTCCGGGGCAAGACTCGCGACTGCAAATATAAAAATCATTAGTCCGTTATTGAAGAAGAGGGCAACGTTTACGGGGGATCGAACAGGCTACAAGGTACTTCGTGGCATAGTCGCGCATGAATACAAAGACCTAGAAGCTGCACTCACGGTATTTCGCAATAGCGGTCGACTCAAACAGCAGGAAACCATCACTACCCTCCCAGGTAGGGATCTTCCCAGCGGGGAACTTTGCGAGGAAATCTGGCTATATACCCGATGATGACGAGCGGTCATCGAGTGATATGAAGAGAACATAAAAGGTTGGCATACCTTTTTGTTGTCGACGTCGTGCACATACAGCGGCCGCTCAATCTCGAGATCAACATAGGCGGCAACGGCAAGACACTTCTCGATTGTGCGTGAAAACTCTTTCCAAATCTGCGAGGACCGATGAGAATGGCACGTACCGGCTTGACCGCCGGAGAACTTTCTGGGCCAAAAAGCTTCCCGAGCGGTGCCATTGTCAGTAACTCAAGACTGCAAGTACGACGTCAGAGGATGAGTCGCAACCAAAGTGACGTCAATCTGATGTCCGTGGTCCGTGGGATTCCGACCACGCGCAAGTGCTGACGCTGTAATGTCGGTGTCAGTATCAGAGGCAGAAAGGCGTTTGATTTTGAAGAGTCGCTTTGTCGCCGCCCACAGCACGGCGTTCTGATTCGAAGATAGCGAGCCAATTTGGTGGTACGCGATGGATAGATGTCCCTAGTAGAGTACATGATGGTGGAGCAAGTGACAACGGCGACAGAGCAATGTGAAATCCTAAATCGTACCCAATGCAACCTTCTAGATCATGTTGAAAGCGTCCTCGTCCTGCCGGATTTTACTTGAACTATGTGGCATCTATCAGCAACGTTTCCGAGCCAAAGAAGACATTTGAAGCTTACATTCTTGCCATCGACCCACGCCTTACCGTCGACTTCCAAGTCCCAAGCCAACGCGCCCTCGAAGAAAGCCTTCTGTGACGCGTCGGAAAGGTCGATCGGCGCGTATGCATCTCCCAGTCGGGAGCCACCTCCACGACGGGTTTGACGTCTTTCCCTCGGCAAACGAGGGCGCCGGTGATGATCGAGTCGTTTGTCTTGCCAAGCACACCCATGGAGCCGAAGAGGTACTTGCGGGACGCCTCGAGACGGTTGAAGAAGCCGCCGATCTGGTTGGAGGACATGAAGGTCTGGGTGAGCTCTTCGTTATATTTCAAGTCGACACGCCAGATGGAGAAGCCCTCCGGATCAAAGCTGTAGAGATAGAAGGCTGCTTAGCGCGGAGAAACACGGTGGTGTCCCCGAGAGAAGACGCATACTGCTCATAAAACCATTCCAGCGAACCACCGGGGCCGCGTGTGTCCTTGTTGGAGTAGGCCCGCTTCCAGTCTTCGAGGTTGAAGGAGGATTTTGGAAGCGAATCAAGCGGGTTCTTCGCCTTGGGCTCCTCCTTCGGCACCAGGTCGTCGTCTTCCTCATCGTCCTCCGCTTCCTTCTTCTTCTTCTCAGCCTTCGGCTTAGGCTCCGCCTGCGGCTTGGACTCCTTCTTTTCCTTCGGCGGGGGAACGTACTGCATCGCCGTCTCGATATAGTTGAGCTCGCCAAAGGCTTCCTTCATCTTCGGGTGGTACGACACCGTCTCGAGGTGGCGGATCACGTTCGGGTACTTGGCGCGCGTCGGCGCGTCGAGCGTGATCCAAACGGCGGTCCCGACCGCGCACGCGAGCGCGATGTCGGCGATCGTGATGCGCTCGCCGACGAGGAAGGTGCGCGTGGCGAGGTGCTTCTCGACGACGTCCAGCGCGCGGAGCTGCACCGACGCGAAGTGCGTGTGGATCCCCTTGTTGTAGGGCGCGATCATGCCCTTGCAGAGCTGGTAGATGGGGTAGTTGGGCGCGGCGATTTCTTTCTCGGAGAAGGAGACCCATTGGTCGACGAGTGCGGCGGACTTGGGGTCCGTGCCGAGGAGGCCCGAGTTGGGGGCGAGAGCAGCCACTAGGGAGGGCGCGTATGCATGGTGAGCCAAGGGTTCATAGCATAGTAGAAGCAAGTGGTGAAGCAAGTGGTGAAGAAAGATGCGAAAGCGGAAGCTTAATCTTAAGCTTAACAAGGTTGCGAAAGGAAGGAGGAGGGAGGTATCTCGTCTTCCGGCTCGGGATGGCGTAATCGCATTAGGATTCGTCCGAAACATCAAGTGTCATATGAACTCGACTTCATCACTTACAATACCTCACGATAGCCGTCGACTTGAACAGTAAAAATCCGTCATTCCCTTCCCAAGCAGGAATCTTCCCGGCTGGAAATTTGGCGAGAAATTCCGGCTACGGCGAGGTTGTCGATCTCGGAAGTCAATTTGGTAGCTTCAATACGACCGTTCGAGGGCTACGCACCTTCTTGTTGTCCACGAAATGCTCGTACTGAGGTCGCCCGATTTCGAGGTCGGCATAAGCGGCGACGGCGAGGCACTGGTGGATATGCGGTGATGGTAGACGGCGCGACAGTCGGATTCGAGTTCAGGCACCCGAGTTGGAGGTGGTTCGAGCCTCGGCGGCGGCGTCTATTGAAGGCCAAGGACCGACGTCGATCTTCAAGCTCTTCAAGCTGACGAAGCACACTGCGCTCATCTTCGTCAAGCAGAACGCCGATTCCTCCATCATCGCTGCGTTCCTGCAGGCTTTAGCTTCGTTCCCTCCAGGGACTGTGCAGACCGCCGTGGTCATATCGCCTTCTGTCACCGACGAGCAGAAGGCCACATCTGCGACGCTGACCGAAGGAGCCGATGTCGTACTGCTGGATAATGCAGGGCACGCGTTCCGCGAGTATGGGGTCGGAGATGATCACAGTCAGGCGCTGGTGCTTGTCCGGCCAGATGGATATGTCGGGGCGTATGTTTACGGAACAGAAGGCCTGAAGAAGTACACGGAAGCGCAGTTCGGAGGCGCTACATACTAGCGTCGCCAAGTCGAGCTGAATGCTCTATGGACGAGAGTTGCGTTTAGACGTATCAACAAGTGGTATCTCACATAGCACTGTCTGTCGGTAGAGGATAATCAGATGATGACCACGAGTGTCACCTCGGTCTGTGTGGTGGACGAGAGACGCGTGAACGCCGCACGATTGACGCGACGACCGGTCTCGACGACTTCGCTGACCCCGAAAGCTGACGCACGTACCGCCTGGTCAATATACTCAACATTAGACGATTCTGAGGAGTCTGAAGGGAACGCCAACGCGGTCGCGAGG